ATTGAAAATGTTTGATTCTCCTACTGTTGTGGTTTTCACACCTGATGATGATTGCTTGTGTTGCAATCGAAACGTCGTGAGAATTTTATTTTTAATATTTTTATTATTTTATTGTTTCCCTTCTACGTGACTTTACCGAAAGAACCAAGAATATGTTATGGAGTGACTCATGCTGCCAGCTATGGCTGAAAAGTTTGGTAGTACATGTTATGTATATCGTTTATTGTTAAATTTGAATCACAGTTCCTATGATCACTGTTGCATTGTTTTAATAGCTTTATTTTGGTGATTTCAAAAACGTTTTGGTTTAGCCATATTTTGTTTGTTGTAGTACAGAGTTAGACTGATAACTTTAATCTAAATTGTCTTATGGTTGTTATTGTTTGACTTGCATCCCACTGGGATTTTTGCACACAGCATTGATATAGGGTGCTTTTTCTGGAAGACTTTGCTGTTTTTTCCTGGATTTTTCTGTTGCGCGTAGTCACTTTAAGATGTTTTCTTGTTCATGTTTTCGTTTGTTGCGGTTGCACCCGATTCAAGAGCCGAATGGCTCACAGGGCTATACCAAATAAATGAAACTGAATGAATTGAACTGATCTCTCTCTCTCTGCTCTGAAGGAGCTACCAATCGAGTCTCCTCCTTATTTACTTACCATGACGCTTGTTTACTCAGAAAAGCCTCACACAGAGTCTCGTTACTCTCTCTCTCTCTCTTGCTTTGAGGAGGGTCCTGCTAAGTGTTGTATAGTGTGGGGTGATTATTGACGTATATGTTGAACTTCTATCTCCCCGTACGTAACTAATCGTGCTATGCGTGTGCGCATGTTGAACTTCTTTCGCACCGTACGTAGCCAACTATGCTGTGTATGTTGAACTTCTTTCGCACAGTATGTAGCCAAGCGTGCTATGTAAGTTGAAGTTCTTTCGCACAGTACGTAGTCAACCATGCTATGTGTTTGTGTGTGTGTAAGTTGAACTTCTTTCACACCGTATGTAACCCAACCGTGCTAATCGGAGGTGCGATGAAAGGACGATCAACTAAACACATAAAGCTGTTCTTTTTTTGTCCGTCTATCGTCCCTCCGTCGATCCGTTCATCAGTCAGTCTGTTCATCAGTCAGTCTGTTCATCAGTCCGACCATTCATCAGTCGATCCGTTCATCCGTCTGTCCGTTCATCAGTGCGTCCGTTCATCAGTCCATCGATTCATCAGTGCATTCGTTCACCAGTGCGTCCGTTCATCACTGCGTCGATTCATCAGTGCATCCGTTCATCAGTGCGTCCGTTCATCAGTGCGTTCGTTCATCAATTCGTCGATTCACCAGTCCATCCGTTCATCAGTCCATCCGTTCACCAGTGCGTCCGTTCATCAATTCGTCGATTCACCAGTCCATCCGTTCATCAGTCCATCCGTTCACCAGTGCGTCCGTTCATCAGTGCGTCCGTTCATCAGTGCGTCTATTTATCAGTCCGTCTGTCCGTGACATATATCTCTACTCTATATGAATATAATCCCAATTAAGTAAATTTGATCTGCAGCAACATTTCAGACAAGGCAAGCAGCGCCGTGCTTCCTCACTCAGTTCCATTTCTCCACAACCTGGGACCCTGACGACACCGCTGGGTGGACGGAGGCCGCGGTGGAGGATGCTGGGTGGTGGTGGCGGTGGTGGCTCGAGATTTCAGAGACTCGCCCCCATCGTTTCAAAATGCCGCACCGGGAGAGTGAAATCGAAAGCGGCGGCTTTTATTAATAACAAAAATAAACAATTACGTAACTCCTCGCCGACCACGCCGGTGACATGCGGCGCCTTGGCGATAGCCTCGTGCTTTGATTGATAAAAAAATTACAACTGGCGTGAACACCAAATCAATGTCCTCGCGGATGAATGAATGAATGACATTCCGCGATTCCGCGCTCCATTGTGCGGCGCTTACGGGGATTTTGTTGTTGTTGTTCTTCTTGATTTGAAGCTTTCGTAACTGCAGGAATCCATACTCTTTGGTTCTTTCGGGAAAGTCACTTAGGTATAAAATAAAATAAATCACGACGTTTCGGGCGCACCCCCCCCTCCTCCAAAGCTACGAGTTGGGGCCGCCCTTGACAACCACCATGAGATTTTTTTCCAACAACAACAACAGCAATATTCTTTGGTTCTTTCGGTAAAGTCACGTAGATAGAAAAATAATAAAATAAAGTTAATAAAAATGAAAAACTGTAAATGAGAATGAAAACAGAAACCACGACGTTTCGATCGCAACACAAGCGGTCATCATCAGGAAAAGGGGGGTTAGCCTCTAAAGGCAAACTGTTTATAAAGGTTTCGAGATGGGCTTAGCCCAATAGCAGCCCATCTCGAAACCTTTATAAACAGTTTGCCTTTAGAGGCTAACCCTCCTTTTCCTGATGATGACCGCTTGTGTTGCGATCGAAACGTCGTGGTTTTTGTTTTTATTTTTTATTTGTTTTCACTTTTTTTATTATAATTTTTCGATCTACGTGACTTTACCGAAAGAACTAAAGAATATTAATTCCTGCAGTCACTAACGTTTTAAGTCCAAACAACAACAATAGCGCCAAAGAACAACAACACTTATTTGGCGAAGACGGAGCGCCCCTACAGCGTTAAATGTTCGAGACCGTGAGAGTAAGGACGGCGTGATAAGACAAGAGGAGCCGCACACGGATCCTAGCCCAGGTGCCACCGTGCGAGACAAGTCAAACATTTGGGGGGCCCCAAGCTGACCGACTGCGGCATCCCCTGACCTGATAATTGTCGTCACTGCGCCACTGGCTGAGAGTGTTCAGGTCTATAGCGATCCCAGCGATGTCGCCGCCAAAACTTCCCAACAGTTATTACTTTTTTTCACGAGCTGTGTTTCAAGCTTGCTGGAGCGTTGGCAGTAAATCACTGAGTACTGAGCACACAGACTGCCCAGCCACTCACTACTGACCACCAGACTACCCAGTCACTCACCACTGACCATCAGACTACCCAGTCACTCACCACTGACCATCAGACTACCCAGTCACTCACCACTGACCACCAGACTACCCAGTCACTCTCTACTGACCACCAGACTACCCAGTCACTCACTACTGACCATCAGACTGCCCAGCCACTCACTACTGACCACCAGACTACCCAGTCACTCACCACTGACCATCAGACTACCCAGTCACTCACCACTGACCATCAGACTACCCAGTCACTCACCACTGACCACCAGACTACCCAGTCACTCACCACTGACCATCAGACTACTCAGTCACTCACTACTGACCACCAGACTACCCAGTCACTCACCACTGACCATCAGACTACCCAGTCACTCACTACTGACCACCAGACTACCCAGTCACTCACTACTGACCATCAGACTACCCAGTCACTCACTACTAACCACCAGACTACCCAGTCACTCACCACTGACCAGCAGACTACCCAGTCACTCACTACTGACCACCAGACTACCCAGTCACTCACCACTGACCATCAGACTACCCAGTCACTCACTACTGACCACCATACTACCCAGTCACTCACTACTGACCACCAGACTACCCAGTCACTCACTACTGACCACCAGACTACCCAGTCACTCACTACTGACCACCAGACTACCCAGTCACTCACTACTAACCACCAGACTACCCAGTCACTCTCTACTGACCACCCAGTCACTCACTACTGACCAGCAGACTACCCAGTCACTACTGACCACCAGTGTGAACTAATACTAAAAACTATTTTCTTATTTTATCAGGTAGGGCCAACTGAGCTCTATGGCTCTTTCTCAGAAGCGACGTGGCCACACAAATGATAGCTCAGCGAGGCGCCTTATCGTGTGGGCATAAAGAGTTTTCGCCTCTGTAACTGAAGTGTGGTAAAGGAGCAGCCCCTGCAATGGCTCGCTCGCGCCACTGCCGGCAGAAGAGGCCTCCACTAAGAGGGTGCTTTGCAGAGCTAGAGCGAGCTCTTAGAGAGCATCTCTCGTTCAGTATTAGTGCAACCTATTGATATATATTACGACATAAATAAGCAGATAATACATCTCCTTTCCCGTGTCCGTCTTTCCATATAACATCATCATTATAAAAGCATTATTTTTACAACGTCGACCAGACAGACGCACGAACCTTATGGGAGTGCATAATGCCAGCAGCATTGATTTCAAGACAACCAAAACTCCGGGCCGGTATCGCCACACAAGTGTCTCATCAGCAGAGTCAGCTTCGCTGGAATCATCGGTGCCGGTGAAGGAACCGCCGAGCTTACAGGCAAGCGGGGAGCAGTGGCACTGTGGTGGTGGTGCACATACTGCAGTCTGAGCCTGGAAACCAGGCTTCGATTCTCAGCCAGAGCCAACATTCGGGACATCTGAACTCGTGCTGCCTCACAACCCTTTCACGTCTTTGCCAACCAACGCTGACCCGCGTGGTGAAGTAGAGACGAACAGCCTCCAAATCACTAACGCAACCTGGGGAGGCTTTCGTCCAGCAGTTGATTCACAAATGGATTATAATCATTCGTTTTTTTGTAATCAACAATCACTTAATTGTGCATTTGAGGTGTCGTGTGTTGTTATGCAAACTATAGACGTGCATCGTGAGGTCTGTGCTGTTGGTCAATGTTTACAAAACATGAGCATTCATTGTTTTCGAAAATATTCGCCTGAATCGTAAAATGTGTCCCAGAATTGTTACATTGAGCATACTTCTGATAACAAAAACAAACAAAAAACATTTAAATTTCATAAGATACTGAAATTCAAATTTACAATAAAACAATTGTTTGACTTCGTTGGACCTTCCTGAAAGAGCCATGAGACCCATTGAAACTTTCCCAGGTGAACTGACGGAATAATAAGAACACAACAACAACAACAATTTAAAATAATAAACTCGTGGTTCAGCAAATCCGTTCTCATTTGCGGCCTTTAAAGAAGAAACTCAGACGCCGAGGGAGGGGAAGGAGACGAGCCTGGTCACTGACCTTGTGGCGAAGGCATTGGGTGATCACTGCTGCAGTTCGACGCACCTACGACGCGGGGCGATTGCCGTAGTAAGCGAGGGGGCCCTTGCACACCCCTCTGAGCAACTTTTATATCGTTGAGCTGAATGGGGGCAGTCATTAAAACGCATCTCTCGTCTCACACTGCCCTCGATGTGGCCCCCTCTCTCTCACTCTCCCTCTCTCTCATGGTGCCAGGGCGTCTCAATTAAAAACCAGGAGGCAGTGTCTTCCTTCATTAAAACCGTCGACCGCACACGCACCACTGCTTGCCTCTGTGTGTGTGTGTGTGCGTGGCTCTCAATGGGTGCACTGCACTGCACTGCACGCACGCAGATATAAAAATAATGCCGCTCAGCCTGTGCGGATTCCCGCTGTGGGCCAGTGCGGGAATTGGTGGTCACTTTTGTCCGTACGTCCGTGCGGAGACAGGGCGCACACACACACACAAACACGCGGGTGCGATAAACAGATGATCGCAGCGACGCCGAACCGATATGCAAGACGCTTTGCGCGCAAAGCGACGATTCGCAGGTGCTCGTCATGGCTTTTTGTTGTTGTTGTCAACGGCACTGCCCGTTGACAACGGCGTTGCCTGTGATTTTCAATCGTGGGGATAAACTAAGAATGCCACCGCGCGCGTTATACGAAGTGCCGTACGCGCATTCGTCCGTGTGCAGTTTCGCAAGGGTTAGGCAGGGGGATGATTAGGGGGGGGGGGGGGGGGGGGGGGGGGCGATGGATCTCGGCACCGGGAGGAGCATTCGAAGCGGTCCATTGTTGGCTTCAGCGACCAACCACTTCGCACGGCGTACACGGAGATAACGAAGATAACGGGACGCCGCCGGGCAGATGGAGCTGATGAAATTGGCATGTGTGCGAGGTGCCGAGTGGATCGTGGTGTTGTGGTGGTGGTGGTGGTGGCGGCAGCTCGAGGAGCCCTTCATCCGGCAGATGGTGACTGATATACCCGAGCAACGTTGAACAGAAATCTGACTGTCGTCTTATGATGCTAGTTGTAATCATTGGCGAAACGTCGTACTACTCAAATTGTAAATGTTGTGGATTTACTCTCCAACACACACCCGTGTGCTGTACTCGTAACGAATTGGCATGTTCTGTTTTTATTCTTGGTTCTTTCGGTAAAGTCAAGATGCAAATTTTCTTGCTATGGTTTTCACACCTGATGATGATTGCTTGTGTTGAAACGTCGCGAGAATTGTACTGTTTTATATTTGTATTATTGTATTGTTCCCCTTCGACGTGACTTTACCGAAAGAACCAAGAATATGAATCCCTGCAGTCACGAAAGCTTTCAATAAAAAAATCTTCTGTTTACTTGACAAATCTTACTCTATTATGATCGTTGAACACGTTTTACGTAATGTCCTGAGCTCAAAATAACTACCACGGTCAATGCCCTGCGCCGCGATTGAATCCCCGCCCAACGCGAACCCGGCAACAACTTTCGCGAGCGACGCCCGAGAGAGAGCCCGCCCTTCGCCCCCCTGCCACGTGCCCATCGCGGCTGCGGTGCCGTCCTCACCCGTCCGGCGGTACTCCTCCGAGACGCTCAGCGGCCGCAAGACGTCGCCGTTCCTGGGGAAGGCCGCGCCGACTCCGCCGCCGTCGTGGGCCTGCGCCGGCGGCGATGGCAGCGGCGGAGGCCCCGCGGGACCCTCCGGCGACGGGGTCACGCTCGTCCTCACGGCGGCCGCCTCGTGCTGATGGAGCCGCTGTTGCGCGGGAGACGCGAGGGCAGCCGTCACGCCGTGGAGGGTCGGCGGGACGCCGTTCGCGTGCGTCTCGGAGGCGACGGCCGGGATCGAGGCGTCGGCGTCTCGGCTCGTCCTTCGCCGGCGCCGCCGTCGTCTGTGCTGGCCGCAGGGCACGTGCACCCCGATGTACACCGCGTGGTGACCTGAAAGACGGGGGCAGTGGTGGCGACGATGGGCGATGTTCGCTGGCAGAGCCAGTGTAAGCTTCGGCACCCCCCCGTCCAACCGTACTCCGAGAATATTAAAGGGCCCACAGGGGTTAAGGAAGACAAATACGGGGTGTATGGAACATCAGGTGGAATTGAAGTCCGAAGCAACTTTGCAAGCGAATTGACATTTGAAAACAAAATACACAAACACGCGCGCGCACGCGCGCACGATTAATGTCGGTCCATCTCTAGATTTCCTGCATCTGTCTTCTCACATCTCAACCGTTTACATTAATCATATTTCACTACGTCCATGTCACTTGACTGTATCTCTTCTGATGGACAGGACTACGTAGACACTGTAACCTGATGGACAGGACTACGTAGACACTGTGACCTGATGGACAGGACTATGTAGACACCGTGACCTGATGGACAGGACTACGTAGACACCGTGACCTGATGGACAGGACTACATAGACACTGTGACCTGATTGACAGGACCACGTAGACACTGTGACCTGATGGACAGGACTACATAGACACCGTGACCTGATGGACAGGACCACGTAGACACTGTGACCTGATGGACAGGACTACGTAGACACCGTGACCTAATGGGCAGGACTCCATATACACCGTGACCTGATGGACAGGACCACGTAGACACCGTGACCTGATAGACAGGACTACATAGACACCGTGACCTGATGGACAGGACTACATAGACACTGTGACCTGATGGACAGGACTACATAGACACCGTGACCTGATGGACAGGACTACATAGACACTATGACCTGATGGACAGGACTACGTGGACACTGTGAACTGATGGACAGGACTACATAGACACTGTGACCTGATGGACAGGACTACATAGACACCGTGACCTGATGGACAGGACTACATAGACACTGTGACCTGATGGACAGGACTACATAGACACCGTGACCTGATGGACAGGACTACGTAGACACCGTGACCTGATGGACAGGACTACGTAGACACCGTGAATTGATAGACAGGACTACATAGACACTGTGACCTGATGGACAGGACTACGTAGACACCGTAAATTGATAGACAGGAGTACATAGACACTGTGACCTGATGGACAGGACTACATAGACACTGTGACCTGATGGACAGGACCACGTAGACACCGTGACCTGATGGACAGGACTACATAGACACTGTGACCTGATGGACAGGACTACGTAGACACCGTGACCTGATGGACAGGACTACATAGACACTGTGACCTGATGGACAGGACCACGAAGACACCGTGACCTGATGGACAGGACTACGTAGACACTGTGACCTGATGGACAGGACTACATAGACACCGTGACCTGATGGACAGGACTACATAGACACCGTGACCTGATGGACAGGACCACGTAGACACTGTGACCTGATGGACAGGACTACATAGACACTGTGACCTGATGGACAGGACTACATAGACACTGTGACCTGATGGACAGGACCACGTTGACACCGTGACCTGATGGACAGGACTACATAGACACTGTGACCTGATGGACAGGACTACGTAGACACCGTGACCTGATGGACAGGACTACATAGACACTGTGACCTGATGGACAGGACTACGTAGACACCGTGACCTGATGGACAGGACTACATAGACACTGTGACCTGATGGACAGGACTACGTAGACACCGTGACCTGATGGACAGGACCACGTAGACACTGTGACCTGATGGACAGTACTACATAAACACCGTGACCTGATGGACAGGACTACATAGACACCGTGACCTGATGGACAGGACTACATAGACACCGTGACCTGATGGACAGTACTACATAAACACCGTGACCTGATGGACAGGACTACATAGACACTGTGACCTGATGGACAGGACCACATAGACACCGTGACCTGATGGACAGTACTACATAGACACCGTGACCTGATGGACAGTACTACATAAACACCGTGACCTGATGGACAGGACTACATAGACACTGTGACCTGATGGACAGGACCACATAGACACTGTGACCTGATGGACAGTACTACATAGACACCGTGTCCTGATGGACAATACTACATAAACACCGTGACCTGATGGACAGGACTACATAGACACTGTGACCTGATGGACAGGACCACGTAGACACTGTGACCTGATGGACAAGACCGGATATTCTGTGTCAGTGTTTCTCAGCCTTTTAAGGCACCGATGCTCAAGAGGCAGCACTATCTGAGACTTGAATAATGCCTTAGAATAAATGTCAAAACAAAGCAGATGTGTCCATCCATCATTAGCAGTTAAATATTTAGCGTAATTATGTGGGGGTGGGATGGGGTTGTGTGTGAAGAAATTGCGTAATGCTGCCACAGAACTAGCGAAATGCCACCTGCATCACTGAAGGATTCCGACGGTAATTGACACGATTTTTCCCCACCTCTCTCTCTCTCAAATCCGCGATGCCATTAGCGTAGACTTCAAGCGAGGTGCGTTAGTCATCGCGTATTAACTAGGGCTTAACGAAATCAATAACAAAGTCGGTGATGTGTGTTCTTATTAACGACGCTTAATGATCACTCTGTGTTAACCAGAAGGGTTACTTTTTATCGTGAAATATTTTTTTTTCCCCAGATGTTCCCAAAAAACATCAGAACCTCCGGGGGGTGGGGGGTATATTTTCCGGAGCTCAGCCTCGGAGAGCTCCAGCTGAAACGAATGCGCGGATCAGCAACATCCGTCTCGTAACTCACTCCATTTCACGAGACATTGAGCTTCGAGTGAGCCACAGATGGAGAGTGCAGAATGAAAGCTAGCGAGACGGTCTGTTGCGCTAGTAAGGTTTGTCACGTAAGCAGAACGTGTCGATTCGTTACTAGTACAGCGCACCGGTGTGTTGGAGAGCAAATCCATAACATTTACAATCTGAGAACTAGTAACGAATTGGCCACGTTCTGTTCACGTGACCGACCTGACTAATTGGCTGTGTCGGGTGGTGGCGGGTTTAACGACACATTTATATTTACGCGATCTAACACCCCAAAAAATATATATTATGGATTCATACTCTTTGTTTTTTTTTTGTAAAATCACGTAGGTAAAATAAAAATAAAATAACTAAATAAAAAATGTAGTTTTCTCTTATTTTATTTTAAAATAAAACAATTAAATTAAACATTTAGTTGTTTTCTTTTATTTTATTTTTATTTTACCTACGTGACTTTACCGAAAAAAAAAACAAAGAGCATGAATCCTTGCAGTCACGAAAGCTTCAAATCTAGAATATATTATGGATGTAACTGGTTCCGAAAGCCTACGTGTTAAACGGTCTGTTGATTGTTGGGCCCATCACGCACTGCAAATTCGTGATGTACTGGACTTAATAAGAGTGCACAATATCAAATGCTCTTACTTACTGCTTGGATACGTTTGACCGATGGTCACCGCGATATGCAATTGCAATGGTGCGGTACGATACGAGATAAGGTTTCGCGATGCGAAGATGATTATTGGGATATCGGTTGCCTGTCACTTTGCAAGTGCACTTTGCATGTTACCGTCTTGTCTTTGTACTTTGATTCACGGGTACTCAAGTAAACAGGCCAACGTTGACCCAACGTTGGCCGAACGTTGGGTTAATGTTGGACCGACTACGTCCCAATATTGGCCTAACGTTGGGTCAACGTTGGTCCGACTACGTCCCGACATTGGCCCAACGTTGGGGCAACGTTGATCTGACTACATACCAATGTTGGGCCAACGTTAGTTTATTTATTGGGTAAAGACCGCTTAAAAGTTATCCGACAATAGTTCCCCAATATTGGCCGTCCCTTAAGTATTCTAACCACTGCGATTTTACTCTAATTACAAATCTGTAAAGCATTTAGGGCTCATGCTGTCAATCATACGAAAGCATTTAATTACATAAACTACGAAAATTATGACATCAAATTTACCATAAATTGTCCCGTGCCGTCAGTTATTTCGCACAGCAATAATGTAATGCTCTCGTTAAAACGAGCGGTAATCATTGAGTTTATTTGTTCGCTACTAATATCCTGTAGTGTCAAGAAATTGTATTTATTTATTGATGACAAATAAAGCAACCTTCTATAATTGCGATATCAAGACATCCTGTAAAAAACGGACGATACGATTATCGTGAACTATAATATCATGCGATATATCGTATATCTCACGACATATCTTACGATGTACGATATCTTACGATATACGATATATCGTAGCTTCGCCCAATCGCAGCACACCCAAGGGTGATGCACAAACACCACTAACATCAACAACTCAACGCAATTCCCCACAGCACAAGTGCAATGAAGAAGGCGCATTACCCGAAACGTCGCCTGCGTATGTTTTACTTTGAGGGCCACACAGTTCTGCTGACGAACGTGCCGCGTCTGTTTTTTTTTTTCTCCCTCCCACGAAACATTTGAAGCCTGTTCTTGCCACCTAGTGGTGACACAGGTGGTAAAGCCTACAGGGATTTTCCCAGACGCTCCCCACTGCGCCACCTCGCTGCGCTTCTTCCGCCCTGCGCCTCCACCCGTTTGTTGAGAGCGCCGCTCCTCCGCCCTCCGTTGTTGCTGAAGAGCGACTGCTACCTCCCAACTGCCCAAGGAGCTCAATTCTAGATTTAAAGCTTTCGTGACGGCTAGGATCCATACTCTTTGGTTCTATTGGGTAAAGTCACGTAGGTGAAAATAAAATAACAAAAGACGTTTCGGCCACAACACAAGCGGCCTTCATCAGCGCTGTCCTCCAGACAGTCTCGTCCCTTCACCTGATGAAGGCCGCTTGTGTTGTGGCCGAAACGTCTTTTGTTATTTTATTTTCACCTACTTGACTTTACCCAATAGAACCAAAGAGTATGCCCAAGGAGCGTCCTTCACAAGCCCCCCCCCCCCCCACTCCCCACAGAGGCCGATCTTGAAACCGCTGGTAACCGGCCTTAGGTAAGGGTGCCGTCCATAAATGACGTCACGTGATTTTGGACGTTTTTTGACCCCTCCCCCCTCGTCACGCGGCGTCACAAAAAGTCAGACCTCCCCTCAAATATGACGTCACAAAGCTCTGCCTCCCCTCCCCCAAAATAAAACGTGCTTCAAATCGCTTTAAACTATTGTCATTGTAGTGCGTATTTAATGTGGCGCTGCACGCTGATGTTGTAGGAGAAAACATTTATTTAAAAAAGTATATTTAATTAACTAGAACGTGTTGTCTGTATTTATTTAAAGTTGCGCATTTTGATGTGACGTCACATTTCTCAAACCCCTCCCCCCCCCTCGTCACACATCGTCACAAATGTCTGACCCCCCCTCCCCCCTAGGTGCGTGACGTCATTTATGGACAGCCCCCAAGTCCAACTCAGCTCCACATCCTTCTGTACAGCATCGGTCCATCTCTTCTCCAACCCGTGCCGCGCTCATTCAGCTCCCTCTATCCGGCCAAGAAGAAGCTGCTTGGGCATGCGGTGTGGCTGGGCATGCGGGCTACGTGACCCAGCCAACGAAGCCTCGCCTGCCGGAGGAGCTCACTGATGGGACTGCGTCCAGATCGTTTAAGGTTCTGACTCCGAGCTAAGAGGGTATCTCTATTCCAGGAGGGATAGATACGGAATGTCTCTCAGCTAAAGGAGTAGATTATGCAAAGGGGACTTGTCACCCAAATTTTGTACAGCACCAGCAGCCAGCTCAGACCGGTTGGTCTCGGCACTGTGCTGTTGCCAGGGCTTAATTTCAACCGGAGCGGTCCGGAACGCTGTTCCGGGAATTATTTTGGACATGCGTCCGCAACCATTCCGCCTTGTTTTGCTCCAATACACTTGTATACCACCTGTTCATAAGATCATAGAAACATATTGGGGGACGTCCATAAATGACGTCACGCGATTTTGGACGATTTTGACCCCCCCCCCCCCTCGTCACACGGCGTCACAAAAAGTCAGACCCCCCCTCAAATGACGTCACAAAGCTCTGCCCCCCCCCCCCAAATATATATAAAACATGCTTCAAATCGCTTTAAACTATTGTCATTGTAGTGCGTATTTAATGTGGCGCTGCACTCTGATTTTGTACGAGAAAACATTCATTTAAAAGTCTAATTAAGCAGAACGTGTTGTCCATATTTATTTAAAGTTGCGCATTTTGATGTGACGTCACATTTCTCAAACCCCCCCCCCTCCCCCTCGTCACACATCGTCACAAATGTCTGACCCCCTCCCCCCCACCCTAGGTGCGTGACGTCATTTATGGACGGCCCCTTGTACAATAATATAGGCTGACTATTGACGGGCGAAGCTCGTGCGCTAGTGGAGGTGCGTAACGCTGACAATCCCTGGCTTTTATTATGCCGAGTTGAATCCAGGCGGTGACTCACACCGAGGTGGCAATTTCCTGCCACCAAGCTCAGGGCTTGCGTCTGAGTGGCTGCCACCCGTATCCCGAGTTGAGCCATCTAGTTTCCCGATCAGGTTGTATCCTGTACTCTATCTTACAGGCGATGATGCGTCGATAAGATGTCCTTTGAGTGTGAGGCCATGCTCTGACACAGTGGATCCAAGCATTGTTCTCTGCGTGTACCCAACCCCCCTCTTCAACCCACCCCAACCCCCCACCCCCTCCCTCCACCGCCCCAGTCCACGTACCTCCAACCAGCAAGACAATTCAATAATTGTATAAATGACACTCTAATTACATTCACACGTATTCCACACCTGAGACCAACAGTTAAGAGCTAATAACTGGATTACAATAGACAAAATATTTACAATTCCAATTACGTAAATATATCATGCGTACGGCGATTGGAGTGTAATCCGAGTCACCATCGCGAATTAATCAAAGTGGCCAGGCTGGGTGAGTGAGCTTCAATGCACGTGGAAAGCTGGATAGTTTATCTGACCCGCCCGAATAATCTATTTGTGTGCATTTGTGAAATCGTGTGAATGTAATAAATATATATACTGTATATACATTTATGAACGAAAGCAGAAGAGCAGAACAAATGGGGGAACCCCGAGTGGCTAAGCGTACGGGTTCAGAAAAACAGCATAGAACAAATAAGTACAGAGCTTTAGAATGTGGAAGGCAGTAGCCACGTGCTGCTTTACAGCCCCATCGAGTCATACCTCCATGCCCAGACCTCCCACCCGCACCCACACGGCCATATGTGGGGGAGGGGGCGAGATGTTAACTACATCGCCTGGTATGCAGGAGGTCGTGGGTTCAATCTCGACCCTGACGGCTGCTGTATATTTGGAGTTTGTGTGTCTTTCTCTCGCTCTCTCTCTCATCATCATCACGGTGGCTATGAGATGTTAACTACCTCGCCTGGCTATGCAGGAGGTTCGTGGGTTAGATCCCGACCCTGACGCCTGCTGCTGTATATTTGGAGTGTGCGTCTCTCTCTCTCTCACCGTGGTCGCGTGAATTTTTCTCTAGGTCCTCCAGTTTTGGGCTGCTCTAAATTTCCACGTGATGAGAAGCCACTCCCTTGGGTTATCATTTGTGGCCAGGTCACTTCTGAGCTACGTAGCTCAGTGGGCCTTACCTGGTAAAATAAAATCAATAATAGCTGTATATCTGTAAATTATAATAAAACTCCATCATAACAGAAGACTCGTGCTGGCCGCATACCCATGGGCTTCAAACAATCCGCACACGAGCGTGTGCACAGAGTACTCGCTCGGCATGTGTGCTTCGTGCAGACGGTTCTGGAAGACTTGCACGGTGGCCCTCTTGTATGTGCTGTGTACTATGTATGAACTTCTTCCCCACCGTACGTAGCAAACGGTGCTTATCGGAGGTGCAGGGGAAGGGCAACAAACTAAACACAACAAAGGCAGTTCTCAAGAACTGGTATACAATTGTAGGATTGTACATATACGCGACAAACAAAAACATGTAATGTCAAGTCATTCGATGGTGATATGATCAATTGTCTGCAATAGTTGGAGGAGGGGGTACGGACATCACGCAAGAGAACGGTGGAATGGAGTGGTGAGCGCCGCAGCGATTCGTGGTCCTGCACAAAGCGCGGAGCGATCGCTCGGGCAGAGTGGCCGAATGTCAACAAGTAGCTCGTGTCTTTACGCATTCATTTGTATTCATCTCACACTTGTTTAAAGTTAATTTGTTTTCTCACAATGACCGTGTCATGTCACGCCCCCCCCCCCCCCTCAACCTCCTCCTCGAACCCAACCCCCTTTCAGCAAGGCCACGCTGCTGGGTCGGCGATCCAAGGTGGACACGACGCGACACGTGCGCTGAACTTCATTCGCACCGAACCCAGCCGACCGCGCTTCATCGGACACGCGCGCCGCCGCTCACCTTCCACGTCCTCCTCGTCCACGGTGTGCTTGCGGCACAAGGCGCCTCGGTCCAGCACGGCCTCGTCCTCCATCCTGTAGTAGTAATAGAGGAAGAACGAATGCTCCGCTTTGGCACGCAGCGCGTTGCAGTCCGGCGTCGACAGGGAGCTGTCGATGCCGCCGAAGCCACCGCCGCTGCTGCTGCTGCAGGGCGGCGGTGGCGGCGCGCTCCCCGCCGGCTCGGGCCACCCCGCGAGACCACGCGCACCGGGGCTGCGCGGTGCCGCCGGAGAAGCCGTCATGCCGAGGAGTCCACCCCCTTCCCCACCACCACCACACTCCCCAGCGGTTACCACTCCGCCTGCTCGCCTCTCCGTTACGCGGTGGCTAGGCACGGGACTCCCGGCTTGGCGTGGCGTGGGGGGGGTCACAAGTGACACCACCTGTCAGTCCCAGCCCTCCACCCTGACCCTGGTCCCCACCGCCACCACCCTCCCCACGGTGCCCGTCTGCAGCCACCTCCAGCTCCTTGCGCGCGGTCGCCCCAACAGCCCCCTGTACTGGGAGAAGCCACGCGTGCGCGCGCGACGATTATCGATGATTCGGTCCCGGGCGTCTCCTGTGTCGACTCAGCCTCGAACGAGTAGCTGAGGCAAAGGCGGCCGGGCGCGGTGCTCGCCGTCCACCTCGTCGTGTGCCGTGCCGGCCTTCATCGGTTGCTACTCGCTACGAACAGCACTTGTCCCAAACGTCTGTAAAAAGTCTATACCGGTGGGGTGGTGGAATTCTTTGTCTTTGTGCGCGCGTGTGACCTGTTCCAATCCGCACGCTGAAATAGTAATGACTTGCGGGTAATTCAGCCGTCTGCCACTTTAACAATTGCCTCGAGACGAACGGCCGCTGAAGGCGACGCTCGGTTGTCGAATTATAGAGCTCGCTCGCTCGCCCTTAACGAGTCGCCGACGAATCGCCCACGTGAATGCGGCCCATAAACCCAGCAGCAAACGGGTCCGCTTAAAGTGTCGAAGAGTATTTGCAATGATGACGACGATCATTAAAAACAAACGAAAAAATAATCATGAAGCCACTCGTTCGGTGGGTTTCGTCCGACGCCCTCGACTGCGGATGAACGCCGGGGGCCGCCCTGAGAGAGGGAACGCGAAGACGCGGCCCCTTAATCGCCCCTGATCGCCTCTAATCACGTCTAATCAGAGAGCAGCCTCAATCAGCAGAGGACGTCGCTCGACTTGGTAACGGTTACCACGTGATCGACCTCCCCCCGGGACACAAAAAGTTTAATAACTCTCCCTCCGGGAGTGGTGTCAACACCCCCCGCTCATCACCCCGTGGCTGTGTCGTGTGTGTGTGTGTCTGTGTGCTTGTGTGTTTTTCTCGCTTTAACGTTTTATTTGGGGGGGGGGAGGGGGGGAATTCCGTCGATGAAAAAGAGGGGTCTCGGTCGGTCGATGCGCTTTTTTGGACGTAGATTTTTGTGAACGTGGTATCGTGGAGTTCGTGGGTGTATGTTGAAGCGTATTTCTTACGGTTGGCCTGTCTCTCTAAAGCGACGCGTTTTACGTATAACGAAAGCGGTGAAGCAGACAACACGTCTGCAGACAACATGTCTGCTTCACCCATAATCCGTCTCTCCATCTATATATACAACATGGATGTTGCTAACGTTGTATCAAGGAGTTTGTGGGTATATTGAAGCGTATTCATTACTGTTGGCCTGTGTTTCGAAGCGACACGTTTTCCGTATAACGTGTTGCCTGCTTCACCTATGATCCGTCTCTCCATCTATATAATAAATAAATAAACATTCTCTTGCACAATCCATCAGCCACACGCCCTCCTGGGTGTGCGCATAATTTCGTCAACACTAATTCAAGACGAGCAAAAACTCTGGACCGGTTTCGACACGCAGTCTCTCATCGGCAGGAATCGGGGCTTGCTCGAATGAATGCCGGTGAAGGACGGTGCAGCTGATGACATGGAGGAGGCGTGTTGTCAGCTTATTTGTCTGATTTACATCCTCCTGTTTGTGTGTGTGTGTGTGAAACGCCGACATGCAGGAGGGAGAATTGAGTGTGCGCTTCTAGGATTTTCCTGAGCACGGCTTGGAAGTCGCAAATCACGCCCGCGCGTGTAGCCAGGCGGCTGCACTTTGTTGTTGTTTTATATTGACCAGGTAAGGCCCCACTGAGCGGCGATGTAGCTCTTTTTCAGAAGCGACCTGGCTGTCACAACATGACAGCTCAACGAAGTGGTTCGTCTTGTGGACATTCATAGCAGCCAAAATACTCTTAACGCGTGATGTTGATTCTAAATGTTTGGGGGGGGGGGGCGGGGAGGGGGAAACCGGAGGACCAGAGAAAAATCTACGCGACCACGGGGAGAGAGACACACCGCAAACTCCAAATATACAGCAGCAGTCGTCATGGTTGGGATCGAACCCACGATCTCCTGCATACCAGGTGAGGGAGTTAACATCTCGCCACCGTGGAACCCATTCTATTTGGCTGTGCGCCCGGTGTCTCTCTGAACCTGTGAGCCACCAGGGAACGTATTGTCCGGTGCTGTTGTGGGGGTTCTAACCGCAGAGACACTTTTTTTTACTGTACTTTGAACTTCTTTCGCATCGCACGTAGCCAACTGCGCTAATCGGAGGTGCGAACTCATCGCAGGGCCAGACGCGAGCAGTGCGAGGAGTGTGGACGCGGGGTGGACGATGAATTATGATTAATCATTATTATTAATTATTGATTCATTATCAGTGACGCCGCCGGCTCCATTGCGTAACCCGAAGCAGAACTTATATTTGGCTGCGTACCGTGACCACAGTCATTCTACGATGGACAGGCCACAACAATGTACAGCCACATCACAGTTGGCCAATTACGATGACAGTTATTTAAAAATGCGCCCGTCACAATTATATTTCAGAGAGGTTGTGGCGGCTTTGGGGCATCCTTCATCAAACATGGCTGGATCGTCCATGGCTGTTGTTGATGATGACAATTACAACGATGAGCTATATTATTTATTCCGAGGATCGGAATTGGTGCCGCGGCTATATTTGTCTTGAATCCGACCTTCGCGCCCCCACCTCCCGCCCCCTCCTAACCTCCACCACTACTCCCCATCGCCACAACCTCCCTGGCCCACTTGGGCCCCCTGAGCCTTTGCTGAGTTTCCGCATTGCCAAGCCCCACCTCTGACTGTGACGCGAGCGCCATGCGGGGTGGGGTGAGATCGCTGCGTTGGGGCCTCCTGCGCGTTACCCCCTCCACCCTCCACTCATTAATTGGAGATGTTCCCGGTTTAGCTCTGGATGAGAAAGGATTCGAGGTACGCTAAGTCTGGCGGTTTATTTATACAACAAACAAAAAGTCTCCGTCCGACACGGTGCTTGCTTCGAGAAGCGGGGCATTGCGCGTGCCCGTTGGCAGTCTCTGGTGGTGGCGGGCGCATCGCCTCGCACCGGGGTACCCCGAAAGCAGAAACGGATTTTCCAGGGGCATGGGCTGCTCGATGCACTGTAACACTCCGCGCGAGACGACCGACGATGCATCGGCCGCGGATAGATCGCGTCCGCGCAGCGAGACGGGGGGTGGGGGGAGGGGTGCAGACAAAGCAGAGAGCCGTAGCGAGACGAGAGCAGAGGGATTCAGACAAAGGTCGGAATGACAGGGCTTCCACCGCGGTTTCTACTTATTCTTCTCATTAACCCGAGGGCCCCTTGAGCTACTTGGGGTCCCGAGGCGTTTGATTCCATACAATGCCATCCATTGGCCGATCCTAGTAGCTCTCACACCGGCTGACTTATCCACAGCCGTTGGACGCAACGAGGCCAGCACCGCCCTCGCCTCATCCATGCTGTTGAGGAGCTGCGCTAGGGAACGCGGCCGTGCCGTGTCGTGCTTTGACGACAACACGGGATGGTGGAGGGGGTGTTTCTCCTTGCGCTGGGCAAATTTGGACCATCGCGTTGATGCTGACTTTTGCAAATGACGCCACGTGATCTTTAACGCACACTGCGAGTGAAGCAGAAGGTGCGTAGATTATTTATATATATGGTTAATACACTTGCAGTGATAACCAGGGCGGCCGCTGCGATTCGAACCGTGAACCTCTGCAATCAAGCGGCGTATTTATGGATAGACCATGACGATGATGACTGCGAGAAGTGCCAATCGCCTGAACGGTACACGAGCAAACAGTGGCGGTGCTAACAGCGCTTCATTGTTCAGTTAGAATTGTCGGCGTAAGGCACTACCACTAGGATACAAGGGGGCCGCTGCTGCTGCTGCCTTCTCGCTCGTCCGTGGTTCCTTCTCACGCCACTGAGTCGTTCTCCCTTCGAGACTGCGAGCGAATACTGTTGCCGTAATTCCTAATCGTGCATTGTAGCCAATATTCTCACAACACTATGCAAATTATTGTTAAATAACGCTGCGAGTCGGACGGGGAATGCCAAAATCATTCCCGGAACAAGTGTTTCCGCCTATCCTGGCTGAAACGGAGCGCCATACTGCTTGCCCACACAGCCCGAGTTAAACCACAGCTGTGATATAATTACACTAATTGACCCATTACAGCGATGTTTAAAATAGTTATATTAAAATGGCGAGCGTTTTAGATATGTATTTTTAATTAGGATCTGAGTTCGAGGCTGATATTTTAATCACTAGTTTTTTTAATCTCTCCACGAATCCGGGGGCCCCTTAAGCTACTTGGGATTCCTCCGCTTTTGTTGCGTTTGCTTGTTTGCCTAACCCCACCACTGGCGAGAAAACTCACTCTGTCGCTTCAATCGATTACTTCACTCCGTCCAATCAAAACAAATTGTCATCCATACAGTTCAGTTAACAGCCGGTGCTCCCGCCTTACACGAAGGACACGTACCCCCACATGCTTTAATCACTGCAACGCCATGCGAAAGTCCGAGGGATGAAACGTACCAGTCCGTCATGGAAATAATCCTGTTCCGTCGCAGCCGCCTCTTCACTCGCTCTGAAAGTGATTTGACATTGTCTTCTCACCAAACTCCGAGACAAGACCACCCCACCTACACCCCCCACACACCTTCCCCAGCTCCTACGCCTTCCACCCAGCTAGCCATACCACTCTGTAGCTGAACCCAGGCGGTGCGGCCCGGCCTGGCATCAAGACACAGCCGGACCTGACCGGGCCCTCTGGCTGCCTTGGTTCGGCCGCCTCAGGCAGATGCGTCACCATCACCGTCACCACCATCACCACCACGTGTCGGCGGTCGCATCTCCACGTCGCACGGTCATCTGAACAGCACCGCGCGGGCCCACAACCAACTGCCCGTCAGTCTCCACCAAGATGTTCGTGATGGACGAGCTAGGAACTGGCAGTGAGTTGGGGGGGTGTGCAAGTAGCGTGGAGCTCCCACGGACAGGAGGAGAACCAGGTTAACCCCCCCCCCCCCACCAAAGCTTTTGAAATTACCCCCCCCCCCACCCAGCCCCCCAACCAGCCCAGAACTTCTCACGCGTGGCCATTAATCGGCACCAACAACGCATCTCCGGCCATTCACAAACTCGGTAGCATGGCAAATCAGCGCCGTGAGCAGAAAAAATACCGTGCGAAAACAACATTACATTGTGCGTCTCATACAGTGCCGGGCGCTGGTGGGTGGCTATTGCACGTAGCCTGTAATACAGCACTGTGGAGGCGAGGATTGGTGGATCACGCAAAGACGTTGGTTCTTCGTCGTGGGCGTCGTTGAGTTGCCTGCCACAACCCTGGCTCGCCAGGAGGACGCGATATAGCGAATGTGGATTCCCGTCTGTTCTATCTATACGGTGGTTCTTAACCTTTACTGCAGCGATTCATCTTCTTGGTTCTTTCGGTAAAGTCACGTAGAAGGGAAATAATAAACATAATAAAATACAATTCTCACGACGTTTCGGCCACAACACAAGCAGCCGTCTTCAGGTGAAAAAAACAGAACTGCGCTCATTGCAGCGCTGTCTTTCCGACAGTTCTGTTTTTTCACCTGAAGACGGCTGCTTGTGTTGTGGCCGCAACGTCGTGATAATTTTAATTTAATTATGTTTAATTTTTTACTATTTTATTATTTCCCTTCTATGTGACTTTACCGAAAGAACCAAGAAGACTTTACTGCAGCCTTCATAGGTTTGACGAAACAAAGTAGTTGTAACTTACGTGCCCGTGCTTTCATTTGTGTTTTCGATTATTTGCCTTCCAATACAAATCTGGCCGTGCCTCGCACACCCAGAAAGGGCATCTCGCACCCCATAAAAAATACGTGCACCCAAGGTTACGAACCACTGGGATAGAGTGTTTCCCCCTTTAAACGCATGGTTCTCTCCCAGTGCAGGGACAATATAGGCAGACAATATGCCCCCTCCCTACATGTCCCTCCACTTTTATTATTTTATGAGGAAGCCACTGAAGCTATGCACTTTGAAATCTCGATTGAAACTAATTTCTTGGGAACTGCTTTTTGTGTTTAGTTTGTTGTCCTTCCCCCGCACCTCCGATAAACATGGCTGGCTACGCACACTTAGAATTAAAAGTAACTCTATTACACATCCCATAATCCCATCTGTTCAACTCAAGCGACGATTCATTTGCTTTTGATTAACGTGTATTGCGATTCGTGAATTCGGGGTCCATTGAGCTGCTTGGGTGCCTAAGCTTTTGCTTAATTTGCTTGTGCCAAGGGCCACCCTGGCAGCACCGGCCACGCTTTACTTTGTGTGAAGGAAGGGGGGTGGGGGGAAGAAAGTGAGCCACTGCCACTACTGTCGCGGCAGCTTTTTTCTTTTAAACGTACGTTGAACTTCTTTCGCCATAACATTTACAATCTGAGTACGACATTTCGCCAGTAATTGCAACTAGCTTCATCAGGCGACAGCCAGATTTGGGGAGAAAACCCACCTGTTTTGTTCCTTATATAGAGGACGTAGATGTGGTGGCTTGGCTCTCCAACACACCGGTGTGCTGCACTAGTGACGAATTGGCATGTTCTGTTTACGTGACAACCCTTACTAGTTGGCTGTGTCGGCTGGTGGCAGGTTTAACGACACATTTATATATTTACGCTAACCCAAAAAACCCTCTATTGTGGATATTGGTCGCGAAAGCCTCCTACGTGTTCAACTTCTTTCGCGCCGTACGTAGCCAACCGTGCTTATCGGAGGTGCAGGGGGAAGGACAGCAAACTATACACGCAAAAAATGGAATCCTAGAGCAGACTGTCGTCCAATCACAGACCCCGTTGGGTGTCTAATGATGAAATATGAAGGGCTGCGATTTCTTTAACGTGAATATACTTTACATAAATGTAATTACTCACAGACAAAAAAAACTCACCAAGTCTCCATTTTTTTTAGGAGTGTCCTTTAGTGTTCATTTCGTGTAAGGGATTACGGTTAAGAGTTGGGTTTAGGGGTTAGAGGTAGGGGTTAAGGATGGAGTTTAGGTTAAGGGTTTAGAGTTATGGATGGGTTTTCGAGTTAGACCTGGAGGCTGGATTTAGGGGTTAAGGTTGAGGTTGAGTTTACGGTTTAAGAGGTGAGTTAGGGATTGGAGTTTAGGTTTATTGCTTCTGGATTAAAGGTTTTTGCCGGAGAATGTTTTTATTATTATTATTTGGCGCGTGGTACGTTTGAGACCCAGATTCGTGGAGTTGGAGCTCGCAAAAAATCTATCACCGCTGATGGAGCATCAGCTTCCCTGGGGTGGGGGGCAGTGGGGCACGCCGTGAACGCGGATCCATTGCCCCCCAAGGTTTGGGTTCGGGGAAGTAGAACCTCACACTCATTTGTTTTTAATGCCACGAATCTGCGTCTCGGCATTTGTTTTTTCCCCCATGGCTTGAAGCCCCTTTGAGGGGTGGGGGACTCCGACGAACATCGTGAACCGTGTCCGTTGCTTTGTCTTGACGGTAAACCAACGCATCAGATGAGATGCACGCGAACGAGTCTTGACTTGGCTACAGGAGGCTTCATTATCCCCGCAGTTTGAACGTCGCCAGCGCCGCAAGGTAAAAAGCATGATCGTGCCAAAACAGAGGTCACTCGTGGTTTGGCGAGGTCGTGGAGAAAATTCTCGCTTCAGGAGACGGGGGCTATCGGGGAAATACGCCCAAAGACAAAGATCACCCGTATAGCCTTAACATACTTTTGGGGGCAAGTGCTGTTAGCGAGCGCATATGAAGGTCGGCGCGGCTCAGGTAGCAAAACAACATAAACGTGGCACGAGAAATGCATTAGACTGGCTGATTCCCTTGAAATAATTCCGTATGCCATGCGGGAGAAATACAATCGTGTATCGGGCGAGGGAGGTCAAATATATGTCTGTCCCTCTGCAAACCGAGCACCAAACACGTCAGCACTGTTCAAATCCACTGATTGCCTAAACATTCCAATGCGGACTCCTACTGTAAGAGTCTTCACAATCAGTGTATGGTTGTTGTTGTTGTTTTATTTTTGTTTCCCCTTTTCAAATTGCTGTGAGCATCAGGTCACGGGACAAAGACTCCACTCTTGATCGGCATCTCATCACGAGTCAATTCGGATCTCCCGCAGAGCATGAGGAATTGGTACACGAACTCGTTTGCCCCACCCCGAGGCCCTCTGTCGTCGTGGCGAGCAGACCACGCGACATTGGCATTTAGTTCCTTGAACACATTGCTGCTCTCAATGCCGTCAGGCGCAAGAACAGAACTCTGCTGGGGAGGTGGGGGGGGTGTGTGTTAAGTTGGGAGTAGGAGCGGCACTGGCGCCCCCTGGTGGACACGGGCAGTGAGGCGCGCGTGCCCCCGTGCCGAGACGCAATTCCACGAGCGGTCACCAAAGTGCAGAACACGCTCGCGAATGGGGCTCTAATAGAGGGTGCTCTAGAGAGAGACACCCCCCCCCCCCCCCCCCCCCCTTTTAAGATGGTGTTTTGTGTGTCCAGTTAAGTGTGTCCAGGCAGTAGCTCCAGGCAGTGTGTCCAGGCACGAGCTCCAGTGTCCAGGCAGTAGCTCCAGTCAGTGTGTCCAGGCAGTAGCACCAGTCAGTGTGTCCAGGCACTAGCTCAAGGCAGTGTGCCCAGGCACCAGCTCTAGTCAGTGTGTCCAGGCACTAGCTCAAGGCAGTGTGCCCAGGCACCAGCTCTAGTCAGTGTGTCCAGGCACCAGCTCTAGTCAGTGTGTCCAGGCACCAGCTCCAGTCAGTGTGTCCAGGCACCAGCTCCAGTCAGTGTGTCCAGGCACCAGCTCTAGTCAGTGTTTCCAGGCACCAGCTCCAGTCAGTGTGTCCAGGCACCAGCTCCAGTGTGTCCAGGCACCAGCTCCAGCGTGCCCAGGCACCAGCTCTAGTCAGTGTGTCCAGGCACTAGCTCAAGGCAGTCTGCCCAGGCACCAGCTCTAGTCAGTGTGTCCAGGCACCAGCTCTAGTCAGTGTGTCCAGGCACCAGCTCCAGTCAGTGTGTCCAGGCACCAGCTCCAGTCAGTGTGTCCAGGCACCAGCTCTAGTCAGTGTTTCCAGGCACCAGCTCTAGTCAGTGTGTCCAGGCACCAGCTCCAGTGTGTCCAGGCACCAGCTCCAGCGTGCCCAGGCACCAGCTCTAGTCAGTGTGTCCAGGCACCAGCTCCAGTCAGTGTGTCCAGGCACCAGCTCTAGTCAGTGTGTCCAGGCACTAGCTCAAGGCAGTGTGTCCAGGCACCAGCTCCAGGCAGTGTGTCCAGGCACCAGCTCCAGGCTCGATTGCCACACGTGGCCGCGCGGTGCCCCACGGGAAGCATAGGGGAGAACCAATCAGGACGCGCCATTTCCACTTCGACAAACGCGAGTCGCCCTCAGGGCAGCTCCGCGTGCGTCTCATGGTTTGGGGAGAAGCGAAAAGGCGCCGGAGCTGCCCCGGGGGCTGCGGCGGTAGCGAAAGCTCGCGAGTCGGGGAGCACGTGGGGGAGACGCGGGCCTGTCCACGTGTGGGTGAGTTCGTTATTAAGGAGCTGTAATCGTCTTTAACAATTTAAACTTTATTTGTTTTCCTCGAATGAATTAAAATGCATACCAACCAGTCTCGATCCACTGCTGGATTATCCGGTCGTAGATTCGTTTGGTTGTTGTGCGTCTCGGTGCGGGCTTGGTGAAGATGAGTTGAGCTGGGATCCCGGCCCGGGTTCGATTCCCGCTCACGGCCACCACCGACGCCAGTGATGATTAATATGAACAGGAACCTGGGTGGACTCGGCCATAAATGGGTACTGTACTTGTGTGCATACCTTACCATTGGGGGATACAAAGGCGGCCGGGCGGTGGTGCTTGGCCACCCACCGCCCATCGTGCGCCGTGCCGGCCTTCATAGGTGCTCGCTAACAGCACTTGCCCCTACAGTCTGTTAAAGGCGATACGGGGGGGATCCTTTAGTTGTGTCGAGTGTTTCCAGCAGTGATGATCAATCAGTACAATGCCGTCTAGATGTCTTGTGACCCGACCACTCCGTAGACTTCTCAAGAAACCATTTTCGTTAAAGGTTGAAAAACAAATGAATATGCAAAGGAGGAGGCGGTGGGGGGGCAGGTAAAGTAAAGTTTTGGGGTCAATTAATTGTGGGATCACAAGACATCTGGACCACCCTGTACATCGCTCACCGCTGGTGTTGTTATTCCTGGGGTTATTCGCCCCGCAACGTTGACTCGTGAATGCCCCTTGGCTTTGTCCAGGAAGCCTCGCCCAGATTCGTTTTCAGGCAGGGGTCACGACGCATCCGGGGGGAGGTTTATTACCAAATAATTGAAATGAGCAATTAAAGTGGAGGCAAGGGAACTCCGTTCTGCGTCTCCGGGTAATACTGCAAACATGGTTCGGGCCATCGACCAGTTGGATTCCGAGATTCATATCAGGATTTCTTTAAAGCAGGAAGACTTTTGGTGACTGCAGGAATCCGTACTCTTTGGTCATCACGTTAGGTAGGTTTTATTTTTCCTACCTCCGTGACTTGACCGAAAGAACCAAAGAGTATGGACTCTAAACTAAACTTACTTTATTTTACCAGGTTAGGCCCATTGAGCTATGTTAGCTCTTTTCAGAAGCGACCTGGCCATCATAAATGATAGCTCAACGAAGTGGCTTATCACGTGGACATCTATAGCAGCCAAACACTCTTAACGCATGTTGTTGATTCTAAATGTGGAGGAAAAAAAAACGGAGGACGCGGAGACAAAAAAAATTAACGTGACCACGAGAAGAGAAACACGCAAACTCCAAATATACAGCAGCAGCAGGCGTCAGGGTCGGGATCGAACCCACGAACCTCCCGCGTACCAGGCGAGGTAGTTAACATCTCATGGCCACCATGGCGTCCCTTGTTTTGACCTCGCGAGTTGCACCAGCGGAGTCGCGTGAAACGGAGCCTGCCGGATTAAGACCGAGACGTCGTGTTGTCTTTTATAATGTTTCCCTATCTACGTGACTTCACCGAAAGAACCGGAGAGCATGGATACCTGCAGTCACGAAAGCTTCAAATCAAGATTTAACCAGATGTTGGTGGCAAGAGCACTCCCCACCTAACAGGGCAGGGAGCGGGGACCCCCGTTCATTGCAACTTTTTGCTTTGTGTGTGGGAGGTGACCGGAGAAAGTCCAGCAGCACGCTTCCTAGGGGTGCCACTAACAACAAAAAAACAAATCCACACAGACGGCTTCATAAACCCCACCGCACGCTGCGCTGCCGTTTCCGCATGAACTTCGCGGGCCAGCGGAGGTTGGGGGGTGTTCACGAATCTCGTTGTGGTCCACCAACCCTCGCCTAGAGAGTGCTTGGTCTCCAGGCGTGCATTGCCACCACGTCGACTGTTAGCAACAACGTCGACATCATTCAGTTCACAACAACCGGTTGGATTTGTGCGAGCGCCCTATTGATGGCGTATGCTCTGGACTATGAAGACGCTCCTGAAAGTAAAGACGCGCCCTAAACTTTAGAACGATGTTGAAAAGAAGCGTTTTTTAATAATCGGGAACAGACGGTATTCACTATTGAGTGGCCCCTCCAGGAAGAGGAAGATTATGAGCTCGCTGCTCTGAAATGAAGAGAGATGTCTTCTGGAAGATAATTCTAAACATTTTGGGTGAAATGAAATGTGTGGTGCGCAACACGTGAAAGAAAATAAACAAGTCCATTGGTGCCATTGTGGCCCCAAAGGAAAAACACGTAACCGACGACGTTCCGGGCAATGGACCATCCTCATGGCACGTTATTTTACGTGCCACAACATTTTTAGCGCTTATAATTTTCCTGAGGCACATAATTTGTATGCGCTATGAAGAAGGTGCCATCGCACATGGTCTCTTTTAAAACAGGTTCCTACGGAACGTAATGCAACAACTTCGTGTAGCCATCTCGCTGAAGATGATGATTATTAACGAGGTTAACCCGCCGTTCAAATGTAAAACACTAAATGCTCACGCGCTCCCTTAAAACGTGTGCCTGGGTGATGTTGCAATGCCGTTCCGTTTTGTATTTGTTTCCCGTCAGCGAGATGGCAACTCGTGGATGGCAGGGTGGCCGGGGAGGACGTGGGGGCTTCGGAGACCGGGGCGGTGGAGGTGGCTACCGAGGGAGAGGCGGTGGCGGTGGCTTTGGTGGACGAGGAGGAGGTGGAGGATTCAGGGGGAGGGGTCGTGGAGGATTCAACAACTATGACCAGGGACCACCCGAGGAGGTTATTGGTACGTCGATGGTTCATACGGACACAAATTAACCTTACGTTCGTTCGGTTCCGCTGCTATTTGAGAGGCTTAAACTGGTGCACTGATTCTTATATTGTAAGGCATATCTCATAATTGTAATTAAACATGCTTTTAATGTTGTGGTCATTAAACATTTGATGAAAGCTGGAAGAGCCCAATGAGTTATGAAGCTCCGTCATATTTCTCCACCCCTCTCAAGCTGCCGGGCAAAGGCAGAAAACACAAATAAATAGCACAAATAAATTAAACAATCGTAGATAAACTCAACGGAATCATGCTGTTTTAGAAAAAAAGTTTGCCTGGCTGGCTGACACGCAAGGTGACGTCACCGCGCACAAAGACGTCACCCGTATCCCACAGCGTTTAGCCGGGGCCGTGCGTCGTGCTGTCGTCATGCCTGCTCCCCCACCCCCCACCTCCACCCCTCCACCCCGGCTGCGTATCCCACGCCGCGGGCAGTACGAGCTCCAAAGACAACAACCAAAATTTACATCCATTCCACAATTCCTTCGGGCGCTGCAATATTTATGCTAACTACGTATCGGGGAGAAGTGTTGCCGCTCTCGCCCCCCTGCCAACCCCCCCCCCCCACCCCCCCCCCCCCCCCCCCGCGTATTTACCAAAATGCTTCCTTTGCCCGAACAGAAGTGGGACATTATATGCACCCGTGTGAAGATGACCTTGTCGTCAAGTGCACCACGCACGAGAACAAGGTGCCCTACTTCAACGCCCCCATCTACCTGGAGAACAAGGAGCAAGTGGGCAAGGTGGACGAGATCTTCGGGCAGCTGCGGGATTTCGTATCCTTTATTTGATTTGTCGTGTTCCATTGCCGTCGGCCGACTGACGCCCGCGCTCGCTGGCCCACGCTGCGACCGCTCTTGCGCTACCGGGACAGAGGCCATCGATCAACGAGGAACCTCTCGTGCTCAAAGAGGAAAAAAAAAAACTGGGCATTGCAATGATTGAGATGAGATGTGCGGTGCAAGGCGCTTTGAGTTCCAAGGCATTTAAGCGAGCCTCACCGTCTTAACTATACATGCAGTGGCTTATCCGTATATTTTTGTGTGTGTGGATGACTCATTGCGAAGTGGTTCACATAGCCAACACAGAGTGCGCTGTCGAGGATGTTTGTGTATGTGTGGTGTTCCTTAATCCGGCGGGGAGAGATCGTGCAGTGGTTAGCACACTGCCACAAACCCGACGACCCGTGTTCGTTTCCTGCTCGCAAACAATAATCGCGATTTATTTTGATCGGTCTTGGGCCTCCCCTGGGTCAACTCGGCCTTGAATGAATACCTGGAGCTGTGTAATGATCAGCACTGGGGGAGACAAAGGCGGTCGGGCGTGGGTGCTGGCCACCCACCCCCTCGTGTGCCGTGCCTGCCTTCGCAAGTTACTCGCTGACAGCACTTGCCCCAATAGTCTGTTAAGGCTACACGGGGGATCTTTGTCGTTGTCTTCCTTAATTTGCGCTGCAGTATTTCTCCGTCAAACTGTCGCAGAACATGAAGGCAAATTCCTTCAACAAGCTTCAGAAGGTGAGCGTTCAATCCTCCCGGCGCCGTCTCGTGCTGAGTCATTTGAGAGTCGCGCCCACATGCTCATTCATGTATTTTCCACAATTGTTGTACGGATCTGAAAAGCTGGTCTTTTGTTTATTTAGAACACGCATGTTTTTGTATTTTTTAACCATTTGTAAAATTGTAATGTCGAAGGCAGTGCCATTATACAAAATCCTCAATTTCGTAGTTTAGACTTATTTCGGTGGAACTTACAGCACGTGCATTGTAAGCGTTAAATATAACTTTGCAATGGATATAAGACATCGTGCCAGGCTTGCACTGAGCGAACAGTTGCTCGGAGCACTTTGAAGCAGTCTTTACTCTTCCAAACGGATGTACGGCGAGGCACAAAACAACACTACAGTAATGATGTGTACGCATCTAAAAGTGACGTGCACAATTACCAAGTTATACAGAACTGACATCGCAATCATCGGAACGCCGAGTAAATTTGCATCGTATCGCGGCAAAACTAGAACGTGCCAAACTATTTTTTCATTTTACCGGGTAATGCCACACTGACCTGGCCACAAATGATAGCTCAACGAAGTGGCTTATCACGTGGAAATGTATGTCGCCCAAATACTATAAACGCACATTGATTCTAAATGTGAAGGGAAAATCCGGAAGACCCGGAGAAAAATTCACGCAACCACGGGGAGAGAGGCGCGCAAACTCCAAATATACGACAGGCGTCAGGGTCGGGATCGAACCACACAAACTCCTGTATACCGGCCGATGTAGTTAACATGTCGGCACCAAGGCACCCTGACGATGCCCGATAGCGCCTGCTATGGGAATCCACGTGGCGGCATGCGCCCCACTGTGGCAGGTGACGTGCCGTGACGCGTGCCGGCGTGTGTGTGTCGTCCCCTTCCCCCTCCCCCCGCCTCGCTCTGATAGCTCTTCATCGATCCGGCCAAGCTGCTGCCTCTGCAGCGCTTCCTCCCGCGACCGGGGGGCGAGCGCGGAGCGCGGGGAGGTGCCGGCGGTGGCCGAGGCTTCAGAGGCGGTCGGGGAGGAGGCCGAGGAGGAGGTGAGAGTCGGGACCTTCACTCCGGCGACTGTCGCTTCACACTCGCGTCGTGGTGTTTCATTTTTTTATCGATCTGCTTCTCAATGATAACGATTCGTATGTGTGTGTGTGTACAGTCTGTTCCTCCTGTAAGGTGAATTGGATATAACACGATTTAATGTATTTGGGAACACGTGTTTTTTTTTTTTATAATGCGGATTGCATAGAACGCAATTGAGTGAACGGAACTACGTCGCAGCGCTAGTCGGAATAAGCGGTTTGCAGGGCTGCCTCGGCGTCACGTCACACAGGGCGGGATGCTGCTGGATGCTTCTAGATGCCACCCACGCCCCTCAGTCTTTGCTCGGCCTGTGTACGCATCTCGCGTATTATCGCGGACCGTGCTTTAACCAATATATATTGTTTATTATAACGCAATTTTTCCATAATGCGGTGTTCTTCAGGAACGCAACTATGGCCATGTTATAGGAGAACAGACTGTATGTATGTTGAACTTCTTTCACACCATGCGTAGCCAACCGTGATAATCGGAGGCACGGGGATTTGCATTTACAGGGCACTCGGTCCACCTCCTTATCACTCTGCTGTTACTCCTAGCATGGTTACTGTGTCCCATGGTTACTGTGTCCCATGGTTACTGTGTCCCGTGGTTACTGTGTCCCGTGGTTACTGTGTCCCGTGGTTACTGTGTCCCGTGGTTACTGTGTCCCGTGAGCAATGGCGATGGAACAACAAACACTGAAAGCCATTTGCTGAATTCGCAAATACCAGAATAAACGGCAGTGTATGAATAAGTTCTAAGACGAGATAAAAAAATGTCCACAAACTCGGAGAGATCCTGATATCCAATAAGAGGGAGAGGAACATTACATATATCAATTGGGCAACATTCCGGGCAATGGCCCTCCATCACAGCTGCTGCCGGGTGGATGACTGCAGCAGCCTTAACGCGGCCCACTGTTAAGTGAGAAATCAATGCGGCGCGACCGAACGTCGCTCATCGTTCTCCCGGTCTCCGGAGCAGCAACGCAAGCCGCTGTCGTTGTCGGAGTGCCTTTGGGGTGCCGCATGCGATCATCACCGCGTCGCGCGGCTTTGCCGTTTCCGCCCCCCCCCCCCCTCTCCGCCCGTCGTGTTCGTCGCTAGCAGGTGGCTTCCGCGGGCGAGGCCGTGGTGGCGGTGGCGGAGGCTTCCGTGGCGGCGGACGCGGTGGATTCGGGGGCGGCCGAGGGTTCCGGGGTAAGTTGTGACGCGTTGTAGCGGCAGCGCTCCGTGCAGTGCTGCGCCGTTGTGTGGACCCCGCCGCTGCACTCGTCCCCGTCCCGCGTCCCGTCGTGCAAGAGGCCGTGCGTAACGGTTGCGGCTTCGGTTGGCCGCTCGTGGTCGCGCTCCGGTCGACGGTCGTCGTAGTCACCATCGTGCTCTCGACGGCTTTTGTTGAGACGCCGTGAACTAAAAAAAAATACGAAAGCTCGAAGCTCTCGTTGATAAACACTTTCGGCGCTGATATGATGAAGGTTAATAAACGCCGGTGGCAAGTCGGCGCCGCGTAAGGCCCGTGGCCACGCCAACCGTGTGCTCGGAGCGCTCTTTCGTGGCACTGGTTGTTGCCGTTGATGTATTCTCTTTGCAAAGCACCTTCGTCGCTAACTGCGTAACCCTGAAACGAGAAATACAGCAATACACCGATTTACGTCTTCCGCATTTTACGCCGTTTCTCAAATTCGCCATCGCTTGCTTATTAACACCGCTACCCGATTTGCTTCACCTCGACCCACACACTCACGTCGCTTCTCAGCCTTCGCCTCCGCCTACCACCTCGTAAATCGCTTTTATTGCCGTTTCAATATTCGTCGTCGCACCTTTGAGGAAACTCATCCCCGACGCAAACTGGTGTGTTGCTGTATATCAGAGTATCAGAGGCGACGTTTCCGGCAACGTTCCTTCCTCGTAGGCATACAAAATAGGGCAGAGCGCATCATCGGAGTGTAAGACCCAACGCAGAAGATTCCCCGAGTTTGATCTTCCACGAAGCTCGTGGTCCACCCTAAACTGCATCCACACAAACTATGGCAGATGCGGATAGCTGATGCTCAAAAACTGAAGTAGTGTGCTACTGTGGTCATCCAGAACAGGCCGTACAACGTATAACGGCGCAGTGCACCGATCCACAAATAGGAAGGAGGCATCACGGCGATGATGTACTACTCCGCTGGCTCCTGACGCGGTTATCTGTGCTGACCACCTGAATGTGAGATTGTAGCCGTTGCTCGGCATCAGCTGTATGAAAGGAAGACGATGAGAGTGTGAGACTGCACTTGTTTCACGACCATGTTTTTTTAAGCGGGCATATGAAGTTACACTAATAGTTGTTCCCGAGTAACAGACAAAACACCCTTTAACAATCAAAACGCGTTGACTAAGAAATAAACTCATTTTTAAATAAATAGAAAATGTTGCTGGCGCATTGCATTGTGGGAAGACGAGGCACTCCTGGGGCCAGTTGCCACCTCCGTAGGAGGAGATCAACTGCCCCCACGATTCCTAATGGTGGATACATCTTGAGAATAGATGTACGCACGTGCAGTAGAATCCCCTCTTAACGACGCTTATCGGTTCCACGAAACCGGTCGTTAATTCGTTCTGATAGCATCGAAAGTTAACTCTTTGTCACCCAAAAAACATACTTTTTTATATTTAAACAATGGATATTAATGCATAAAGATACTGACAACATAAACACAATATAAAAATAAACATGGTTAATCAATGCGTTTAATTTATATTAACTGTATCTAAAACAACCCGTTGTTAACAGGGGAATGGTCGCTAAGCGAACACATTGGGCTCTATGGAGACACTACACTACTCTGTACACTACACTACTATACACTACGCTCTACACTATACACTACACTACTATACACTACGCTCTACACTATACACTACACTATACACTACGCTCTACACTATACACTACACTGCTATACACTACACTATACACTACACTATACACTACGCTCTACACTATACACTACACTATACACTACACTATGCTCTACACGATACACTACGCTATACACGTTACACTACACTACTATACACTACGCTCTACACTATACACTACACTACTATACACTACACTACTATACACTACACTACTATACACTACACTATACACTACTATACACTACTATACACTACACTATACACTACACTATATACTACACTACTGTACACTACATAGTGGGCTCTGGAGGCCCGTCGTTAAGCGATTAGTCGTTAACGGGTGCTCATTAAGAGGGGATCTTTTGTCTATGACACTAGACTAAAACTAAAGCTAAAAAGAGTTGAGGTTTGTCTTGCACTGTTTCCGATCTACTGAGCAGTTTTAGTCCTGGCCTGGTATACAGGAGGTCGTGGGTTCGATCCTGACTCTGATGCCTGCTGTGTATTTGGAGTTTGCGGTGTCTCTCCCTGTGGTGGCGTGGATTTTTGTTATCCGGTCCCTCCGGTTTTTCCCTCCAGATTTTAGAATCAACGTGTATTTGGCTGCTGTAAATGTCCACGTGATAAGCCGCTTCATTATCATTTGTGGCCAGGTCGTTTCTGAAAAAGCGCGATAATAGCTCAGCGGGTCCTTACCCGGAACAATAACACAAAATAGTTTTTAGTTCAAATCATTTTCGTTAATATTTTACTCATCTGAATCTTTTAATTTCTATTCCAGGCGGAAGTCGAGGAAGATAAAGCGGACCCACGCACATCAGGGAGGGGGTGGGGGGGGGGGCACATCGCCGCCTCTGCTCCCGCCCGACTTGGTGGCCTGCAGCCCTCCCCTCCTCCCTCTTCGCTTTTCCCCCCCGTCGACCGCCACCGTTGGCGTTCGGCGAGTCCTTGCCGTGACACGGTGGGGGAGGGGGGGATGGTCTCTCGCTCCTCCGACCTCTTGTCGACGAGCGAACGAACGTTCACACGGGGGCCCGAGGTGGTTTTGTTTTTTAACGTGTTGAGGTTGCCGCGACCGTTTGACCCCCGCCCTACCCCGCCCCGGAAACTGCCGCGCGCATCTTAAATTAAGTATCGTGCCGTGTATAAATATTCTTGCTCATCGCCGTCACAGAATGCTCTCCTATCCATTTACTGCGAACTTTAAACCAACAATAAAAATAAATCGTGATGTTTTGAACCTTTTGTTTGCCTTTAACAGTGCCGAACTTGTAAATTGGAGCATCCTTTTTCTGTCTGTATATACTTTAGCGGCAGTGCTCGAAGCTACCCGGATGCGACAGCCGAAACGACCGAGTTCAGATAAGCAGAGGGTTCCTTTGACGCACTGCCTGTGCTGCGTTCGTCCGTGTCTGAGCAGCTTTAGTGGGTGATTTTCCCCATCGTGTACCCGTGGTGCGATTCACTGGTAGCAGCATACCTATACCACCACACCCGTCGTGTTGCTGTGGCCATCGACCAGACTTTCAATCCAGAGGTTGCCGCTTCGATTCAGTCTCTCGGCACGGCAGTTTGAAACGATTAGCGAGAGTTTATTAAAATCTGCACCCCCCCCCCCCCCCCCCCCATCAAGATCTGTCCACCCAACAGCATAAATGGATTCACCATGTTTTAGTGGGGTAAAGTGTGGGTGTACTACCTTCTCTTCCAAGACCTCTTGCCTGAGTAGAAGAGTAGGCCAGAATATATCCACAAGGTGGGGGGGGGGGGCGGTGCTCCAGAGCCTCCCTCTGACGACGGAGGGCCTCCTATCCTAATAAAGAATTTTTAAAAAAACAATGAGGCCTCCTATCCTGCCAGCAGTGATATAGGTAGGGGGAAGGCTGCACCTTTACCAGCGTCTTAAGTCACCGGTTCTTAACTTTTTCTGCAGCCTGCACCCCTTTGGTTCTCAATCGTAAAAACAAATGTATAATGTTAATACACACAGGTTTGATCAAACTAAGTAGTTGCGCTTGCGTGCCCGCGCGTAATTCGTGTTTTTAATGATGATTTGCCTTTTGAAAAAATCTGACCATGTTTCACACACCACCAGAAAGAGCATCTCGCACCCCCAGGAGGTGTTTGCACCCCAGGTTAAGAACCACCACTGCGGCTTGGTGGTGGGTGACCTGTGGGCCGCGTGAGTCCCGTGGAGCCCTTCCTCGCGATGCCTCTTGGTCTCGGCGTGTCGCTAGGGGGGTGATGCGTGGGGTCCCGATTAGCGCCCACACACAATGTCAGGCTTGCGGCCGCACCGAGGTGAAGGAGGGATGCTCGTGTGGCCCACCGACTCGTCTGGGTTGCCCCTCGGATGTGTTTAATGGCTTCACCCCTTTCCCGTTCCCGATGACGTACGTGCGTATATTTGGCACTCCCCTCGTATGTGTACGTCATCGGTGTTTCTTTTTTCGATGACGTGCGTTTACGTCATTGGAACGAAATCGTAAGTAATAAAAGGACACGCGGGAAGGGGCGTGTGGCACAGTTTGTCGCCGGCTATCGTAGAGTGGCGGTCGTGTCGCGGTTCTCTGCGGGTGAGTGCAGTGTCTTGAAAAGCAGCGGCGCTATGCTTCTCTAAAATTATCGCTCGCCAGTTGCGCGTTCCGAGGTTTGGCGGTGAACGGGACACCCACGCTGCAACTTGCAGGCGTCTCAGAACGGGAAAGGTTTAATTTTTACGAGTAGGTGAGCAGGATGGGTATTCAGAGAGCTGGAACCTGGTGGTCCGCATGTGCAGATGTTTCTGCTGTTCGGAGCAAATTGTATCTTCGTTTCTTGGCACACTTTTTTATTCGGTACATGAACACAACGGTGCTGGAAAAATCCAACTTTTTCAAGGTCCCCTCCTTTCATCCATTGCATTTCCATGCCCCTCTCAAGGTAGCCGTGCATCGCCTTCAGGTTTTCTTTTTTTTGTTGGAAAGTGGAGAGGGCGAATGTTATTTTAATCTTTTGAAATAAAAGAATCACAAAAGGTGATGCGTTTCCGTGGTCGTGAGCAATGGGGTGACGGCGATTCTCCATTAACGACTTGCACTGTGGACATTCCACATTGCCATGCCGGGGCCAGTCACAATCAGACCAGCACTGCTAACGTCCTACAAAGCGATACTTGCTTTATTAAACCTCCCCTCCCACCCCGAAAGGGATTTCAACTTAGAATTTTTTTCTGATGGCAAAGCAAATACGTATGCTAACGACAATGCCACCTGGTCGAAATGTAAACATTGCCCTACCGAACAGAATAATATTTATCCTGGATAAATCCGATTAACTATGAAGCTTTCTTGTCACATACCCAGTAGGGTCAGGTAAGCAAGTTGCAACGCTAAAAGTGTAAAATATAGAAAATATGAGCAAGTCACCATAAATAAATCAAGGATATAACGAGAAGCTGTGGTGGTGGTGATGATGACGGTCGGACAGCGGCGAAACTCCCTGGCGAGCTCGGCGCTCTCTGCTCCGCCACGTGTCGGGAAAAACTTCGCCGGCAGCGTGGAGGGAAGGGCGCTTGAGATCACCGTCGAGTCTACCCCCCCAAAACATGTGGAACGTTTGGCCGCGGTTGGAAATGTTAGAACAACGTTGGCCCAACATCCCACGTTGACTTAGATGGGGCTGACTCGGTTCGCGGCGTAACCTTCCTGGAGTCCGCCTCCCGCCGGTAAAGTCTAAGTTCGCGGTAGACACCGCGGACCTGGAAATGGTACGGATGTAGCCTTTGGTGTCATGGTGAGCGCAGTTGCGCCGACAATCCAGAGGTCGCTGGGTTCGATTCCATCTCTCGGCGCGGTAGTTAAAACGATGGGGTAGGAGAGGGGGGGTAGGAGAGGGGGGGTAGGAGAGGGGGGGTAGGAGAGGGGGGGTAGGAGAGGGGGGGTAGGAGAGGGGGGGTAGGAGAGGGGGGGGTAGGAGAGGGGGGTAGGAGAGGGGAGTAGGAGAGGGGGGGTAGGAGAGGGGGGGTAGGAGAGGGGGGGTAGGAGAGGGGGGTAGGAGAGGGGGGTAGGAGAGGGGGGGTAGGAGAGGGGGGGTAGGAGAGGGGGGGTAGGAGGGTAGGAGAGGGGGGGTAGGAGAGGGGGGGTAGGAGAGGGGGGGTAGGAGAGGGGGGGTAGGAGGGTAGGAGAGGGGGGTAGGAGAGGGGGGGTAGGAGAGGGGGGGTAGGAGAGGGGGGTAGGAGGAGGGGGTAGGAGAGGGGGGGGTAGGAGAGGGGGGTAGGAGAGGGGGGGTAGGAGAGGGGGGGTAGGAGAGGGGGGGTAGGAGAGGGGGGGTAGGAGAGGGGGGGTAGGAGAGGGGGGGTAGGAGAGGGGGGGTAGGAGAGGGGGGGTAGGAGAGGGGGGGGTAGGAGAGGGGGGGTAGGAGAGGGGGGGTAGGAGAGGGGGGGTAGGAGAGGGGGGGTAGGAGAGGGGGGGTAGGAGAGGGGGGGTAGGAGAGGGGGGGTAGGAGAGGGAGGGTAGGAGAGGGGGGTAGGAGAGGGGGGGTAGGAGAGGGGGGGTAGGAGAGGGGGGTAGGAGAGGGGGGGTAGGAGAGGGGGGGTAGGAGAGGGGGGTAGGAGAGGGGGTAGGAGAGGGGGGTAGGAGAGGGGGGGTAGGAGAGGGGGGGTAGGAGAGGGGGGTAGGAGAGGGGGGGTAGGAGAGGGGGGTAGGAGAGGGGGGTAGGAGAGGGGGGGGTAGGAGAGGGGGGGTAGGAGGGTAGGAGTGGGGAGTAGGAGAGGGGGGGTAGGAGAGGGGGGGTAGGAGAGGGGGGTAGGAGAGGGGGGGTAGGAGAGGGGGTAGGAGAGGGGGTAGGAGAGGGGGGGTAGGAGAGGGGGGGTAGGAGAGGGGGGTAGGAGAGGGGGGTAGGAGAGGGGGGGTAGGAGAGGGGGGGTAGGAGAGGGGGGGTAGGAGAGGGGGGGTAGGAGAGGGGGGGTAGGAGAGGGGTAGGAGAGGGGTAGGAGAGGGGGGGTAGGAGAGGGGGGTAGGAGAGGGGGGGGTAGGAGAGGGGGGGTAGGAGAGGGGGGTAGGAGAGGGGGTAGGAGAGGGGGGTAGGAGAGGGGGTAGGAGAGGGGGGTAGGAGAGGGGGGTAGGAGAGGGGGGTAGGAGAGGGGGTAGGAGAGGGGGGTAGGAGAGGGGGGTAGGAGAGGGGGTAGGAGAGGGGGGGTAGGAGAGGGGTAGGAGAGGGGGGTAGGAGAGGGGGGTAGGAGAGGGGGGGTAGGAGAGGGGTAGGAGAGGGGGGTAGGAGAGGGGTAGGAGAGGGGGTAGGAGAGGGGGGGTAGGAGAGGGGTAGGAGAGGGGGGTAGGAGAGGGGGTAGGAGAGGGGGTAGGAGAGGGGGGTAGGAGAGGGGGGTAGGAGAGGGGGGGTAGGAGAGGGGTAGGAGAGGGGGGTAGGAGAGGGGGTAGGAGAGGGGGTAGGAGAGGGGGGTAGGAGAGGGGGGTAGGAGAGGGGGGTAGGAGAGGGGGGTAGGAGAGGGGTAGGAGAGGGGGGTAGGAGAGGGGGGTAGGAGAGGGGTAGGAGAGGGGGTAGGAGAGGGGGGGTAGGAAGGGGGTAGGAGAGGGGGGGTAGGAGAGGGGTAGGAGAGGGGGTAGGAGAGGGGGGGTAGGAGAAGGGGGGGTAGGAGAGGGGGTAGGAGAGGGGGGGTAGGAGAGGAGGGGTAGGAGAGGGGGTAGGAGAGGGGGTAGGAGAGGGGGGGTAGGAGAGGGGGTAGGAGAGGGGGGGTAGGAGAGGGGGTAGGAGAGGGGGGTAGGAGAGGGGGTAGGAGAGGGGGGGTAGGAGAGGGGGTAGGAGGCACTTTCTCAACCCCCCCCCTCGTACTGCCTCTGTCCACCCAGCCGAGTGGCTTCGGGTCTGGCGGGGCAAAGTGTGGGTCTAATATCGCTGTCGCCTTGAAAGGAAAATAATAAGCGACGTTTTGGGCAATGGCCCTTCTTAATAGCACAGATTTTTTTTATTGGAACCGTCGCTTATTTATTTATTTGTAAGGCCACTGTGCTGTTATGACGAATGTGTTGAGGTTGTTTGTGTTGATTGTGCACCACTTCCAACGCAGCAGCACAACAAGCATCAGCATAATTTAAGTAAAACAAAAAGCGCATAAGTTCACAACACTTCCTTACCAAAATAAAAAATAGACATTTAAAAAAATATTAAAAAGTACATTTCTAACAATCCATCAGCCGCACGGCCTTCTGGGAGTGCACAATTGTTCCAGCAGCATTGATTCAAAACGAGCAAAACCCTGCAGCGGTTTCGACATGCAAGTGTCTCATCGGCAGTCAGGCTTGCTGCAATCAATGCTGGCGATGGTGACGGACCTTCGTAATTATCATTCCCGATATAAGGGGGCTTCATTGCAGTCCACCCTGCCGCCCCCTGTGGTTCAGTCGGAGCACAGGCGGTTTGCATGAAGCAACTCGGCTCTGCCCCCTTGCTGTCATCCACCTGACGAGCCTCTCGATCCTCCACCATCAGCAGCATTAGCAGCCTCGCCTCCGTCTGCCTGTGCTGCGCTCATTTCCAGCCTCTCCTCCTCCCCAGCCGCGCGTTGCAGCTGCGATGAAGGCTCAGCAGTCAACGGCGTTGGTGTTGCTTCTGTGCTCGGCACTCATCTCCCTGACCCTCTGTGCTAAGGTACTTGTGACTGCGTGGTGGTGGTGGTGATGGCCCATTGCCGGGGGCCCTAAGGAATTATTTTAGGGGGTCCAGAGCCCTGCCCCCCACCACACGCACACTTCGGATTTGTAAACTCCTAGCGAGATAAAAGGGATTGTAGACGAGGGACAGAGATGAAGTGCATCGAGATGTACTGCATCGAGGGCGCCAAAGTGGCTAAGAGATGTTAACTCCTTTGCCTGGTATGCAGGAGGTTGCGGGTTCGATCCCGACCCTGACGCCTGCTGTATATTTGGAGTTTGCGTGTCTCTTTCCCCGTGGTCGCATGGATTTTTTATCCGGCTCCTCTGGTTTTTCCCTCCACATTTAGAATCAACATCACGTGTGTAAATTTCCACGTGATGTTGTTAAGCCACTTTGTTAATTTCTGTGATTTGTGGCCAGGTCGCTTCTGAAAAAAAGAGCGAATAGCTCAGTTGGCTTTAACCAGTAAGATACAAAAACATGTTTTAGTTTTAATAGTAGACGTTCGGTAGAGATGTATTAAGATGAAGGGATACGGAAGAGACGCAGATGAGACTCGTTTTGAGATGTGGGCAAATAAATATATAGAGATATATGCAATATCTACAGATGGGATAGAGGTGTGCTGTAGTGTGATGCGAGAGATGTCGACGAGACACAGATGTAGCGAGATGGCAGAGGATAGACACGGATGAGACAGGTGTAGACACGAGAGAGAGAGTTATATTAGAGTTATAGAGAGTCAAACTTGATCCGAGCGATGCAGATGTGAGACGAGAGGCAGACACAGAGATGTAGCTGGACGAGATTAGAGAGATTCATACGAGTGGGATGTGATCGTCTAAAATAAATGGGGTGGGGAACCTTTTTTCTGCCAAGGGCCATTTGGATATTTATATAACATCATTCGCGGGCAATACAAAATTATCAACTTAAAAATTAGCCTGTTATATTTGGTCAAACATTTAATTAACTCACCCCTAATGCGATGGCTGGAACTGCTTCTCTTTGGTGAGGCGTGTGATGATGTTAGCTGGTATTGATGATGCTGCTACTCGCAACTGCTTTTCCAGGTTTGTTCCTAGATTTATTGAATTTCGAGTCCGGCCGGCGGTTGCCTTGGCAGGGCCAGAGACCCAAATTATTTCGCGGGCCTTAAAAGGCCCGTGGGCCGGACGTTCCCTACCCCTGGTCTAAATGATGGTTTCTTTTTTTATATGCGCGTTGGATTGTATGTTTATTCCGACCTGAAATCGAGCGAACATTTGGTCTCTTTTTTTTTAATCAGCTGCTTGGGGAGCCTATGCTCTATGCCAAAGCGCCACCTCCGAGTACTGGATAGAAAAACTCGCAGACCAGTTCCGCTCGCTGCTCTTCCCCCCACCCCACCTCTCTCTCTCTCCACTGTGACGAATGTACATGGAATAATCACTCGTAACTACACGTAGAAATACACACAGTATGTCTATATGAATACGTACAAATCACGCCGTTTCAAGTAACGACTAGAACATTCGATGGATGTGAGTTTACTCGCTGGCTTGGGGGGGCGGTGTTGGCCAACCCTTTTTTTGTTTGTGCAAATGCTGAAAAAAAAAAGAAATCAATGTTTGGTTGTTTGCCTGTCCCTGTGCATTCAAAGGCCTTCAGATAAAGTTCGCAAATAAGAGCACAGATTAGGGGGGGGGGGAATATATGTGAGGGTTTTTGCAAAAAATCAGTTACTGGAATTTGATTCGGCAGAACTTTTAGTCAAAAATAAGCAGAGACGTGAAACGTGTTACTCATTTACAGTCACGAGGCTCACCACGTGGTGGATCCCAGGAGGATGGCGATGGGGATGACCTAGAAAATCGGTATTGTATTGATATTCAACCGGGGAAAGTATTTTTTTGTGATTTGAATCTTCTTTGCATGGCTGATGTTCATGTTAAGAGCATTTGGCTGATGTGAACTTCCACGTGACGATAAGCCACTTCGTTGAGCTATCATTTGTGGTGGTCAGGTCGCTTCTGAAAAAGAGCTACATAGCTCAGTGGGTCTTACCTGGTAAATTAAAAAGTTTAGTTTAGTCGCGTAGAGCAAACTCTGTAATTTTACATTCAGGTAGTTGAGCCAGACATCCGGCCTGGAGTAGTAAAGTGTATCGCTGTGATGACGCCTCCTCCTTCGTATAAAATACTAATCTCGGGACCAATTTATAATAGTTTACCTATTTATGAAGGAGAGCCGCACTCCCAATAACTACCGACCTATCTAAATTTTGTCCCCATTGATGAACATTTTTTAAAAATTATTGAACGACCAAATTAGCAGTTTCCTGTCCACCAACAATCTACTACATCTAAAACAATCTGGGTTCCGAAAAAAAATACAGCACCACATCTGCTGCATTAGACTCTCTGAATCAAATTTACAGTAGCCTTGATAATAAGCAGTACTGTCCCTGTCTTTTTCTTGACCTGTCCAAAGCTTTTGATACAGTAGACCACAGCACCCTGCTTGGTAAACTAAGCTGCCTCGATTTTTCCAAAAACACTGTAAAATGGTTAAAAAATTACCTCTTTTCTCGCACCCAAACTGTATTCACAGATGGTTGGAGGTCAAACAGTGTTAAGATAACAAAAGGGGTTCCACAGGGTTCCATCCTCGGCCCCCTCTTGTTCTCTCTTTATGTCAATGACTTGGGCACTGACCTGGATCATTCCAGGGTAAATCTTTTTGCAGATGACACGATACTGATTACTGCTGGCCGCTCTCCGGATGACGTGATTGCTAAGCTCCAGGGTGATTTCAACAAACTACAACATCAGCTAGTTGCTCTTAAACTAGTCCTAAATACCTCCAAAACCAAGGTGCTATGCTTCTCACCGGGACTAAAGCAGGAAGTTATTTTTCCCAAATTACATTCCTTAAATAATGATCAAATAGAGCAAGTCAAGTTCTATAAGGATCTTGGGGTCATCCTGGATTCAAAACTGAATTTTGAAGCTCACATTGATTATATTGGTAAAAAGACAAAAATAAAAATTGGTTTTCTGTATCGACACAAGCACTTCTTCCCCCCTATGTTCCGTTTGGAATTGATAAAAGCTACCATACTGCCTCTACTTGATTACTGTGACATCGTGTATAAATCAGCCCCAAGTACTGTACTGAAGAAGCTTGATTCCATCTATCACTTGGCCTTAAGATTTGCATTGAACTGCCTATATAGGACTCACCACTGTGATCTCTACATTGGGTCAAACTTTTAACATCTCTTAATGTTCGACGGCTTGTACACCAGATCTTATTTATTCACGATGTACTTAGAAAAAAATCCGCAGACTACCTGCTGGATCTCCTCTCTGTTTCAAAGAACAAATTTGACCTCAGGTCTTCGCTCATCTACCAGCTTCATATTCCCTATTGCCGTACAAAAACCGGAGGAAGGGCCTTTGCTATTGATGCCCCCAGGGTCTGGAATGTTATTGCCAATAAACTGCAACTTGAATCACTACCTATGAGATCTTCACTCAAAACTGCTCTAATGGAGTTGTACAACCCTAGCTGCCACTGCTATTCAGTGGCTTAAAATAAAATAAAATGTGTCGCTCCGGATGACCGCTGCAAAGTATTATCTGTATTTTGATTTAGTGTGCTGATCTTAAAGGTGCATTGAAAAATGTAATACTCCGACTGATGCTCCTGTTGTTTGTGGAGTGACTTATGCAGCCAGCTGTGGCTCTAGGGTTTGGTGTTACATGTTTTTTATGTAGTTTATTGTTAAAAATTCGGTCACAGTTGCTATGATCACTGTTACATTGCATTTATGGCTTTATTTTGGTGATTTCTAAAATATTTTGGTTTGGCCATGATTTTGTTTATTGTAGTACGGAGTTAGACTGATGGCCTTAATCTAAGTTTTCTTGTTGTTGTTGTTTGATTTGTGTCCCACTGGGATTTTTGCACACAGCGTTGGTGTACGGTGCTATTTCAGGAATATTTTGATGTTTTTTCCTGGATTTTCTGTTTGCACATGCACAAAGTCACTTTAAGATGTTTTCTTGTTCATGTTTTTGTTTTTTTGTTTGTTGCGGTTGCACCCGATTCAAGAGCCGAATGGCTCACAGGGCTATACCAAATAAATGAAAACCAAACTAAGCTAAAACTAAAACTGAGTCTCAGGACTCATTTTCATTGAAGTTTTAAATTTGTAGATGTTTTCAGCCAACCAATGACAAGCTGTGTGTATTATACACGTGGGGGGGGGAAGGGGAAGCGGATCACCCTGAGAAATCCCACGCACGCCCGCGAGGGAGCAACACTCTATGCTCCATACGGGGCGGCCGCGGCATTCAAACCGCGAATTAATGACGCGCTGGGCCACTGCGTCATTCATTCATCACCGCGTCATTCATTCATCACCGCGTCATTCATTCATCACCGCGTCATTCATTCATCACCGCGTCATTCATTCATTCATCACGCATAGTCCAGCGAAGGACCGTCGCGTTCATAGGCGGAGTTTGACTTTTATATTTGGGGGGGAGGGGTGGGGGGGGTAGGGGTTCGTTTTGTCCAGTACATTAGGAATCGTGGGTGCATAAGTAAAATGTATTTATTTATTATCTTAATTGCAAAATGCTGAAAATACATTTTCAGTAGTTTGGGCAGGGGGCATTGCACTCCCCCCCCCCCCCCCCCCCCCCCCCGCAAAATCTGCCCCCATGCGTTGCGCCCGACAGTGTGTGACCTCTTGCGACAGCATTCGCATCAACTGATCCTGCCTGCCATACAACCGGCGCGTGTCTCGTCGAGTGATTTCTGTCACCCACGGATGACGGGGGTGGGGGAAGGCGACCACGAGAGAGAGGGCGACGCTATTCCTTTGAAGGGGGGGGGGGTCGCAGTCCGTCCACCCCCCCCCCCCCCCCCCCATTTCAAACGTTGAGCGCCAAGCCGAAGTGAGCGCGCAATTTTTTGCCGGCAGGAGTTTTTCGCATGGAGACGGTGGGGCAACCGTGGGTCCATAGAGTGACAACCACTATGCCACCGGGGTCACCGCCCTCGAACCTAGCGGTTTTGTGGAGGGGGGGGGGGCGTTGGTGGTGGGTCTCTGCATTGAGGCTTTTGTCTCCACCTTTGTGCAGAAGTCTCCGAAGAAGGCAGTGACTCGGAACACGACCACCGCAGCCATTCCTACCACGACGCAGCAGACGGACGTGGCACCCACAGTCGCCAAGAAACGCGGTTGGTAGAGCAAAACAACGGGAAAAAAACGGCACGGGCCGCAATCATTGAATCGTAAATTCAACTTATTTGGTTTAAAATGTTCAGATTTGTTGTTGTTGTTAATATGTATCAGGGGGGAGGGGTTGCCACGTAGAAACGACACACTCAGCAGCGACGGATGAGCAAATTTCGGACCGAACCGAACAACACGCCCCAGTATTATCTGGGTCTTTCGGTAAAGTCACGGAGATAGGTTCAAAGAAAATAACAAAAACTATTTTTTTAAAACTACGGCGTTTCAATCGATGACGAACGCTTGTGTTGCGATCGAAACGTATGTTTTTTTGTTATTTTCTTTGAACCCAAAGAATATGAATTCCTGCAGTTACGAAAGCTTTAAGTAAATATTTATTTAACACGCCCCAGTGTTCGCGTGAAACCGGATCCGCCTGGCGCACGCGTGGGTCACGTCTTAGTTTCCGGATCACCTCGTCAAATGCGGCGAATACAAATTTGGGGCAAATTGTCCCTCCCGTCCCAGGAACTTGACGTGAATATTTTTTTGTTATCTCTCTCTCTCTATCACGTTGCGTGATCATAAGAAACAAATGGACATACGTGCACGTGACGAGTGGGCTTACAGGCCAGCCTTCCACCGACCACTATCCCGATAAACTACTGAGGGCCCAACCAATCTTTCCAATCTCACGGCCCCTTTCATCACTCCACTGGTCTGGTGGTCAGTGCGAGGTGGGTGGGGGGCAGCTCAAGAGCAGTTCAAATCTCGCCTGCCGCTGATGTTAGCCGTGACCGAGAGCATGGACACTGCCACATGGGTGGAGTTTGCGGGGGGTCATGGGGGCCAACGCGCCCACCCCCCCCAACTGGACACCTTTCACAATAGAGTTTTTTTGGGGGCTTAGATCCCGTAAATATATAAATGTTGTGTCGTTAAACCCGCAACCACCCGACACAGCCAACTAGTAAAGTTTGTCACTTAAACAGAACGTGGCCAATTCGTTAGCAGTACAGCAACACACCGGTGTGTTGGAGAGCCATGCCACAACATTTACAATCGGAATACGACGTTTCGCCAGTAATTGCGACTAGCTTCATCAGGCGACAGACAGATTTGTGGATGACTTCTGTTGTATTCCTTAAATAGAGGGCTAGATGTGATGACGTCACTTGCCTGTTGATGACGTCACTTGCCTGTTGGGTTATTTACATGGTAAATCAACGTATACATTATGCGTGCACATTATGCAAGCCCATTGTAGTTTACAATGATTACATTGTATGCACCCCCGATTTCTAACGTGAGGGACAAAGCGAACACGTGCCCCACCCCCCAAATGCAGAAGTGAAACTCTTCCTATGTACTAGCAGGTTCATCGTGCACTACCGAGCTCACCACTGTCTTTGTTACACCGCCCCCCTGCCATCCTAGCATTAATATTTTTTAATAAAAGCTATAGTCTTATGCAATGTGTGTATATATATAGACTCGCTGGGGGGAGGCCGTTACCCGGACCCAAGGGATGAGGTTGTTAATGCGTGAATATGCGATGGGTGTTGTGATCTACGTGTGACAAGTATGGAGAAGTGGTTTTATTAAATGTCATCATTCGAAAACTGAAACGAAATGCCTAAAAGACATGTTTGTTATGCAACATTTTTCGTACGCACTCAATCCTCTTCTGAACAAATTGGGTCTTCAATCAACACGGTGGAATTTTATCTTGGCAATGCCACGTGTAATTGTCCATGGGCAAAAAACTGGCTGGTTCAAATACAATCCCAAGTGTTGAACTGACTGTCCTTGGCGCTTTGTTGATGGTGATTGCAAATGCAACTTGAACAGGGAACTGTCTTCATCGGAGTTGGAGCGAAAGGCCGGATTTGTTGCAGCTGATCATTGTAATGTGAGGGATGTAAACTCTTTTCGCATGAAGAGAGCCAGTCGTGATCATCGCATCAATGCAATTTCTTGTCAATGGGCAGATTTTAATTCTTGTTCCATTGCAGAGACCTTGTTCTCCAATGGTATTTCGAATCAACGCGATTGGCGCTCCAACTTTCAAACATAGCCAGCGAGTGTCAACGTTTTAAAAAAAAAAACTCCTCAGGGTATTAAAGCGTCTGCTGAACATCAGGCACGAAACTACTATCTGTTATATAAACTCCCTGGTTCTCTCGGTAAAGTTAAGTCGATAGAAAAAAAAAAAAAACACGACGTTTCGGTCGCAACACAAGCGTCCGTCTTCAGATGACAAAGATGTGTTTGGGTGATTTGTTTAGCTTCCCTGTACCTGCACTACTATCGTGTTGTTATTCTTGGTTCTATCGGTAAAGTCACGTAGAAGGGAAACAATAAAATAGTAAAAAATATATAAAACAATAAAATTATCACGACGTTTCGACAGCAACACAAGCAATCATCATGCTGTGGTTTTCACTCCTGATGATGATTGCTTGTGTTGCAGTCGAAACGTCGTGATAAATTTATTTACTTATTATTTTATTGTTTCCCTTCTACGTGACTTTACCGAAAGAACCAAGAATATGAATCCCTGCAGTCACGAAAGCTTTAAATCAAAATTTCACCGTGTTGTTGTCATGTTTGTTCGTGTTCTTACCCAGTGCCCCTACTGGACATCTGTGAAAAAGAGCTTTACAGCTCATCGGATTCCTCCTGCAAGATGCATATTCTGATTCTGATGTACGTCAGCCCAATGATGGCAAACTAACATCCGTAATAATGTTACCGGCATCAGCTTTAATCCACATTGCTCACCGTAGCTGTTGGGCTGTTTGGAATATACCACTCACTCACTCAGGCGGGGGGGGGGGGGGAAACAAACAGTTTCGCATGGTACTGATAGTTCAAAACATAAAAAAGATACAGCATTATAACATTACTGCTACTATCATTAAACAATTATTTAAGCAATTAAAATTTAAATAGGGCTAAGTTTTATTCGTACAATTGTGAAATAATGAGATACAATCACCCCTGTGGTTGATAATGGTTTCTTGCTCCGTTGTTTTTAGCGGATGCATTCTTTTATTAAATTGTCATTACATTTAAAAATGTTTTAAATATAATACCACGTATTTGTGTTAACATCCCCGATTGTAAATGTTGTTTTGGCCAATCAACAGGTGGGAAAGAAAGAGCGTTACTGTGACACACGCACGAAACTACAAACTTTGTATATATAAGATTTGGCCCAGTACCCGGATTTATTATACCGTGCATTTATGAAACAAAACTATAGCAACCTGACCACAAATGATAGCTCAACAAAGTGGCTTATATTTTTTTTTAAAGCTTTCGTGACTGCAGGGATTCATATTCTTGGTTCTTTCGGTAAAGTCACGTAGAAGGGAAACAATAACATAATCAAAATATAAAACAATAACGTTCTCACGACGTTTTGACTGCAACACAAGCAAGCATGGTGTGAAAACCACACAGTCGAAACGTCGTGAGAATTTTATTGTTTTATGTTTTTATTATTTTATTGTTTCCCTTCTACGTGACTTTACCGAAAGAACCAAGAATATGAAGTGGCTTATGTGGAAATATATATCAGCCAAATAATGTAAATAACGCATGTTTCTAAATGTGGAGGGGAAAATCGGAGGACCCAGAGAAAAATCCACGCGACCACGGGGAGAGAGGCACCGCAAACTCCAAATATACAGCAGCCGTCAGGGTTGGGATCAAACCCACAACCTCCTGCATACCAGGCGAGATAGTTAACATATCGCCACCGTGTCGCCCTATTTATAATACATGTGTTCGAATATACGAGAAATTATCGGTGTGACATTTTGGACGATTCAAATAAAATAATCTCGGGTTAGGATTGGTCCAAAAATACGACGCCACGCGAAACACGTGACGTGTTACGTCACGTGACAATTGCGCCACGTGGGCATCGGATGACATCACTTTCGTTAGTACGAAAGCGATTTTTTTCTAAAAATCTGAAATAATAAATTAAAAAATGTCCTTAGAAAGTCGGAACACACCAAATGTGCGTGTGTTTTTTTTGTTCTGTGTCACAATGTGTTGCAATTGTGATTTAAAAAGAAAAACCCGGACTGGGACACTCCAGTCAGTGGCCGTTGCAAAGGTAAGGGGCCGTCCATAAATGACGTCACGCACCTAGGGGGGGGGGTCAGACATTTGTGACGATGTGTGACGAGGCGGGGGGGAAGTTGAGAAATGTGACGTCACATCAAAATGCGCAAGTTTAAATAAATATAGACAACACGTTCTACTTAATTAAATTGACTTTTTAATAAATGTTTTCTCCTGCAACATCAGAGTGCAGCGCCACATTAAATACGCACTACAATGACAATAGTTTAAAGCGATTTGAAGCATTTTTTTTGGGGGGGGGGGGGGGTGGGGCAGAGCTTTAGTGACGTCATATTTGAGAGGGGGGGACTGACTTTTTGTGACGCCGTGTGACTAGGGCGGGGGGGGGGGGCAAAAAACCATCCAAAATCGCGTGACGTCATTTATGGACGGCCCCTAACTCCTGAGTGGCGATCCGTGTGGCTGGGCTACAGAAATGAATACGGACGTGGATTACCAATGCCTCGAGGAGAAGCTCACCCTCCAATCGTGTGATAAGGTAAAGCATCCGGTGAAGGCCGGCAACATCTCAGTATCTAACTCAGCTCAGGCCTCCAGTAGGTCACGTGTGACTTCTGTGTGGCCACCCCCACTCTGAATCACCTCCCCCCCCCCCCACACACAATCCTCTCTCTCTATATTTATATTTCTATATCAGCTTAAGGCTCCTGTAACAAGACAGCGAGTTAACATTAATAATCTCGTTAATCTTCTCGCACACTTTGTCCATTATATCTCTCTTGGCTGAATATAACTCCATATCTTATCTCCATCTCACTCCAGCTATTTGATTTCACAACACCTCCTGTCTCACCTGGGGGGGGGGGGGGGGCTGAGCCTTCAACTGTTGGGAAGCTGGGGGGGTGGGCGGTGAGGAGGTTAGGGGGCTGAGCCCCCCACCTCTCCACCCGACTCCCCCACCACGTCCCCATCACGACTGAAGGCTCACATCACCAGGCCAGCCTTTCCTGACACTAACGGTGCCATCCATTTAGTACGTCCGCAAAAATCTCTCATAACTTGATCCGTCCACCCCTCCCTGTACGCACGTGGACTATATACACCCCCCCCCCCCCACCTGCATACGTACGCCTAATGCACCCCCACGAATCCTATAGAACGGCCGATATTTAATCCACGCAGAAACGATCAAGGATTAATAATATGAATGTGTTTAAGCAAACATAGTCCACCGCCGGACTATCTAACTAATTTGAAGGCCAATGTAGACAAATTATTATCGAGGCTTCACCCCCCCCCCCCACCCTCCGTTTCCTATACGTACATTGTCAGTAGACCCCCCCCCCCATACGCAAGCGTACGCATTTGTGTTAACCCCACCTCCATGCGTACGTACTGAATGGATGGCCCCTAACGAGGATGCGGTTTTTTTTAATGTTTCTTTTTAACAAAACGGAGCGCTCCCCTCTAATGGAAGAAGGACGACGACAAAGACGAATCTTTGTCACGAGCAGGTGCCCTGCAAGCCGTGGCAGAAGTGCGTGAAGGGGCGCTGCCTGTGCAAGCCCGCTTACAAGTGTCCCAAGCTGAGGCAGCCCGTCTGCTCGCTGGACAAGAGGGACATCCCTTCCTACTGCCACCTCAAGAGCTCCGAATGCTTCAAATACGTGAAGGGCTTCTCTCACTTCGGAAAATGCGCCGACAAAGGTGTTTGTTGTTATTGTTGTTGTTGTCATCCCGGGATTTATTTACTTGCTGAGCGAATTATTTTTTTGTTAATTACACGCGTGACTTTTACACAAGTTGGGAGAGCACCGTTTGCACAAAGGAAATGAATAATTGACCACGTGTCAACCCGATAAAGCCGTGCGCGCGCATACAGGTGGTCCTCGTTTAACGCGGCCGGGAGATGCGTTCCTAAAACGTTAAGCGAAAAACAATTTCCACCCCCCCCATCCCCCGTAAACAATGACAACGATCAAGTTTGGCCAGAGACGATGGGCCACACTACGGCACGCGCAGTGAGACGGCGGGGCGAACAACTCAGGGATCGTCGCCGCCGCGTCACCGTGTCGTTCCGCGTACCGCATCACTCCGCTTCGCCCAAGAAAGTAGTTCGTCGTCGGCCGCTCAGAAAGCGCGTTATAACGGAGCTCTGTGTTATAACGTGTCATAAAGGGGCGTGTTCCACGTTGTAACGTGCGCGTTCCGCCTTGTGCCAAAGGTGTTCCCGGAATTAAAGAACCGCGTTGTAGCGGAAACGGGTTGTGGCGTGGGCATAGGGCGCGTTAAGCGAGGACTTTACCGTATTGTGCTTTGGTACCATTTTTTGATGCGGACGTAGTCTGTGACGTTCGGCGTTTTGCGATGCGACCTGCGCAATGGGGGCTATCTAATGATCGTAAATTATCACCAGATCTGTGTAAACTTCATTGCCACCAGGCACACAAGCTTTTTGGAGGGTGCGTTGTACTTTACGGGAGCGTCTCAACGGATACCGCATCGTGGACTCCGATGTAGTCGTTAAAACGGAGCTTTATTTATTTCACCTCTTTGCAGAAGTTTCAAATACTATCTTCACGGAGGCTCCGGACGGGTACAAGTTCGTGCAAATGGTCGTCGGAGGAGTGCCGATGTCAATTTCTGACCAGGATTGGAGCATCACGGACGCAAATGTGGCCTGCAGACAGATGGGGTTTCTGCTGTACGTGCAAAAGACAAAGATTCCCCAACCCCCCCCCCCCCCCCGTATAGCCTTAACAGACTGTTAGGGCAAGTGCTGTTAGCGAGTAGCACCTATGAAAACCGGTACGGTACACGAGGGGGTGGGTTGCCAGCACTACGCCTGACCGCCTTTGTCTCCCTAGTGGCGATGTTTACACACCGCACCAGATACTCATTTGAGTCTGAGTCTACCTACGGGAGGCCAAGGACGGGTTCGTTCAAATAATCCGTCACTGGGTGTTGGTCGTGAGCAGCAATTGAACTTGGGTCGCCGGGTTCATAGCGCAGCGCGCTAACTGCTACACCCACCACCCCCCACGCTGTACATGCACACAAACACACACGCATACCCCGCACTCGAGATGAGTTTGCGACCAAATGCCGAATCTATTTTGCACTTTCGGATCATTTACATTATGAGCACAACTCCGTCACGACTGGAAAATTAACGATGAGCCAAAGTGGTGCGATTGTGGCCATGCAACCGAAACTGTTGAGCATATAGTAAACCCAGAGACACACAGAGGCCCATAGAGATGCCCATAGAGACCCAAGGAGATGACCTCGGCTCCTTTATAAACAAGCAGACGATATCTCTGTCATATATCCGTCTCTCCAAAAAGAAAAAAAAGTGGCCTATTACACAATCCATCGTGCCCACACGGCCTCTTTGGGCCACCATATTTTCAGCATCACATCGTCGGCGTCACTCTTCGTTTTCCCCCATCCGCAGTACCGTTTCATTTCAACGATGATAAGAATCTTTAACTGCGCCGCATTCGCTTCACTCTCGAAGACGGAGAACGACTCGGAGGCGCGAGGAACCACAGACAAGTGGGAAGGCAGCCAGGCAGCGCCAAACTCCCTCCCAAGCTCTGTGGTCCTCTATATATTAAGGTGTTTATCAACCGATAAATGAGGGTTTGCATTTGAGAGCTAACAAACGAGGCGTGCAAGGGAACAACACCCCATCTCATAAAGACGGAACAGATGGAGTCCACACTTTGCTGTACCGAATTCTCCTGGCAAGCCAGGGAACGGGCACCTCCTGGACGTCCACGGGAAGGGAGTTTCACAACATCTCTGTGCGATTCATCAACACACACAGTGCTGGGATTATGAGCAACGTGCGTGGCCACTGCCGTGAGGCTAAATCTGGAGATGGTGTTCGGTGGTGGTGGTGACGGTGTGTCGCTACCACCCTCCCCCCCCCCGTCGCCCTGCCGTGTATACCCCTGTGCGTGCGTGCGTGCGTTCGTGACGCAGGGGAGCTGAGAAGACGATGCTCGTGGAGTGCAGCGACCCCGATGAGCAGTCGCTCGTGACGCACGTGCGATGCAAAGGCTTCGAGAGCAGCCTTTCCGAGTGCAATTACAAAGTGGGCGACAGACCGCAGGGGGAGGATCATTCCTGCAGAGCAAAAGCCGCCGTGAAGTGCAGCGCGAGCGGACAAGGTTCGGGGATTCGTGCTGCACTTTACAAGCTGCACAGAAAAACCATTACGTTTTCACGCGTCGCCCTTAGGCCACGTCAAAGCGATCTCCTAACCTACTGAGCATTGAGGCGGTGCACATACGTTAACAGCACTCGGCCAGTGGTTGGAAGTTCCTGCGTTCCTGTAGCAGAGGTGAGGCTGTGCATAAGACAACCACTGTTGGAGTTTGGGGCCGTTCATAAATGACGTCACGCACCTGCGGGGGTGGGGTCAGACATTTGTGACGATGTGTGACGAGGGGGGGGGGTTTAAGAAATGTGACGTCACATCAAAATGCGCAAGTTTAAATAAATATAGACAACACGTTCTACTTTATTAAATAGACCTTTTAATAAATGTTTTCTCCTACAACATCAGTGTGCAGCGCCACATTCAATACGCACTACAATGACAATAGTTTAAAGCGATTTGAAGCATGTTTTCTTTTTGGGGGGGGGGGCGCAGAGCTTTGTGACGTCATATTTGAGGGGGGGTCTGACTTTTTGTGACGCCGTGTGACGATGGGGGAGGGGGGGTCAAAAATCGTCCAAAATCGCGTGACGTCATTTATGGACGCCCCCTTACCCACAAAACTCGTGCTGTCGACCCCGGGAGCGATGATTGGCCGAGTCAGAGCCCACGCCTGGATGTGAACTCGTAGACGATCTCATTGCGAGCCGCCCGCTCTACCGCTGAGCCACGTTGGCATGGCACAGTTCCCTATTGAGCTGCGGCGACTCGGGGTCACAATATTATCGAAAAATAAATGTCTCCATCATATACCTGTCTCTCCACGTAAAAAAATATAAAACAACAACACAATTCTTTACGCGCACCGTCGGTACAATTGCCGTCTGGGAGCGCTTAATTTCTGCAGCGTTGGTTTCAGTACAGTCCAAAGCAAAACTCTACACTAGCTTCGACATGCAGTGTCTCATCGGCAGTGTCAGAGGCTTGCTTTTAAAAGTGTACTCTCGGAGATGCTGTGCGTGCCAATGGGTTGTGTAACAAGTCCAGTACTTTTGTGGGGATTTTTAATGTGGAAAGACATATATAGGGTAGGAGGCTCTGTTTACTTTGCAATTGACAGTCCCGTGGTCATTTTGCGTAAATTATTTGCTTGGTGATGCGGCCAGAGTGAGCGTGTCACAAATCACTCGGTTACGAGTAACAACTCCTGGCTGGGACACCGAGTCAGCCCAACATCCGTCCAGGGTCATTAAAAATGAGTACAGTACCAATTTTATACACAGGCGTCAACCAAAAAACAACACCTGAATCATAATGAGTGCCGCTGAATTTGCGGGGAAAGATCAACAGTGGTTGCCAAGTGGAATATACTCAGCCCCCGTCATAGGTATCTGGACTTTCCACCACTGGCTAAGGGCTGTAAAACAAAAGATGGGGCACCATCGCCTGCTCGATTGCTCAATTGAGCAGCAGTAAACTTTGTTATTTTTTGTTCTTACCCTGCGTTCCATCGCAGCGTGCGGCGGCGACTCCTTCACATGCGTCAACGGGAAGTGCATCGACGAGGCGAGGCTGTGCGACGGCTACGATGACTGCGGCGACCTGAGCGACGAGGTTTGCTGCAAAGGTGAGCGCACGAAATTCGCCTCGGTCGCAGAGCGCCTCCGATTGGCACGGTGAGCGCAACGTGCGGGGCATAGAGCGTTGCCCCCTCGCCAGCGGGTGGGGTTTTCTCCGGGTGCTCCGCTTTTTCTCGCACGTGTATAATAAACACAGTGCGTCATTCGTTGATCGAAACCATCTTAAAATAAACAAACAAAAAACCTTCAATGCAGAACACCCCCCCCCCGCGCCTCACTGAAATTGTGTCATATGACTCGGTGTGACTCTCCTTGATAAATAGGTAAACTATTATAAATTGGTCCCGATATTAGCATATCGTACGAAGGAGAAGGCATCATCATAGCGATACACTTCACTACTCCTGGCCGCAATAGTCTGGCTCAACCACTTCAATGTAAAATTACAGCTTTTGCTCTACTTGACTAAACTAAACTTTTTATTTTACCAGGTAAGAAGGGCCACTGAGCTATATAGCTCTTTTTCAGAAGCGACCTGACCACAAATGATGGCACAACGAAGTGGCTTATCAGATGTTGGAATGTATAGCAACAGCCAAATACTCGAAACGGCGTGTTTCTAAATGTGGAAGGGACAAACCGGAGGACCCGGAGAAAAATCCACACGACCACGGGGAGAACATGCAAACTCCAAATATAAAGTAAGGCGTCAGGGTTGGGATCGAACCAATGACCTCCTGCATACCAGGCGAAGGATATAACATCTTGCCACCATGAGCGAAATTATTTGCCCTGCATATTAGTTCCAGAATTTGGGTTAAAATCCCAAACTTTTTTTTAAACCTGAAAATTCTGGCCCTACATCTGAAACTTTGGATTATGGGAAATAAAAGCATTCCATTCAGATAAATCCGAAAATATTACGTCAAACCTTTCATGGCGCTGATCACGTGCCTTTTCTCGCTAAATCCTGCCATCAAATATTGCCAGAATAAAGTCACGTGACCAAAATAGCGACGAGAAATCCACCTCGCTCATGTTTATTGAGTCCAGGGCACCAATCGCGACATCGACATTGCCTGTGACAAAGGTGAAGGTGTAGCCCCTGCAATTGCTTGCTCGATCCACTGCTGGCGTAAGGGCCTCCACTAGAGAGAGAGACCACCCATAGGGTATTTTGGCCTAATCTTCCACGCTGGACAAACGGCTTGAGAGGTGGGAGTACCCACACTTTACCCCCACCACACGCATATCTGCCGATCGACTAACTGCGGTTAAGCAAGCGAACCGAGTCAGCCCCATCTAAGTAAACGTGGAACGTTGGGCCAACGCTGTCCTAACGTTTCCAACCGCGGCCCAACGTTCCACATTTCATGGGGGTAGACTCGACGGTGGTCTCCTTCCCCTCCACGCTGCCGGCCAAGTTGCCGACACGAGGCGGAGCAGAGCTGAGCGCGGGGCAGCGACGACGCGCCGGGTTCATCAGGGAGCCTCGCCGGCTGCGCGGTTGTGCTCTCTTTCCCCCAGCGTGCAAGAACGACTCGCTGTGGTGCAGCACGGGGATCTGCGTGCCGCGGGCCTTCGTGTGCGACGGAGAGAACGACTGTTACAACCGCGAGGACGAAGCGACGTGCGGTCAAAGCGATCGTGAGTCGAACGCAGGTACCGGCAGATGTGGCCCTCAACGGAGCGCGCGCACACGTGGGTTGTGTGGAGTGTACTACGTTGAACACAGCCGTCAACCCATACAGGTTTACCCGTATTCTTGTGCAGGGAAATTGAGGGGGAAAAAATTGTGTTTCTTTTATTGTTTTTTCTCCCTCGTGATGGGACTTGGGAGGATGAACGTCGAGATTTATAAGGGCACGGGGTGACCAATAAAACAATAATTCGGCCGAAGTTGGAAAACTGCTGCTGTCATATCTGCCAATGGAGTACCCAGTTCCTGCATTGCTGCACATGATAGAATTCAGGGTGAAACGGTAAAGGGTGATTGATGGTCCAGCACTCACCGATTCGCTCCAGGCACTCGCTCCCTCACCAGCGGCCAGTCGCCTCCTTATCGCTTTTATATCACTACTACCATGGTTAGCGTTCTCATGAACTTCACTCGTGATTTTAACAGCCGTGTTGAGGAGGACTCGGTCAACCAGCCACTTACTGTTTAGTCTCATCCACACGGTGTCCAACCACCACACTGTAGGGCACAACAACGCACTCGCTCACCCGCTCACCCACCCAGTCCCTCACTCACCACACTGCAGGTCACAACAACGCACGTGCTCACCCGCTCACCCACCCAGTCCCTCACTCACCACACTGCAGATCACAATAACTCACTCGCACTCACCCACCCACTCACTCACCGCACTGCAGATCGCAACACTTCTCCTGCTGCTTTTTCCCTCACACTTCTTGAATTTGAGAATCATCATCAGGTGGTTATTGTTATTATTATAACCTTCTTCGTTCATTCAAGATATATGTTAGACTCTCACCCATTACACCTTCAATAGTGCTGATTGTTGTTGGCATCTCGGCGGTGTGGGCCTGTGCTCAGCAAGTAATGTATTTTTTGACCCGATAAGACTTCTCGTTTTATTGGTCACGAGCTCAGCTCAGTTCACATGCAAGGTTGTTGTTGTTGTTGTTTTTGTTGTTGCAGAACTTAAAGGTGTACTGCATGGTAAGAAGTATTACTTTTCTACTTTTGCTAATATTTTGAAGTTTATTTGTAAAATCTTTTAGTTTTGCTCCTGAATTGTGTGTCAATACCACGTGCTATATATTGTGAAAGCATATTTCCAAAACAACCTATTTATTTTTGCGGGTAACATTTTTTTTAAATAAAAAAGTCGGGAGTTACATTGTATATATGTATTCCTATACACGATTATGTCTTACGCTGTTTATGGGAGGCGGTGCAATTATCTGTTTTAATTTTGTGTCGATTTTTATCTGCACACAAACAAAACCCACCGAGAAGTAAGACGCACCACCTAGCCCTGCCCTCCACCCCCTCTCCCCCCCACCAATATTTGAGTGATATTATAATTAAAAACAATGATGCAGCCCCCGCTTTTACATTAGTAAGTAAATCACAGCAAGATGAGTTTTTTTTGCACACTACGGGCAACACATCGTCTCCAGTCACTGCCTTATACCGACTGAGCAGGTACATAGAAAAGGTGGCTGATAGACCGAGTTGCATTGACAATCGGTGGCATATATACATTGCCACCATTCTCTCTCTCTCTCTACAAGAGCGAGCGAATACCTGTGCTTGTTACAAGTGGAAATCGTTATTGTAACAAGAAATGTGAATGCTTAACGTTCATGATGCGTCGTCTCCCCGTCGCTGAAGAGAGAACGGAGGTCACGAAAGCTCAAGAGCTTATCTGCGGCAACTCGACCTTTCAGCCGCACGCCTCTCTTCCCGGGAGAGTACGCAGACTCATCGGCGGCAAAACCGCCGAGCAGGTAGCGCTTTGCGAGCGCGGCGCATTTCTCTGGGTCACAAACGTCAAACCAAACATTAAACTAATTTTCAATGGTACAGTATATTTTTTCAAGTAGTGGTATCCCAAACTTTCACAGCAGCTTATTTCACTTCACACCAACATTATGTAAACTCCCCCCCCCCCCCACCGTGCCGGTCCAGTACATCATTTTATGCTAATTCCTTTGTCAAGGCGTTTTTTGTTTCCTCCCACACAGCTTAAAGGACGCGACCTGGGCTTGGCTGTCTTCACTCCAACGCTGTCCTCTGGACAGTCCTGTCCCTTCACCTGATGAAGGCCACTTGTGTTGTGGCCGAAACGTCGTGATTTTTGTTATTTTATTTTTACCTACGTGACTTTACCGAATAGAACCAAAGAGTATGGACGTCGTCTTGGACGCGAACTGGAACACCGGCGAACAGAGTGGAATGACGCGGGCGTCGAGAATAAAAACCTCGTTCACGATTTCAAACGTTGTCGTACCTCCCGGCTTTGACATTCCTCGTCCTCATCCTCCCGCCCTCCTCCTCTCCCCCCCCCCCCCCCCCCTCCTCCTCGTCTTCCACCCCCCCCTTCCTTCTCTAAGACACCGGTGTGACCACCAACCGCACGCACATCTCCATCATGAAACGTAGAATTAAAGACAAGCCACATTGTGACTGTGGCCATGGCAACCCAAACAATGGTCCATGTAGGAAACCCCGTAACAGTGGGCGTTAAAGATCCCGCATTGTCATTCACAAGAGCAGGCCGTTGTGTGCCCGCGTCCGGGTGCGCATTTGCCAAGTTTGAAAGTTACATCGCAACTTACTCATTTGGGATTACGCAGAGCAGTCATTGCCCCCCTACTGGCGGGCTACTGCTCCAGGTCAATCGTGCGAACGAGACCTGGCGAGACAAAAATAAACCAGAAACGTGAAACTTGAGATGTCGTTCGCTTCTCTTCGCTTCTCTCACCCTCCAACTCCGGGAGTTCGTTTTTCATCAGCCGCTCTGTAGAAAAAGCAATGGCTCTTGATCACCAAATGTCCGCTGAATTAATCATTCACCTTTCTATTCCCCTTGTGAAACCCATCTTCATTTTTTTTCTTCATGCGAAAAGGGTCAATTTCCATGGCAAGCGGCGGTGCTCAAAGAAAAATTCGTTTGGACGTGCGGCGCCGTGTACCTGGGCAGTCACTGGGTGCTGACAGCAGCGCACTGCGTGGGGTGAGTGATCCCAAGGCATGTCCCCTATAGCCCCCCTGTGAAGGTGTCTCCAACCCCGCCTGAGGTCTGTTCCACCTGCGCAGGAGTCTCCTTTCCTTCTCTCTCCTCGCCCTCAGTAGCATGAACAAAGCACGTTCAAGGATGACTTCCTGGGGCAATGGGGCTTTCATCAGCGCACCTCTCCCAAGCTTTGGAACTCTTCGCCTACGAAGACTCTCAGAATCGTTCACAATATTTAAGTCCTGTCCCTGAAAACTTTTCTCTGAAGTTGCCTTGACCCCCACCCGCCTAGTTCTGGCCGTTTACCCTGCAGCTGGGCCGTATTATCCAATCGGCATAGTAGGTTCTGTGCCTAGGGCCTACGAAATACTAAAGGGCCTTCAAAAAAAATGTGACCGTGTATTCGTTTGTTTGTATCGTGAAAAATTAAAATGAACATCCTTTTTAAAAGTTGCGCCATTCAATACGTTAATCACGGTAAAAAGAAATTGTTGAAGCAATTTTCGCTTGGAATAATTTTTAGGCTTACCTTGTTTTTTCCCCCCAACAATTTCAAATTAAATCTGCTGATCTGCGACACACAGCACGCGCGCTCCCATCGAATTAGGGCTAAATAATGAGCTTACCGGCAGTCATGACATCTGTCCAGCGGGTGGACGAAGTACCGCGTGAAGCAAGCGAGTGGTGGTAGTAACATGGGGCGGCAGCAGTAGCAACTGTAGAGAGTTATCACTGAAGGCCTGTGAAACAGAAGTGCCTAGGGCCTTCAAGAACCTTAATCCGACCCTGCCCTGCAGGTTCTGTTGCTTTCCTGCTTCCCCATTACACCCTGGCACATTGGGATCTACGGATGAAATGCTCCTTGCAAATGTAAATTATTATTATCATGAACACGTGCTTGTGAAGTGCAAATAGTTTCACTTTATGCGCCCTCGTCAGGGTTTCATTTCTCACTCGATGTGTTTTTCTCTCTCTCGGAAACGCCAGCATCACGCGTGTCAGATATCCGCTGTTCAGCCCTTATTAAATAGAGTTTATCGTAAATACAGGGAAGTTCAATGATGAGCGCTATTCGTTGAGGACACCCGGTAACCATGCGCACTATTCACACATTCATAATAAGGTTTTTGGGTTAGATCACGTTAGCATAAATGTGTCATAACCCTCCACCACCCTACACAGCCAGTAAGGTTTGTCAAGTAAACAAAGTGCCAATTAATTACGACTTCAGCCCACCGCTGTGTTGGAGAGTAAATCCGACAACAATGACCATTTGAGTACGACGTTTCGTTGGAAATTACATCCGGCATCATCGGGCGATTTAACAGAATAGGGCAAGATGACGTCGTCAGTTTCGCGATCTCCGTGTGACACTTTGACGATTCGCACACACGCACACACGCGCGTGTGTGCTTTGCACACCGCAGCGCACGCCACTGCATCATCCTCGCCACGCTGTTGGTATCGCGGAGACAAAATAAGACGAGGCATATGCGGCTCCGTGCTACTCTTTAGCAATCTAGATTTGATCTCTTTAGCAGTGGGCTGCGCTGTTATCTCGGTGTGGCTCAGCTCAGCTGAAATAAAACAATTAAACAAAACATGTTTTGACTTAGGGGCCGTCCATAAATGACGTAACGTACCTGGGGGGGGGGGGGGGGTGTCAGACATTTGTGACGAGGGGGGGGGGGGGGGTTGAGAAATCTGACGTGACATCAAAATGCACAACTTTAAATAAAATATAGACAACACGTTCTACTTAATTAAATATACTTTTTAATAAATGTTTTCTCCTACAACATCAGAGTGCAGCGGCACGTTAAATACGCACTACAATGACAATAGCTTAAAGCGATTTGAAGCATGTTTAAAAAAAAATTGGGGGGGGGGCAGAGCTTTGTGACGTCATATTTGAGGGGGGGTCTGACTTTTTGTGACGCCGTGTGACGAGGGGGGGAGGGAGGTCAAAAATCGTCCAAAATCGCGTGACGTCATTTATGGACGGCCCCTTAAAGCGTTCGTGCCTGCAGGAATTCATATTCTTTGGGTCTTTCGGTAAAGTCACGTAGAACAAAAAAATAACAAAAAACTACGACGTTGCGATTGCTTGTGTTGCGATCGAAACGTCCTAGTTTTTTGTTCATTTTTTGATGTTGTACGTGACATTACCGAAAGACCCAAAGAATATGAAGCATTTTTTATTTTATCAGGTAATGCCCACTGAGCTGTATGTAGCTCTTTTTCAGAAGCGACCTGGCCACAAATGATAGCCCAACGAAGTGGCTTATCACGTGTAAATGTACAGCAGCCAAATACTTTAAATACTTACAGCAGCCTCATACCATACACCGGGGCGGTGAATGCCAACCATGCTACACCACTGCGTGTTCTCGCGAGTTTAAGAATTGCTTTAAAATAAGCGAATCCAGGTGGTCTAAATGTGGAGGGGAAAAAACCGGAGGACCTGGAGAAAAATCCACACAACCACGGGGAGAACATGCAAACTCCAAATACTATATACAGGCGTCAGGGTCGGGATCGAACCCATGGCATCCTGTATACCAGGCGAGGTAGTTAACATCTCCTAGCCAACGTACCAATTCTCGCATAAAATATCAGCCAGGGAAACATTCCTCCCTCGGTATTTTCTGCAACGCTGCTAAGCTGGCCTGGAGTAGGACATCTGTGAAAAAGAGCTTCATAGCTCATCGGATTACTCCAGGCTAAATAAAAAAGATACTACTTCTCATCATAGGCGTAAGGCACTAGCACTGGAGTGCAAGCTAAACATATGCAAAATAAGCATACGTGATTGTACCCTCTGTTCCTGTAATGTTATGAACAGGTTTATAGACACATTCTCAGAACAATACAATGTGAGATGGATGTGGCTGAGTGCCAAACTAATTCCCGGAACCGAGTTCTGGCATGAAATGAAGCTACTGACCACATTCTCATGATTTTTTTTCTGGGCGATTAGATTCGGACGTGCGGACATGCGCGTGCGTCTGGGCGAGCACTCACGGAACACGAAAGAAGCGTCGCAAGACAGCATGTCAGTGGAGAGCGTGACGATACACTCTGGCTACAACGCCAACACAAACCAGCATGACATTGCGCTGCTGAAGCTGCGCATGTACAACCAGCAGTACCAGTACTCTCGGTACGTGTCACCTGCGTGCCTCCCACACTCGCCGCTGCAGTTCGAGAGGCATCATACGTGCTACGTGTCGGGCTGGGGCACTGCTCGTGGTGAGTGCTCGGTTAGGAACTTCGCGGACAACTTACACGCGCGCGCGCCACGTTTCAATACGTACGTCTGAGCAAGTGCTAAAATGTTAAGGTTGCCGTGATGTGAATTGTATTCACGATACGATGCGTTAGGATGTAAATTTCGCGGTGTGGCGATTATTACGATATAAATCCCCCCCGTGATTTTGTGCAACGGTATTTTGCGTTGTCATGTTGATGATTCTTCGTTTTGCTGCACTTCGGGTGTGAAGATTATTGAAGTTCTTCGACTGCAGTTCACACAACATAAGGCCACCACGCGTCCTCTAATCATTGCAACTTTAGCACATATAATGCATGTGCTGTTAGTTACACGAGGCATAATTAAACAATTAAATAAGCTGCTAAAATCATGACGTCAAAACCACTTCACGGTAATTTTCTTCGGAAAATATTTTACAAAGTGCTATTTTAATCGTTAATATTGAAAATAATTTACCGAGAACTTTAATAATTATCTATGCTTGTTACTTCGTAAAAATGTAGTTTGGAAATATTGGTAAAAAAAATATAAATATTATTTACTGAGGAAAACATTTTACAAAGTGCTATTTTTGAAATTGCTAATCTGTTGCAATCCCTACGAAAGAAGAATTGCCAATGGGTTTGTTTTTGCCGAGAACTTTAATTATCTGTGCTCGTTACTTCGTAAAATATTTAGTAGGGAAATATTGGTCAAATATATATAAACAAACAATGAAATCACGACACGTCGTGTCCCCACATCGTGACAACCCCCAATAAGGAGTGGTGTTTAATATAGAACGTCTACGCTCTGCGAGATTTAGCCGCTTATTGCTCTGGAGGTGATGAGAGCGGTGAGCCGACACACGCTGAGACCCGTGGTTCAAAACAAAGGCTTCACCCACCTGCGATTAAACCGGATTCTCAAGCGTGCCGAGTTAACGGTCTCAGCCCGCCCACCGATGACTGCGCAACAAGCAACACAAACAAAAACTCCATCACATTGAATTTGGGTTTGCGTTTGATTTGTCCAAATTTCAGCCCTCGGAATTTAAAATATCAGCTTGGCTCGTTCAACGAAAATTACCCCCGGAGGTTACCCTGGGTGGCAGGGCGGGTGGGAAAGTGCCGCTTCACGATGTGTTGAACATAGACCACGTGTCAGAGTCTCCCATGTGGCCATTCTCGAACGCGAATGCTCACAACCGCTCTGCAATAGATACAAATTGATATTTTGTCTCATTGCATGAAGTCCAGAGCACAATTGGGATAGAGATTTTAAAAAATGTACTCTCTTAAACATCCATTACTCGTGCCATAGTCTTGTAAGGGACCTACTACCATAATCTCTGATGCTTAACTCCACGAAAGAAATATTGTTGTTAAAATATGCATTCATAAAGTTACCTTAGTGTCTCAATTGATTTTGGGGGTGTCCTTCCGCACAGATAAAACGCCAATGTTGTTTCATTTAAAAAAACGTATCTGATCCAAAAATCACTTTTGAATGATATTTCCCACGCAGGCGTGCATGTTAAACTTACTTTATCAGTGCCCGATTCTCTCCCGTCAGACTTGCAGTCGTCCAATAAACACCCCGATATCTTGCGCTGGGTTGACGTGAACCTCATCGCAAACTGCTCCAATATCTACAATCAATACTTCATGGATGGGATGGACTGCGCAGGTAACGGAAGTTTTGTGTCGCGTCCAGTGACGTCGCTATGCATAAGCAAACTAAGAGAAAGTTTAGCACCCCAAGCGTTTTCATTGCCCCCGGCTTCATGGCAAAAAATTGAGGTGAACCAAATATCTCGAAATCAAATAATAATCAATCATGAATGTAGCAATTCTAAAACATTTTTTTTATTTAACCGTTACAAACTGCATGGAATAGCAAGACTTGGGTTTCTCTCCCACCTAATCTCATATTAACGATCTGCAATTAGACATCATCTCACCCTACCACCATAAATCCTGCTGGATATTGGTCTGGAAAACCAATAGGCTGATGGGACTAAAGCACATTAAAAAAAAATGTACATTGAAACCCAGAACAGAGTTCTGCTCATATTTATTTGCCTTTACCCACAATGCTCTACGGCAACGCATAACGAGTTTTGTGTATACGGTGAAGCGTTTTTAGTTGAATGGACGTGTTTTAATCGTTTGCTTAATCATACTTAAAGGCTACGATTTTGTCACAGAGGTCCCCCGACTGTGGTCATGTAAATGGTGAAGATAAACAAAGTATGAAGTGAAATCTTGGTGATGTCACGTGTCTAGCCGTCGCGCGCTTTCATATGTGCTTCTTGCGGCCGTCTGGAACGCTCTTCCTTCCGATATTAGGAAGCCACTGGAGCTGTCCACTTTAAAATCTAGTTTGACAACTCATTTTTTTAGAACTGTTTTTTGTATTCAGTTTGTTGTCCTTTCCCCGCACCTCCGATTAGCAAGGTTGGCTACGTACGGTGCGAATGAAGTGCAACGTATGTGTGATTCGATGATTCCTTTAATTTCCTTTATGTTCAGAGCAGGCAGGGATAGTCTGCTACGAACATATTCCGCGACATTTCCCGCGAATTATTTTATTTAAAAAAATGCTCCACATACCTTGTCCATGAATTTCACTCCAAATTTACCGCCTCGAAATCGGCGCCTGAATTCTAACGCTGTTTATCCACCCACCCCCCTCCCCACGTTAACGAATTACTCCGGTTTGGTCGTTGCCGCAGGGAAGCATGACGGCTCGGCGGACACCTGCGACGGCGACTCCGGGGGCCCACTCGTCTGTTTCGACAAAGGCGGAAAGGCGTACGTTTGGGGTTTAGTGAGCTGGGGTGATGGCTGCGGAAACGTAGATCGTCCCGGTGTCTACGCCAAGGTGGCATACTACCATGACTGGATCTTGCAGCACACGAGCACAGATCTGTTTCCGCACTACTGATCATCTGCCCACTCCTGCTAAAGGCTCGTAACGTACGTTGAACCTATCTTGATTTGAAGCTTTCGTGACTGCAGGAGTCCATATTCTTTGGTTCCTTCGGTGAAGTCACATAGAAATGAAATAAAAATAAATCTCAACGTTTCGATCGCATCACGACGTTTCGATCGCAACACAAGCCATCAGCTTGTGTTGCGATCGAAAGGTTGTGGTTTGTTTTTATTTGATTTCTAACTACGTGACTTTAAATTTTGATTTAAAGCTTTCGTGACTGCTAGGGATTCATTTTCTTGGTTCTTTCGGTAAAGTCACGTAGAAGGGAAACAATAAAATAATAAAAATATAAAACAATAAAATTCTCACAACAGCAAGAAATTTTTCTTGCTGTGGTTTTCACACCTGATGATGATTGCTTGTGTTGCAGTCGAAACGTCGTGAGAATTTTATTGTTTTATATTTTTTTTAATTTTGTTTCCCTTCTACGTGACTTTACCGAAAGAACCAAGAATACGTGACTGTAAAGAAGGAACCAAAGAATAAGTACGTTGAACCTATTTCGCACCGTACGTAACCAACCGTGATAATCGGAGGCGCGGGGAAGGACAACAAAACCTTAATACTGTAACTACTGTGATGATCATCGTGGTGGTGGTGGTGGTGGTGATAATTCTGTTGAGCATTGAATCTTTGGAGGTTAAGAATGACTGTGTCATGTACCCCGGAGTTTATGTTTCCCCTCCCCTCCCCCCCATTTAACCAAGATCAGGCTACAGGGTTGTTGACAATGCAGTGAGCCCGACAACCCAGATCAACCATTGCCCTCACATGACCCCCCCCCCCCACACACACACCGTATGGGGAAGAACTGTAAATGCAGAAATAACAATTTTAGCATTTAAGGTCATTGCATCCACGTAGAGTTGACGCGACACAGCAATACTAGGATTCATCGTACCATACAATGTTCATGATTATTGTCCGTTTTTGCAAATTATCGTCTCGTAGCGTGTGTCGCTGTTTGTTTCGCTCCTATTTTAACACGTGACAAAATGTGCTCGAAATAACAAATATCACGATGATTAAAAGTGCAGGTGAATAGCTGCAGTGTTACCCTCCGAATTGAAATTCTTTGCAAGAGATTGCCGGGACAACTGGACGGCAAAGTGGCTCGTATCATTAGTTGTGCAAGTTCACTTTAATTCTCTCACGTATTTGTCGTGCTGCAAGAGGGTTAGCCATTGTAAAGTCGCAATGTATTTGAATACTTATTTGGAGTTGGCTGCAGTTTAAGAAGCTTTAAGGAAATTTCGATGTAAAGCTTTCGTGACTGCAGGGATTCATATTCTTGGTTCTTTTGGTAAAGTCACGTAGAAGGGAAATAATAAAATAATAATAAAAAATAAAACAATCAAATTCTTACGACGTTTCGATTGCAGCAACATCTTCTTGCTGTGTTTTTATTATTATTATTATTTCCATTCTACGTGACTTTACCGAAATAACCAAGAATATATTTTTTAAGGAAGTTTGATTTTGTACTGGGAGTACAAAAAATAAAAAAAAATTACAATGGAAATGTGAAATATGATTACAAAGTTACGGGAAAGTGATATCGCGTTATTCGTTCGATTGTGAAAACATAGTACTGTATCGTGCAAATTTAAATTGCATAAAACCCTACGTATTCGCTGTCGTGTATAATAACCCAGTCTTTTCAAATGGAGAACAAATGATAAATAGAGGAATTACGGCATCACGGACTTGATTAGCGCCAGGAGATTGTGGTGCTTCCCCAATCCTTATGCATGCATGGTGTGATTGCTTGTTTAACAATGACACGAAGTAGTAGCAGCAGCAGATCACAGTGCTGTTCATGGTTCAAAGTAAAATATGACGTTCAAAACTGTAGTGAAATAAACAATCACATCTATACCCCCAACAGAACCTGGTTTGATTTCTGCTTTAACACAGAAGTTGCATTTGTTTACATTGTGCACCGCATATCATTCCACATTGATTGACAGGTACTGGCACATCAGTGGTCAAAGGTGAAAAGGCTTCTTGATAACGTTCACTTTTTTTTTTGGACGTTGGGGCATGACCGTTTGCTTAACTAATTTATTTCCGTAGAAGGGAAACAATAAAAAATATATTTATAGTTTCCCTACTACGTGACTTTACCGAAAGAACCAAGAATATGAATTCCTGCAGTCACGAAAGCTTTAAATCAAAATTTAATTTATTTCCATTTGTATATAAAAATTAACTATAAACTTTTTATTTTATTTTACAAAGCCCACTGAGCTGTATAGCGCTTTTTTCACAAGCAACCTGGCCACAAATGACAGCTTCAAAGAAGTGGTTTAGCACGTGGAAATGTATTCTCTAAAACGCGTCATGTTGATTCTAAACGTGGAGGGGAAAACCTGAGAACCCGGAGGATAAAAAGTTCATGCGACCATGGGGGGAGAGACACGCAAACTCCAAATATACACCAGGCGTCAGGGTCGAGATCGAATCCACGACCTCCTGCACACCAGGTAAGGTAGTCAACATCTCGCCAACGCGGCGCCCCCAATAAGAAGACGTCGCTGCGTCTTCCAAGCGAGATCATTTCACTTAAAAACTTTAAATGTTGTTCCTTCTCAAGTTCCTTTGATTTCCAGACACGTGCAACACATTACATTAAAATAACCAAATCTAAGCAATGCAGGACCCTCCTGGAAAGTACTGAGATTCAGTGAGACTTTCAGAACCAATCATGAATTTATACTGGAGGAATCCGATGAGCTATAAAGCTCTTTTTCACATGTCCAATCGGGGCGGGTAAGAACGTCAACAACAACAGTGCAAAAACATGATAGGAGTGCAAAGTACAGGAAAGGTAAACAAACCACCCAAACACAAACAAATACAACACTAAACCATCTCCATCCTACCAGACAAAGCCAACTGAGGTATTAACGTATTGTTCAAAAGCGACCTGGCCACAAATGACAGCTCAACAAAGTGGCCTTATCATTTGTGGCATTTATAGCAGCTAAATAATCTAAAGAGGCAAGATTATTCTAAATAATGGAGGGGGCAAACCGGACGAGCCGGAGACATCCCACGTGGAGAGACACCGCAAAGTCCAAATATACAGCAGCAGTCGTCAGAGTTGGGATAGAACCCACGACCTCCTGTATACCTGGCGAGATAGTTAACATCTCATAGCCACCCCTTGGCGCTCCCCTTAAATAAATACAAATATATAAGTTCAAATTGTATAATTAATTTACCCAAACTTCGGAAAGGCATAACGAATATATTGAAAAAAAAACATCAAGACAACACAAAGTCCATTAATAAAAAAATGTACATTAAAATGTAACTCTCAATGCATTGTTTCAACATTGCATTTACAAATCACATTGGTAAATGTGATAACGAATATCGTAGAATGGCATTCTTTAATCGATAACGCGGAACGTGCGATTCCATTCTCTAATCGATAACGCGTAACGCGCGATGCGATTCTTTAATCGATAACGAACATCGTACAATGCCATTCTTGAATACCGTGCGATACGATTCTTTAACCTGTAACGACTAAGGAATCGATCACGCGCAGCCCCCCCGCCGTCAAGTGTTGTTGTTTTCTTGCGCCGCTGCCGCATCACGTGAGCGGCCGTCGCCGGCGATTAGAATCCCCAGCGCGGATAGGGGTGGCCACGTTCAGTGAAGGGAGGGGGAAGGACAGGGGAGTAAGGGGGGGAGTGGGAAGGGGAGGGGGGGAGTGGGAAGGGGAGGGGGGGAGGAGGGGGGAGGAGGGGGGGAGTGGGGAGTGGGATGGGGAGGGGGGGAGGAGGGGGAGGAGGGGGAATGGGTTCCGTCGGCCTATCCGCTCTACGCAATCCAAACAGCTGGGAGCGCATCACGTGGTGTGACGGGGGCCCCGGCCCCGAGCCATGGAGGCGATCGGCACCGACGAGGAGGACGCTGGCGGCGCTGGGCCGAGCGGGGACCAGACGGCGGATCGGGACCCCGACTCCAACCGGGACCCCGACTCCAACCGGGACTCGTGCAACTCCGAGGACACCCAGAGCCGGGGAGCAATAGCCGGGATGGCCACGGTCGAGTCGCAGCCCGCGTCGTCGCGATCTCCGTCGTCGTCGTTGTTGTCGTCGTCTTCCTCATCATCATCTTCGTCGGCCTCATCGTCGTCAACGTCGTCAACATCTGCAGGCGCTGTTGAGGGCGCCGGCCGTGCTGACGCCGTCTCGTCGCCGCCGCCGTCTGCCTTCGTTCCCCGGGGCTCCCCTCCTTCGCCTGCTCCCCTCCTCGCCGCCGCCGCTGCCGCCGTGCCCAACCACGGCCCTCGGCCTTCGGCAGGGATCCGTAAGTGGTTCGAGTCTCAACCCGGTTCGATGGCTTTCCTCCCGCCTGGCAGTCGAATGTTCAAACAGAGCCGGTTGTTTAGATGTCTTGACTGCTGTATGCGTGTGTATAATAATGTAGCATCTCCACACTCGCAAATGCCAAGTGGTCAACAACAAACGACGCTGCTGAAGGTGTCCCAGAGAGGTCGGTACGCGTGTGGGTTGTTAAAGAGCTTCACATCTCGTCTTGATTCCTCGAGCGTCGATGCAGATTCTGATTTACGGAATACTTGTACGTTCGTTGTTATCGATCGAGGTGCTGACTTGCAGGGCGGGGTGGGGATGACCACGGGAGTAGGGAATGTCACATTGGAGGGCGGTGCGAGATGTCGACTGCCTCACCTGGTATACAGGAGGGCGTGGGTTCGATCCAAACCCTAATGCCTGCTGTGTATTTGGAGTTTACGTGTCTCTCCCTCATCATCATCACGGTGGCTAGCAGATGTTAACTACCTCGCCTGGTGTACAGGAGGTCGTGGGTTCCCGACCCTGAAGCCTGCTGCTGTATATTTGGAGTTGGCGTGTCTCATCATCACCACGGTGGCTAGGAGATGTTAACTACTTCGCCTGGTGTACAGGAGGTCGTGGGTTCCCAACCCTGAAGCCTGCTGCTGTACATTCGGAGTTGACGTCTCTCATCATCACGGTGGCTATGAGATGTTAACTACTTCGCCTGGTATACACGGGGTCGTGGGTTCGATCCCGACCCTGAAGCCTGCTGCTGTATATTTGGAGTTGGCGTGTCTCATCATCACCACGGTGGCTAGGAGATGTTAACTACTTCGCCTGGTGTACAGGAGGTCGTGGGTTCCCAACCCTGAAGCCTGCAGCTGTATATTCGGAGTTGACGTCTCTCTCTCTCACCGTGGTCGCGTGGATTTTTTTTTTCCGGGTCCTCCGGGGGGTTTTCCCCGCCGCGTTTCGAATCAACAACGTGCGTCTTTAAGAGTATTTGGCTGCTTTAAATGTGTACATGATAATAAGCCACTTCGTTGAACGATCGTTTGTCATAGCCAGGTCGCTTCTGAGAAAGAGCTGTACAGCTCAGTGGGGCCTTACCTGGTGGGGAAAAAAAAAAGTTTTAGTTTAACAATTGGACAGAGAAGTGAGGTGACCTGCAGTGTGTAAATGGTTTCCTTCGACATTTAAGTGAAATACCCAGAACTCGATGAGGCGATTCCGAATCAAACACATCGACATTCGTACCACCCGTGTTTTCGCGGTTGTGCCGCTGCTGCTTCTTAAGCGCGTGGAGCGAAACGTCGGACTTGATTCTTAACAAACAGCCCGGGAAGGGCACGTGGGAGAGAGCGAATTGACACAATTAGTAATAACCGCAAACTAGAAAGCACAAGTTGCGTGAAAATCAATTGCATTATGTCCAGCCTTTGTGCACAGTAGCATTAGATTGCTTTGTGTTGCATTGCCTCGACCGGTTGTAATCCAAATGTCTTGAAGTAAAAATCCATCTTTTATATTCAACACGTCAAATGGGAACCCCCCCGACTACGTCAACTGGATTGTGGACAGTTCCACCCATTGGGCAAACCCCATCCACAATATATCTTCGTCATCCTTTTAATGCACAAGTATAAAGACTCATTAATTGGCTGAATACGACTGATTGTATCGTTGGCACCGGCTCACTAGAGTGCTGCCTTCCAGCGTATCTGCTGTGGTTCCTTGGCAAATCGTGAGATGCAATTTGCACGACAGTCGACGGATCTATAAAACTAAAACATTCATATATGCGGGTGTCGATTTTTAAAGGGAAGATACAGCAAATCTGTCCATTTTATACGTTTTTGTGGGTTAGATAATGTAAATATAAACGTGTCATTAAACCCGCCACCACCCCACACAACCAGTTAGTAACGACACATACACATTTATATGTACGCGATCTAACCCAAAAGATGTATATATTATGGATGGTATTGGTCGCGAAAGCCTACGTGTTAAACTGACAGCAATCTGAATTTTTACGAAAGAAGTATTCTCTAGTGTAACAAGTAGGCTTTCGCGACCAATATTACGCATAATAGAGGTTTTTGGGGGTTTGATCGCGTAAATATAAATGTGTCGTGAAACCCGCCACCACAGAACGTACCAATTCGTTCCTAGTGAGTAGTTATCCACATACCCCCAGAGCCCTTTCATTAATCCATCGCTGGATGCAGACATTCCCCATGCCATGTCAGGCAGTGGAAGTTGTTTGATCATCATATTCCACCGTTCTGGTCAGTACCATTTGGTGAAGGCAGAGAGCATCATAGAATACGAATATTTATTTATACTGGAGGAATCCGATGAGCTATAAAACACTTAAATTTCGATTTAAAGCTTTCGTGACTGCAAGGATTCATCTTTGGTTCTTTCGGTAAAGTCACGTAGAATGAGAATAAAATAATAAATTGATAAAATAACACAAAATTCTCACGAAGTTTCGGCCACAACACAAGCGGCCTTCATCAGGTGAAGGGACGTGACTGTCTGGAGGACAGTGAGAATTTTATTGTGTTATTTTATTTCATCAATTTATTATTTTATTCTCATTCTACGTGACTTTACCGAAAGAACCAAAGAATATACAGCACTTTTTCACAGATGTCCTGTAGGGGCAGGTAAGAAGGTTACAACAATGGATGCATGTAACTGCAGTACAACAATGGATTTTTTTTGCACTGATGGGGTGCAGCAGTAACGAAATGTTAACTCCTTCGCCTGGCATACATGAGGTCGTGGGTTCGATCCCGACCCTGACGCCTGCTGTATATTTTGAGTATGCATGTTCTCCCCGTGGTCGCGTGGACTTTTCTCCGGGTCCTCCACATTTAGAAACCGTTTAGAGTATTTGGCCGAAACACATTTCCACATGATAAGCTACTTCTTTGAGCTATCATTTGTGGCCAAGTCGCTACCTGAAAGAGCTATATACAGCTCAGTGGGCCTTACTTGGTAAAATATAAACAAATTGTTTCGTTTTTTATTTAGTTAGAGTACATTGCAAGCTCTCCTGAAAAGCTGCATTGAAGTAATTTTTGTGGTAATAATAGTGTTTGTGTGCACACACACTAGTTTTCAGGTGGAAGTCACCACACACATTAGGTGTCAAGTATACTTGGTCTGTAAGGAGGCTTGCAAGAATTCGGTGACATCATTGGGGCCCTGCAACTGCTGCAGCTCCTAGACCTCAGGGCTCAGAAAATAGCAGCAGCCCAAACTTGCCCACTGACAAACACGGAACCTGTGTGACAACATCAAGCTGTAACATAGAGAAGGGACAGATTAGTGTGTTAACAGCCGGGTGCTTTGAGTGGCGGATTTGTGGCAGAAAGACGCCACGTGGTTCCGCAAAAATAATATTGACTTGACTAGGCACGGTGGCTATGCACTCCTATGATCCAGCGATTTAGAGGCAAGGATTGGTGGATTATGCAGAGATTGGAAGACCCCTACCCAACCTCCTGGTCCACTTGGTGGTAAGAGCATCGCTAGATGTATAGCAGATGCAACGTTTTAGGACCAGAGTAGTTAGACAGGAAATGGATTGAGTTGATGCGCAGTGGATTACTGCTTCAGTGCCTCTGTTGGGTTTTCAGAGTTCACATTAGTTCACTACCCTTTGGTCTCGCATAGAGGCTAATAGACTCATATTCTTGGTTCTTTCGGTAAAGTCACGTTGAAGGGAAACAATAAAATAATAAAATATATATAAAACAATTTAATTCTCACGACGTTTCGACTGCAACACAAGCAGTCATCATCAGGTGTGAAAACCAACGGCAAGAACATTTGAAAGAAGTGGCTAATAGATTCCTTAGAGACCTACAGGCTCACATAGAGTTCACAGTGGTTCAACGCTGTGTAGTTGATGGTTTGGCCGTTGTTTCTGCAATCGCATGCCACACTTTCTTGGAATTTCTACTTGTGAAGGTAGTAGTGGTCGGATCTGGCTTGAGATTTACGGTTTCAATTTCATGCAGTTCATTGTTTTCCAGGTAGAGTGAATCCCAGGGGTTCCTTTTGCGGGATCAGTGATGGCAGGCAGGTGGTAGTACAGCAAAAAAGGTTCCTGGGATATCTGTGTATTTTAATAAAAACACCATACAACAATGTGTGTGTGTGTACGTTGAATTTCTTTCGCACCGTACGTAGCCATCCATGCTAATCGGAGGTGCGAAAAACAGTGTGTACAGCATGGTCCGAAGTTCGCTACGGCTCCTGACTCTTACCACACCCCGTGCATTGACAATGTCACGTGGCCGGGCATTCTCGTTTTTCGTGCCCTTCCAGTGACACGCGCGCGTGTTCTCGTGTTTTGTCGCGCAGGATTCCGAGACCCCATGACCCTGGAGAGGCTAAACCTCATGAACATGGCCAAGCTGAGCATCAAAAGTAAGAGCACGCGAGGCGGCTGGGTGGCTCGTGATGTTCGCGTATCCTATCTGCCGAAACCTCCCCCCCCCTCCCCCAGCGAGTTGGATACACAACATTGTGTTGTGTTTAAAATTCCTATCCGACTCCAAAATGTAATCACTTTTTAAGTGCACTTGGTATTCATGCAAGGCTATCACGGCAGCGTTATGTTTCACGGACTGGTATCGACTGCATTAGTTTAGTGACAAAAAGGTTCCCTACCCCCTGTTATGAGATCACAGACTAAAGGGGGTCGCAGCATAGACTGGCTGTGTCTGCAGGAATTTTACTAAATAACTTGGCCGGCCGCAAATAGCGTTCATAAATGATTTGCGGATAATTCACCCATTGTTGGTGGCACTCTGTTGCATGTGACCCGGTGGTTAAACAGCTCTGTTTACCACTTGCCATCCATATCCCCAGGGGCCACACACAGAGCGGAGTGGGGCACTGGGAGGAGGAGGAGGAAACCCGGAGTGTCAAGGGATATTTGAGCTAATAGAACAAGAACTCTCCACGTTCATCGCGAATTTGGTTGAGCCCGGTTGGGATTTGGATAAGAGACTGCCTCTTGGACTACCAGGTGTTGTAGGCTTTGGCTGCTGTGTGGGCAGTAACAGATACTTGCATCAATCTGTGCAGAGTGATGTGTTACCCCATACCAGTGTGCATGGGTTCTCTCCATGTACTTTTGATTTCCTCCCACATGAAGTCAAGCAGGTATTTATGAAAATGGTCAAACATCTCAATGCAGGACCCTTCGGAAAAAGAGGCTTGAATCTCAGTGAGGCTTGCCTGCCTAAATTAGGTCAGAAGACAGGGCTCGGTCAACAATAGGGGCGCGACGGTGGTGAGATGTTAACTACCTCGCCGGGTTCGATCCTGACTCTGACGCCTGTATAATTGGAGTTTGCATGTTCTCCCTGTGGTCGTGTGAATTTCTCTCCGGGTCCTCCGTTTACTTCAACATGCGTTTAGAATATTTGGCTGCAATACATTTCCACGTGATAAGCCACTTAATTAAACTATCATTTGTGGCCAGGTCGCGTCTGAAAAAAACCTACATAGCTAAGTGGGCCTTACCTGGTAAAATAAAAAATAGTTTTAAATAGTTTAAATAGGGAAAGGGACAGAGTTACAAACGAAAGTGGCTTCATTTTGTAACAATGACAACAATAAACACAATCGGTGTACGTGTCAATTGATGAATACGAAACAATTGAATTGAGAGCGTATTTAATAGCCAGTTCGACCCCTACACACAGCTTCGCTTTCAGGCAGGGTTAGGAAACCAACAGCCCATAGGCCAGATAAGGCCCGGAAATTAATTTTGTATGACCCCTGATCACATGAAAAGGGACAGTTAATTCTGATAGCTCTGCATTAGGCATCTGATGTTTAAAACGCACGGTGATTCGATGAATTCTATGGTTAAACAAGGTGTGGTAATGGCCTTCATGTGGCAGTGGCCTGGCAAAGGGCGGTTTGCTTTATTAATACAGTAAAACCTTGGATTGCGAGCATGATGCGTTCCGGAAACGTGTTTGTAATACAAATTACTCGTATATCAAAGCACTCGTATATCAGTTGTGATCACGTGACGCTGATCTGCCAAAGCGTATATGGCAGACAAAGCGTATACGTACTACAAGACCTCGCTTGTTTATCAACTAAAAATGTATTAAATAATTTTGCTCGCCTTGCAAAACACTCGCAGACCAAGTTACTCGCAATGCAAGGTTTTACTGTATATTGTTTTTCATGGGTCCTCACATGACCAGTCAAATCGGAGCGTGCCGTGCGGTTTGAACGTTTTCGTGTGCCATTTGATTCAATTGCTGACAATTACAGAGGGAAAAAAGTATTTGATCCCCTGCTGATTTTGTACGTTTTCCCACTGACAAAGAAATTATCAGTCTATAATTTTAATGGTAGGTTTATTTTAACAGTTCGAGACAGAATAACAACAAAAAATCCAGAAAAACGCATGTCAAAAATGTAATAAATTGTTTTAATTTTAATGAGGGAAATAAGTATTTGACTCCCTCTCAATCAGAAAGATTTCTGGCTCCCAGGTGTCTTTTATACAGGTAACGAGCTGAGTTTAGGAGCACACTCTTAAAGGGAGTGCTCCTAATCTCAGCTTGTTACCTGTACAAAAGACACCTGTCCACAGAAGCAATCAATCAGTCAATCAGATTCCAAACTCTCCACCATGGCCAAGACCAAATAGCTCTCCAAGGATGTCAGGGACAAGATTGTAAACCTACACAAGGCTGGAATGGGCTACAAGACCATTGCCAAGCAGCTTGGTGAGAAGGTGACAACAGTTGGTGCGATTATTCGCAAATGGAAGAAACACAAAAGAACTGTCAATCTCCCTCGGCCTGGGGCTCCATGCAAGATCTCACCTCGTGGAGTTGCAATTATCATGAGAACGGTGAGGCATCAGCCCAGAACTACACGGGAGGATCTTGTCAATGATCTCAAGGCAGCTGGGACCATAGTCACCAAGAAAATAATTGGTAACACTACGCCGTGAAGGACTGAAATCCTGCAGCGCCCGCAAGGTCCCCCTGCTCAAGAAAGCACATATACATGCTCGTTTGAAGTTTGCCAATGAACATCTGAATGATTCAGAGGACAACTGGGTGAAAGTGTTGTGGTTAGATGAGACCAAAATAGAGCTCTTTGGCATCAACTCAACTCGCCGTGTTTGGAGGAGGAGGAATGCTGCCTATGACCCCAAGAACACCATCCCCACTGTCAAACATGGAGGTGGAAACATTATGCTTTGGGGGTGTTTTTCTGCTAAGGGGACAGGACAACTTCACCGCATCAAAGGGACGATGAACGGGGCCATGTACCGTCAAATCTTGGGTGAGAACCTCCTTCCCTCAGCCAGGGCATTGAAAATGGGTCGTGGATGGGTATTCCAGCATGACAATGACCCAAAACACACGGCCAAGGCAACAAAGGAGTGGCTCAAGAAGAAGCACATTAAGGTCCTGGAGTGGCCTAGCCAGTCTCCAGACCTTAATCCCATAGAAAATATGTGGAGGGAGCTGAAAGTTCAAGTTGCCAAACGTCAGCCTCGAAACCTTAATGACTTGGAGAAGATCTGCAAAGAGGAGTGGGACAAAATCCCTCCTGAGATGTGTGCAAACCTGGTGGCCAACTACAAGAAACGTCTGACCTCTGTGATTGTCAACAAGGGTTTTGCCACCAAATACTAAGTCATGTTTTGCAGAGGGGTCAAATACTTACTTCCCTCATTAAAATGCAAATCAATTTATAACATTTTTGACATGCGTTTTTCTGGATTTTTGTTGTTATTCTGTCTCTCACTGTTCAAATAAACCTACCATTAAAATTATAGACTGATAATTTCTTTATCAGTGGGCAAACGTACAAAATCAGCAGGGGATTAAATACTTTTTTCCCTCACTTTATTTTTTGGAGTCGATAATCGATTCCGTGTAAAGGACTGTTGGAAAAACTCTTCAATCTAACAACAACCCTGTGGTTAACCTATGAATCGGTGCATTGTTGTCTTTTCGATTGACTTTGCTTTACCCCTCTGTCCCTCGACCCCCACACCCTAGGCCTGATTGAGGCGGCGTTGGCACTTGGCAGGAGCCTCGACTCGGACTACGCGCCACTCCAGCAGTTCTTCGTCATCTTGGAGCACTGCCTGAAGCACGGCCTCAAAGGCGAGCGCATGCCCGCCCCCATGACTACGGCGAGGCCGAGTCTATCCGCAGAACAATGAGGCCTGCGATAACTTCCTTCCACTGAGGCTGTACAGCCTGATCACGTGGCCCGCGCTTTGGCCCAAACCAGAGAGATGGCATTGTGACGGTGATCGATGCTGCTGATGATGTAGCCGATGGCGATGTTGCCGTTGGTGCTGACGGCGATTGTGGTATGTATGTATGTACGGGCAGTCCTCGGGTTACGAACCTAATTCGTTCCTGAGACCAGTCCGTAAGTCGAGCGGTTCGTAAGTCAGAACACAAAAATGCACTGTATTTAAATGCCCATACGGTCATAACTAAGAAGACACATTTGCGTGTAACTGTAAAAAGATACTGTATGGTAGGAACATAAATAGGAAAAAAAACAGTTTTACTTCACTTACCTTGAGTCCTGATAATAGCTTGTCGTCCCAAGGGGTGCAATGAGTTACCACAATTGCACACACACAGACGCACACACAGGGCACGCGCGCATGCGCTCGCACACAGACACACACAAAGACACAAACACCCCAACGACAACGATCCCCCGTGTAGCCTTAACAGGCTGTTGGGGTAAGTGCTGTGAGCGAGTAGCACCTATGAAGGCCGGCACGGCACACGATGAGGTGGGTGGCCAACACCACGCCTGGCCGCCTTTGTCTCCCCAGTGGCGATGCTTACACACCACACCAGGTGCTTGTGTTGGCCGTGAGCAAGAATCAAACTCGGGTCGCTGTTTTCTTAGCGCAGCGCGCTATCCGCGACGCTACCATGCCCCACACACACATGTACACATGCGCACGCACGCAAACATTCTCTCCGAGCGTGAGGCCTACTCATTACACCTCACGGGGGATCGCTTCTCTGAAAAAAATAGTTCCATGGTTCAGTTTGCAATTGAGAGTTTGCATTTTAAGTCGATGTAATCTTTTTTTTATATTTTATAGAAGCTGCTTCGTAAGTACGAGCGTTCATGTGTACGGGCGTTCGTAAGTCGAGGACTCCCTTACGTTGAACTTATTTCACACCGTACGTAGCCAACCGTGCTAATTAGAAGGTGCGATGTTGATGTTGCTTCGATCGCCACGTAACGTCATCTTGTCGCGCGGCTTCAGAATGTACCGTTTATTATCACGTTGGACAGACGCGCGTTCAAAATCTGCGCGCAAATCCCGTGCCCTTGATTTAATTATTTCTTCCTTGTTTTACTAACGTTTGCGCCGTGCCGTGCTTTTGACAGTGAAGAAATCTTTCCTGGGCCAGAGCAAGTCCTTCTGGGGGCCCCTGGAGCTGGTGGAGAGGCTCTGCCCTGAAGCGGCCGAGATCGCCGTCAGCGTCCGTGACCTCCCCGGGTTAAAGTGCGTGCTGCTTCAAATAATCATTATAACAACTTTAAATTTCTATTTAAAGCTTTCGTGACTGCAGGGATTCATATTCTTGGTTCTTTCGGTAAAGTCACGTAGAAGGGAAATAATAAAAATAAAACAATACAATTATCACGACGTTTCGATTGCAACACAAGCAATCTTCATCAGGTGTGAAAACCACAGCAAGAAATTTTTGAAAAAAGTGGCGGTTTTTTCTTAATGTTGAGAAAAAAAACGCCACTTTGAGAATGAAATTCACGGGAAAAATAACCGTGGCAGTAACGATGGAAGAGTGACAAGGAGGTGACTGACTCACCGATGAGCGAGTGACCTGAGCGAATCGGTGACGGTGCCGGATCATAAATTTTGACGGGCTGGACCATCCATCACCGAGACTGCTTTACGTCAAATCCTATCGAGTGCGGTGGTCGATGGGTGGGATGCAGAGCGTCTTCGTTGTCTGCGTCGCTGTTCTTTGGGAGCAGGACTCCAGTCGGCAGGGGCCGGGCGTGGCTGCGACTCGCCCTCATGCAGAAAACGCTCTCCGACTACATGAAGGCTCTCGTCGCGCGCAAGGACTTGCTCAGGTGACCCGCCTCTCTTCCCGTCGCTCTGTTCGACAACGATGAAAACCCGTTGGCATTTTAATCAGCTCTCGATTACACAGGGTGACTGCCCATCAGTCGCGTGTTTGCCACTTACTGCAAAGAGCAAGACCAGCGGCCGCCCTGAACGTTGCTACCTGAGTTTCATTCCCAGGCAGTGGCTAACATCAGTGGCGAATGATATCTGAACTGGCTCTGGGAACCCTTTTTGCCAATCAACCTGCACTCATCAGCGTGAAGTACGGTCAAACAACTCCCGACGACTGACAGTGGACCGACAAAGTGCTGTAAAATAGCACTTTTTTCTATGGTTAAATGTGGTTACTTTTCTGATTGTAGAATGTGTCATTTGTGTTTGATTGTGTGTGTGTGTGTGCGCGTGTGCTGCAGTGAGTTTTACGAGCCTGGTTCACTGATGCTGGAGGAGGAAGGAGCGGTGATATCGGGGATGATGGTCGGACTCAACGTCCTTGATGCCAACCTGTGTATGAAGGGAGAGGACCTTGACACACAGGTCTCACACACACAACAAAGACAAAGATCCCCCGTATAACCTGAGCAGACTGTTGGGGCAAAGGCTGTTAGCGAGCGCCTATGAAGGCTGGCACGGCACATGAGGGGGTGAGTGGCCAGCACCATGCCCAGCCGCCATTGTCTCCCCAGTGGTGATGTTTACACACCACACCAGGTATTCATTTGAGGCTGAGCCGACCTAGGGGAGGCCCATCACCGGTTAAGCTAATTGTCACTGGTGTTGACGTGAGTCGGAATCGAGGTCGGGTCGCCGGGTTCGTAGCGCAGCACGCTAACCGCTACACTACCACTACCGCTACACACAAAGACACACACAAATATACATGTACACTCACATTATACAAAGATTAAGACAAAGATTCCCCCGGATAGCTTTTACAGGCTGCAACAAGTGCTGTATGTACGTATGTTGAACTTCTTTCGCACGTAGCCAACCCTGCTAATCAGAGGAGTGTGGGGGAAAGACTAAACTAAATACAAAAAGCTGTTGTAAAGAAACGAGTTTCAATCTAGATTTAAAAGTGCAAAGCTCCAGTGGCTTCCTAATATCGGAAGGAAGAGCGTTCCAGACGGCCGCATAAGCGCATTTGAAAGCGCGTAGATGCACAAGTGCTGTTCGTGAGCGGCTATGAAGGCCGGCACAGCGTACGAGGAGGTGATGTTGCTCGGACCACGCCCGGCCACCTGTGTTCACACACACCAGGTACCAGTTTAAGGCGAAGTTGACGTAGGGGAGGCTCAGGACCAGTTCAGATGCCACTCGCCACTGGTGTTTCGCCACGGCCTGGAATCGGAACGCGCTCAACTGGGGCTTGTAGCGCGGTGTCCTAACCACGATGGAACCGCTGCCCAAACACAGACAACGTACAGCATGATGCAAGTGAGACACAAAGGGCAACTGTGGATGACCTGTGAAATTAACTTGTCTTTTTTGTTGTTGACACTCAGGTGGGGATTATAGATTTCACCATGTATCTGAAAGATGGATCAAGCAGCGATGATAATGGGTGAGCACATGTACCTGATTTACCATGTGTGTGTGTGTGTGTGCGTGTTTTTATACTTTTTTTACCATATTCTCCAGATTATTATGTGCACTCGTGACCTATATTGCCACCACAGCGACTTTCACCGTTGTATGTATGACCGCTCGACCATAATATAGCAGCTGGTCATACATAGTAGACTCATATCACATACCAGCTGCCAGTAGGCTCGATTCACATACCAGCTGCCAATAGACTCATCACATACCAGCTTCCAGTAGGCCCAAATAACATATTAGCTTCCTGTAGGTTCGAACCACATACACGTTGCCAGTAGACTCGCACCACATACCTGCCGACAGTAGCCTCCAAATGCGTAAAGTTTTACCACCACGGAACCCCTCGGCTCACCTCTGGATAGCGTGCGGCCCCCAGCTGCGGGTTCGCAACGACCGTGCACAACATCGGCAGCTGCTGAGGCTGCGAGTGGCTCCGTTGTTCATAAGCAATTGGCCTTGCTGTTCGTTTTGAATTCCAGAAACGCCAACATGACTGCCGTGCTGGATCAGAAAAACTACCTGGAGGAGCTGAACAGGGGATTGAAGTAAGACACTGTTCCCTCCTGCGCAATCTTACAGCCGCCTCGGATAGCACTTGGTTCACAAAAATCGTCGTTGTTGTTACGCTCGTTCGCCCAGTAAAGCCTTGCCAAGCCTCAGGGCTCTCTTTCTTTAGGGTCCTGCCAAGTACGAAATTAAACAATTTTTTTTAGTTTTCCAGGTAAGGCCCACTGAGCTACGTAGCTCTTTTTCAGAAGCGACCCGGCCACAAATGATAGCGCAACGAAGCGGCTTATCATCGCATGGAAATGTATCGCAGGCAAAATACTCGAAGCGCATGTTTCTGTGGAGCGATGATTGCTTTGCATAATCCCAATTGAGTCACTTGCGGGTAACTCGGCGGGTTGATGAAGTCGGAAGGGGGGGTGGGGCGGGGGGTAGGGGGGGCCCTTGGTGGGTGAAGTGAGGTGGGGGGGAGGCGGGGGGTTGGTCCTGGGACCACTTTAGATATCACTCGGCCCCAATGGAACCGTAGTTTGGGATCCCGACTCTTCGTATCCCAGTGCCCAACCTGCGCGCCACCACCCCCACTTGCGTAATCATACACGCGGCAATGTTTGCAGCACCGCTTGAGTTTGCACGACGGAAAAACAGACGCACGCTTGCAGTGAGGGAGTGGTCACATGGTCTTCAGGGCAGTCACATGGTCCCTTGGGCCTGTGCAGGGCCGTTTGGTAATTTGCAGCTCTAAACTAGATTGTGTTGGTTTTTTGTTGTTGTAATTTTGTACGTTTTTGAAAGATTCTCATTCTGAAACTATCAGACTTAAAGACGAAGTCTTTATTAGTCCAACAGTATCATCGCAACTTAAAGCTTTCGTGACTACAGGATTTATATTCTTTGGGTCTTTCCGTAAAGTCATGTAGATAGGTTATTTTCTTTGAACCTATCTACATAATGGACATCAGGGGACCTCCTTTGCCAGTGTCAAAATATGAGAATAGGTTTTTCCCCTTTTTTCAGAGGACGCCTCTTGGCATCCTCTGGTCTAACACCATTTGAAACGAGGCTCAAAAGAAAGCTGTCTCTGGTGTGGACCAATCAGTTTCAAAGACAATGCATATATTGTCAGAGTGTTTTTTGTTTGCATTCTGACCACAAGTATTGTGGTTAATGCAGAAAATGGTTCCTTGTAAAAGGTTTCAGTTTGGTGTTTTAACAACTTAACACCTGTTTTGTTGCCAGGAAAAAAGGGGAAAAACCTATTCTCTATCTACGTAACTTTACCGAAAGACCCAAAGAATAGAGTCATCGCAGTTAAAATGCAAGGCTCTTGTTAATGCGTACCACATAAGTAAGGGCTATACATCGTAGCATTTTTGTTTTAATCATCACGACAAGATAAGAGTTGCATCTTCCTTCAAGTCGAGATGGGGCAGGAGGTTTTGCGCGTTGGGATGAAATAAAAATCCACCGTGGTCACAATTTTACTTTTGTTCAGCGTCTCCTTGGGAAACCTGCAGTTGAAAGTGGAAATCCTGGAGAAAGTCAACAAGACCATGGTGGAGGAGGTGAGTCATCGTAACGGCAGCCGCGCCGGCTTCCCCCCCCCCCCCCCCCCCGTGTGTACTGCCCAGCACGTGGGGTGTGCTGCTTGTGACGCATGCTGCTTGTGCCGCGTGTGATGTGTGCCGCGTGTGGCATGTACCCTGCTTGAAACGTGCTGCGCGTGACACGCGTGACACGTTGCCGCTTGTGCCATGTGACCTGTGTGACGCGTGCTGCGCGACAGCTCGCCGCGGTGAAGCGTAACGAGTCGGAGCTGAGGACCGAGGCGGAGAAGCTGCGCTCGGAGAACGCCACGCTCGTGGAGAGCACGCACCGCAAAATGGAGGCACGCCGTCGCACGAATACGATTGGTCCATTGAAAGATGTTTCGCATTTGTCCGTCGTTTCGCTTTGTAACTCGAAAACGGTGTCGTTACAAGTATGAGCATTCTGCAAAAATAGCGCTTGCCCCAATGGTGTACGCCACCTGCGCGGAGGATCTTTTTACATGTTTATCAGTCTGTGCACCGCGTGCTTGTACTTACGGAGACGCCGCTTGCGTGTGTGTGTGCGGGCAGGCAGTACGAGTGGACATGGACACGGAGCTGCAGACGTACCGGCACTCGCGCCAGGGTCTGGACGAGCTGTACAGCGAGGCTCGCAAGCAGCTTCGCGAGGAGTCCCAGCTGCGCCTGGTACTCGCGCGTGCACAGACATTGAGAGAAATAATTTTTATTTTATTTTAACTGTTCTGATAACTGACAGGCTTAGTGCTCAAGTAATACACTGTTTTTAACTGCCTGCCTATACAGGTCACCATACGTCGATGGTGATTAACTGTGAGCAGACAATAGGAGGTTTTGCGATTTCTTCCACCCAAAAACGGCAGCATGTACAGGCATGGTGTGCATGCATAATGTATGTAGATTACCCTATGCCTAACCGGTAATGGATAGCCATTGTAATTGATATGCATTCATTAACTCCCCCCCATCTCAGGCCTTCGCACCTGATTGGCTCACGAGTGACGACATCACATCTATCCCTGGCTGTCTGCCTGATGATGTTGGTTGTAATTACCGGCGAAACGTCATACTCGAATTCTAAATGTTGTGGGTTTACTCTCCAACACATCGGTGTGCTGTACTAGTAACGAATTTTGGGGTCATCCTGGATTCAGAACTAAAATTTGAAGATCACATTGCTTCCCCCCTATGTTCCGTTTGGAATTTATAAAAGCTACCATACTGCCTCTACTTGATTACTGTGACATCGTATATAAATCAGCCCCCAGCACTGTACTGAAGAAGCTTGACTCAATTTATCACTCGGCCCTAAGATTTGCATTGAACTGCCCATATAGGACTCACCACTGTTATCTCTACATTGGGTCAAACGTAACATCTCTTAATGTTCGACGGCTTATGCACCAGATCTTATTTATTCACGATGTACTTACAAAAAAATCCGCAGACTACCTGCTGGATCTCCTCTGTTTCGAAGAACAAATGTGACCTAAGGACTTCACTCATTTACCAGCTTCACATTCCTTATTGCCGTACAATTACTGGAGGAAGGGCCTTTGCTATTGAGGCCCCCAGAGTCTAGAATGTAATTGCCAATAAACTTCAACTTGAATTACGACCTATGAGATATCCACTCAAAACCGCTCTAGAGGAATTGTACACCCTTAGCTGCCACCGCTATTCAGTGGCCTAAAATCAAATGTTTTCATTCCGGATGACCGCTGCAACGTATGATCTTGTGTTTTGATTTAGTGTGCTGATCTGTAAAGGTACATTTTAAAAATGTTGATACTCCTACTGATGCTCCTGCTGTTGTGGAGTGACTCATGCAGCCAGATATGGCTGCAGGGTTTGGTGGTACATGTTGTTTATGTAGTTTATTGTGAAATTTCGGTCACAGTTCCTATGATCACTGTTACATTGCTTATGGCTTTAGTTTGGTGATTTCGAAAAGTTTTTTGGTTTGGCCATGTTTGTTGTAGTACGGAGTTAGAATGATGGCTTTAATCTAAGTTGCCTCGTGATGGTTGTTGTTGTTGTTTGACTTGCATCCCACTGGGATTTTTGCACAGCGTTGGTGTTTGGTGCTTTTTTTCTGGAAGACTTTGCAGTTTTTTCCCGGATTTTTCTGTTTGCGCATAGTCACTTTAAGATGTTTTCTTGTTCATGTTTTGGTTTTTTGTTTGTTGCGGTTGCACCCGATTCAAGAGCCGATTGGCTCACAGGGCTATACCAAATAAATGAAACTGAAATTGACACGTTTTGTTTACGTGACAAACCTCACTAATTGGTTGTGTTGGGTGGTGTCGGGTTTAACGACACATATTTACGCGATCTGAACCGAAAAATTTCTATTACAGACGCACAAAACCCGATCGTGTAACTGCTCACCCCAACACAAACCCCCCCTTTCCCCAACGGCTTAATTCTCATGATTTCAGGATTTTTACGAACCCAGGTGCTCGCTGCTGCAACTTGTGTGTGTCATCTGTAGGGAGCAGTAGTGTAGCAGTTAGCAAGCTGCACTACAAACCCGGCGACCAGAGTTCAATTCCCGCTCGCAGCCTAAAACACCAGTGACGATTATTTGAACCGGTCCTGGGCCTCCCCTAGGTTGAGTCGGCCTCAAATGAGTACCTGGTGCGATGTGTAAACATCACCACTGGGGAGACAAAGGGCTTGGTGCTGGCCACCCACTCGCTCGTCTACGGTGCAGGCCTTCATATGTGCTTGCCCCAACAGTCTGTTAAGGCTATACGGGGGGTCTTTGTCTTTGTCGTCGACAGGAGGTGGAGAACGAGTTGGAGCTCCAGATCTCCATGAAGCAGGAGATGGAGATGGCCATGCGTCTGCTGGAGAAGGACGTGCACGAGAAGCAGGACGCCCTCGTTTCGCTGCGCGAACAGCTGCAGGAGGTCAAGGACATCAACATGGACATCTCGCACAAAGCGCAGGCATGCTCGCTCACTCGCGCTCTTGCTCACTCCTAAATGCCCGCTCACGCTCTCGCTCGCTCGCTCGCTCACTCACGCTCTCGTTCGCTCCTAAATGCCCGGTCATGCTCTCGCTCGCTCCCGAATTGCTTTTGCTCGCTGTCTCACGCTCTCACTCGCTCTCTGAAGTGCCGTCTCACGCTCTCGTTAGCTCACGCTCTTGTTCGTTCCCTCCCGAAATCTCTCGCTCGCTCACGCTCTCACCTGCTCGCTGACGCTGTCGCCCCGCTCACACTCTTGCTCGCTAACCCTCTCGCTTGCTCGCTCCTCCACGTCTCACGTGCAGCATGGCAGGCGCACGGCTGTTCATCACGTGCTGTAAACAATTCTTAACATTTGAAATTGAATAAGAAACTCCTCAGACAGAAGAGTGCCTGTTATTACTCTTGTTTGTTCCCAGCCTGCACACACTTGTCATCTTGCAACCGGCCGAGCCTCAGTAACACCTGGGTTATCCTAGGTTGTCTAATATCCAAGCATCGACCAGGCTGAAATCTGCTTAGGGTCCGAGATCTGACGGGAGCTAACGCATTCAGGGTTATTTGGATTATCGATGGCGGCTGACCGCCCGACCGCCCATTCCCTTTGCACCGCAGAGTGCGGAGACGCTGCTCAAGCAGAAGATGGAAGGCGTCCGTGGTCTGGAGGAGAGGAACGGACAAATGACCGCGACCGTCAAACAGCTGGAGCAGAAGTGAGTGGTGTCAGAGCGGGACGAAGTGTCACAGGTCCAGGGGCCCCCATATAATGCGTTGGACCAGGGCACCATGTCAGACCCCCACCACTGACCATCCCCACCCCGTATGTGAACCTACTCCTGTCGTTTTGCTTCGTCCGATGGACTTGAAACCCCCGTGAGTGATTGGCGAACCTCCCCCTACCGCCCGCCGCAGGCTGCGTCAGAGTGAGCGGGAGAGACAGACGGCAGAGGAGGATGGGCGGAGGTTCCGGCAGGACTTCGGAGAGAAGATCGGAGGCCTGCAGAGACAGTTGGATGAGAGAGACAAGCAGCGGTGAGCAGTGCCAACATACAAAGATCCCCGTATAGCCTTAACAGACTATTGGGGCAAGCACCTATGAAGGCCGGAATGGCACACCATGGGGTGGGAGTCGACCTAGGGGAGGAGGCCCATGACCGGTTCAGATAATCGTCACTTGTTTTGGCCATCAGCGGGAATCGTACTTGGGTCGCCGGGTTCGTAGCGCAGCGTGCTAACCGCTACACTCGCGTGTACATACGGACATCTCTTTTTTAACCACCTTAAACGTGAAATTGCCACTGACGCGCAATTCACTGACCCCTGAATTAAACTATCGACTATTTTATTATACTACGTAACGCCCACTGAGCTATATAGCTGTTTTTCATAAGCAACCTGGCGATCACAAATGATAGCTCAACGAAGTGGCTTATCATGTGATAATGTATAGCAGCCACATGCTCTAAACGCTTGATGTTGATTCTAAATGTGGAGGGAAAAACCGGACGACCTGGAGAAAAATGCACGTGACCACGGGGGACAGAGACACGTAGACTCCAAATATACAGGTGTCAGGGTCTGGATCGAACCCACAGCCTCCTGTATACCAGGCAAGGCAATTAACATCTCGCCACCGTGGCGCCCTAAAACCACCCCCACCTCCTCCTCGCTCTGCTGCCGTCGCCCCTTCCCACCCACCCTCTCGCTCCGCCGCCGGCCAGGGCCCAGTTGGAGGCCGACCTCAAGATCGAGCGCGAGTGGCGGCAGGCCCTGCAGAAGGAGCTCCAGCGGGAGAAGGAGGCGGCGGCGACGCTGCAGGCCGAGCTGCGAACCTTGCAGGGCGTCAAGCAGGTGCCGCCCCCGCCGGGCGCCGGCCACGCGGCGAGGACGCGGCCGGAGCGCTCCGCCGTCGTGCGGCCATCGTGAATGGGAAGACGCGCGCGGCTGTCGTTAATCGGCAGGGTGGGCCAGGGTTTCATTCCCAACTGGGTGGGGGGGGGGGGGGTGGGTGCCCTTATTCTGTGTGCAGTTTGTATGCGCTCGACCCCTTTTCTGCACGGGTTTCTTCCGGGTTCTGCGGTGTTCTCCCACCCTTTCGCCAACTGGTATTCACCAAAACATACGGTGAGGGGAAAAAAGTATTTGATCCCCTGCTGATTTTTGTACGTTTGCCCACTGACGAATAAATGAGCAGTCTATAATTTTAATGGTAGGTTTATTTGAACAGTGAGAGACAGAATAACAACAACAAAATCCAGAAAAACGCATGTCAAAAATGTTATAAATTGATTTGCATTTTAATGAGGGAAATAAGTATTTGACCCCCTCTCAATCAGAAAGATTTCTGTCTCCCAGGTGTCTTTTATACAGGTAATGAGCTGAGATTAGGAGCACACTCTTAAATGGAGTGCTCCTAATCTCAGCTTGTTACCTGTATAAAAGGCACCTGTCCACAGAAGCAATCAATCAGATTCCAAACTCTCCACCATGGCCAAGACCAAAGAGCTCTTCAAGGATGTCAGGGACAAGATTGTAGACCTACACAAGGCTGGAATGGGCTACAAGACAATTACCAAGCAGTTTGGTGAGAAGGTCACAACAGTTGGTGCGATTATTTGCAAATGTAAGAAACACGAAAGAACTGTCAATCTCCCTCGGCCTGGGGCTCCATGCAAGATCTCACCTCGTGGAGTTGCAATGATCATGAGAACGGTGAGGAATCAGCCCAGAACTACATGGGAGGATCTTTTCAATGATCTCAAGGCAGCTGGGACCATAGTCACCAAGAAAACAATTGGTAATACACTACGCCATGAAGGACTGAAATCCTGCAGCGCCCGCAAGGTCCCCCTGCTTAAGAAAGCACATATACATGCCCGTCTGAAGTTTGTCAATGAACATCTGAATGATTCGGAGGACAACTGGGTGAAAGTGTTGTGGTCAGATGAGACCAAAATAGAGCTCTTTGGCATCAACTCAACTCGCCGTGTTTGAAGGAGGAGGAATGCTGCCTATGACCCCAAGAACACCATCCCCACCGTCAAACATGGAGGTGGAAACATTATGCTTTGGGGGTGTTTTTCTGCTAAGGGGACAGGACAACTTCACCATGTCAAAGGGACGATGAACGGGGCCATGTACCGTCAAATCTTGGGTGAGAACCTCCTTCCCTCAGCCAGGGCATTGAAAATGGGTCGTGGATGGGTATTCCAGCATGACAATGACCCAAAACACATGGCCAAGGCAACAAAGGAGTGGCTCAAGAAGAAGCACATTAAGGTCCTGGAGTGGCCTAGCCAGTCTCCAGACCTTAATCCCATAGAAAATCTGTGGAGGGAGCTGAAGGTTCGAGTTGCCAAACGTCAGCCTCAAAACCTTAATGACTTGGAGAAGATCTGCAAAGAGGAGTGGGACAAAATCCCTCCTGAGATGTGTGCAAACCTGGTGGCCAACTACAAGAAACGTCTGACCTCTGTGATTGTCAACAAGGGTTTTTCCACCAAGCACTAAGTCATGTTTTGCAGAGGGGTCAAATACTTATTTCCCTTATTTAAATGCAAATCAATTCATAACATTTTTGACATGCGTTTTTCTGGATTTTTTTTTATTATTCTGTCTCTCACTGTTCAAATAAACCTACCATTAAAATTATAGACTGATCATTTCTTTGTCAGTGGGCAAACGTACAAAATCAGCAGGGGATCAAATACTTTTTTCCCTCACTGTATCTCTGTGTTTTGCCCTTTTGATTGTCTCTGTGCATCTATGTATCACATTCTTGTCTCGTCTATCTCTGCATATATTTACTTGTATTTTTTGTATCTTTGTGTTCGCATCGCTCCATCTGCCTGTGTTGTACGTCCACTGTCCACCTGAATCTCCCCGTGTCTCTCGTGTGACTGCGCACATGATCGCGTCACACTCTGTGTAATCTCTCAGTGTCTTTGTGTCGCTGTCACGCCTGTATCTCCATTTCTGTTTCCGTGTTGTGTTTCAGTGCACCTCCACCGTATCCGGTTGTGTCGCTCCATGTGACTGCGTATCTCTCCACGTTCTCTCTTGAGTCGATCTGTGGCTCCATCTTCCTCCAACTTCACAAGACCCCAGCTAGTGAGGAGACAACTCTTTGAGCACAATTTAAAACAACAATTTAGAGTTGTGATGCACACGGTATTTGTATAGATTTCTGCCTCATTTGTGAAAAACTCCAAAATAAAAGTGAGCCACAATCTTCCTTGAGCTGCTTCCCCGTTCGTGCCCGAATCACAGTGAATGCCGCATCCCGTGTCTTGCTTTTGGCCGTCTCTACTCGCTGTAATTTCAACTCATAAGAGAGAATGGCTTGGAGGTGCGAAGAACCGCAGACAAGCGGGGAAGACAGCCAAGCGGCGAGCCGACTCCAACAATTTCCCAAGCTCTGTGATTCCCTCTATATGAAGGGTGTTTACACGTGGACAGAAACGGGAGATCCTGAAAAAACCCATTCGTGCGAGGGGGAAACACTCTATCCCATACAGATGGAGCAGGTGGAGTCACATTTCACTGTCCCACCTTTTGACAAGCCAGAATATGGCACCACAATTGTGCGATCGACCAACCCTTGCTCCCTCCACAAAGCTGGCGGCAGCAAACGAGTGGTCGCGTGCGTAGCCGCCGCCCTTCAGGCTCTCCCGATTCTCACCCTCTGCCCTCTCCCAGGAGCTGCAGAGGAGCCAGGAGGAGAACCGGAGGCTCAAGGGCGCGTTGGACGAGCAGGAGCAGACCCTGCAGGAGCTCGGAGGAAAGCTGAGCGAGTACGACGGGCGAGTTCACGCCGACACGACGCCAGCTCGCACCATCGGAGCCCGCGCGCATACGCACACGCATGCATAGCACATACACTTCGGTACATACACACGCAATCATGTACACATATTGTACACATGCACATATTGTACGCATACATGACATAAAAGACAAAGATCCCCCATATAGCCTTAACAGACTGTTAAGGCAAGCGCTGTTAATGAGGACCCATGAAGCCCGGCACGGCACACGATGGGCTCGGTGGTCAACACCACGCCTGGCCGCCTTTGTTTTCCGAGTGGCGATGTTTACTACACAACTCACCATGTACTCAATTGAGGCAGAGTCGACTTAGGGGAGGCCCAGGACTGGTTCCGATAATCGTCACTGGTGTTGGCCGTGAGCGGGAATCGAACTCTGGTCGCCGGGTTCGTAGCGCAGTTCAGCGTGCTAACTGCTACACTACCGCACACGTATGCACACACTTTCAAAGGAACTTCCCGCCAGCGAACTTAAAACGTTGGTTTTTGCAAACTACGTTACAGGCTGCACGTGCCAGGCCACAGCGAGTAAGAATTGTATTTTCAAATCTAAGAAACCAGGCAACGTTATCTGCACTCTTGTAAGCTCGCCGTCTAAAGTAACCACGAATATTCTGCCCGGTTGTAACGCGTCTCGCCGCTCTGCCTTTTCCCGTAAACTTCACGTTTAGATCAAAGTTGAAGATGGAAGACATCAAGGAGGTTAACAAGGCACTTCAGGTGAGTCGATCTCACCTCACAGGGTCCTTTAATGACAGATCAGAATGGCCCTTTCAAGAAGTATTTTTTCGTAATTGATATTCTTGCTGACGATGTACCCGCATTGATTCGTGAATGCCAACATCGGGAGGGGTGAATGGCTACATGGGGAGTTTTTTGGGACGGGCCGATTATCGAACAAGGACGTACCGATGTAGGCATGCGACTTTAATTGTTTCAGGGTCAGGTGTGGCTGAAGGACCAGGACGCCACGAACTGCAAGCTCTGCGAAAAGGAATTCTCCATCTCTCGGCGCAAGGTAAATCATTCTTACGGTGCGGGGCATTAGATCGGAACCGGTTCCAGGCCGTCTCCCCCTTTCCTTCACCGACCAATGCTTTACTAGCGCGGTGGTTTCGTTTGGTCAAATAACTCCCACAGACCTGCCTGCCCTCCTGCAGCAGTGGATTGAAAGGAGGCTTTTTATATTATTCTGGCACATTTTTACGAACGAATGTCTCACCGAGTCCCATGACTGCTGCCAAGTTTTTTTTTATTGTTGCAGTTTTCGCGTTGTACATTTTCTCATAGGGAATTGTTATCGTGATGCCGTCACACACGGGGGGGGGGGGGGGGGGGCAACTCTCGTGAATGACGTCACGAGATCTTTAGCATCCACTGTGAAGCAAACGGCATGCTTATTTACACCGCTGCAATGAGCTATAAAAACTGTTAAGAAATAAGTATTTCACCAGGTAAGGCTTGCTGAGATATATAGCTCTTTTTCAGAAACGACCTGGCCACAAATGATAGTTCAACGGAGTGGCTTATCGTGTCAATTTATAGCAGCCAAATACTCTAAACGCGTGCTGATTCTAAATGTGGAGGGGAAAAACCGGAGGACCCGGAGAAAAAATCCAGAGACACACAAACTCCACATATGCAGCAGGCGTCAGGGTCGTGATCACTCCCACGACCTCCTGCCTACCAGGCGATGGAGTTAACATCTCGCCACTGCGGCGCCCAATAACGAAGGCGGTGGCTCGATTCGAGCCGCGAACCTTTGCATTAAGCGGGGGACTCGCTTCCACCAGGCCACGTCGTAGCCCTGTACGCTATCCAGGCAAGCCTGCGTGTGGTGCAGAGCGTAACAGTGGCGTAATGCAGAAACCTCACTTTTTCACCTTCCCCCGCCCCCCCATCTCTCACCCCACCCCCCGTCCTCACCCCACACCCGTTCGGCATTTAAAGCACCACTGTCGGAACTGCGGGGAGATCTTCTGCAACTCGTGCTCGGACAACGAGCTGCCCCTGCCGTCGTCCCCGAAGCCGGTGCGAGTGTGCGACCTGTGCCACGCGCTGCTCCTGCAGAGATACTCGTCAGGCGCCGTCTGAGCTCCCGCACACGCACACGCATGCACGTACGTACGCACGCGCCCACGTGCACACATGCCATACGCATACACACAACCGCAGTCGGTGATCTATCCCTCCGCTTAGCGGCACGCTGCTAGGTAGTGCTGGTCGTCCGGGGCATACGTATCGAACGAGCGTGTACGTACATCGGTGTCGCGGCGTCGTGCGGTCGCCTCTGTCGCTGAGGCGATCGGATCCGGCTGAGTTTACCACCTGGATTCACTAATTTTAAACCGATTCTTAGACTCGCGAGAACACGCAACGGTGCAGCATGGTTGGCATTCGCCGCCCCGGTGTAAGGTATTTGGCTGCTCTAAGTATTTAGAATATTTGGCTGCTATAAATGTCCACGTGATAAGCCACTTCGTTGAGCTATCATTTGTGGCCAGGTCGCTTCTAAAAATAAGCTGTATAGCTCACTGGGCCTTATCTGGTAAAATATAAATAGTTTTTTGTAATAGTTTTTAGGAATGAAACTGGGGCCAATTTCCCTTTCACTTTGTAGCCCGGAACCTGGGCCTCGGTGCAGTTGCACCACCTACCTACACACTCGCGATAGCGAGTTATTTATCAGCGGTGTGCGTAAATTGGCTCACGTCACCCCATCAAAGCTACCTAGAGGCTTGTTGCTACCTTCACCGCCGTTGGCAAAATAAATGTATGTTCGGATATGACCATGAACCCGAAAATTGATAATTCTCCGAATTGCGAGCGAGACAAACAGTTACGTGTCCGTGTACAAGTAAACGGTTGAGGCAGGTTCTGTTAAGTCAGCGGTTTGCTGGTTCGAAAGAGCGTGGGGAAGGTGTTTACAACCCGAAGCCAATGGTGGAAATTCCACATTGCTATGGCAGGTGTGAGTGAAGCTTTTGTACAACCACTGTTGACTTTACACAAATTGATATCCATTGAACAGGATTTAATCTCGCTCTAACTGCGGCCCCAGGTCTTCCGGGTTGTAAGGTCGTGCGAGCCACTGCACCACTGCTCCCGACGCACAGCAGCTGCCATTCGCCACCAAGTGGCGTTGAAGTCACAATAATGGGATTTGTGCCAGGCTTGAGGGCACTTTGAGGCCACCTGAAGTGACAGAGGCCTACTGGTGGTAGATAGCTCATGGGACAATCCAGGTTGTTATGGGCTTCCGTGACTGGCAGATGCACCAAATAGAATCCCAACTACACACACACACATCTACATGTATGCACAAGAGCTAAGCAGTGCTGCAGCTGAGCTGTGGCTGTTAACACTGCTGGCATTAGTCCTAGCGCATTAAACTAAGGTGCCAATGACGTTAGTGTTTGTGCCCACACTCGGGTCGCCACCTCTGAATTACAGGAAATTGACGGCATATCCCGGCAAGAATGTCTCACATACATACAGAGGGGAGAACTGCACTTAAATGTAATGCCTTGGGTGCTGTATTTTTACTCAACTGACACTGGGGTCTCTTTTTTCACTTCCTGGGAAGACCACAGATCAAAATACCAGAAATCTCACAGATGTACCAGGACAACTCCCCGATACTGACGTCCTGGGAAAATCGGGACAGGGTGGAGGAGCTCTTTGCTTTTTTTGTTGTTCTTATCGTTCATCTCTCGCCTCTGCACAAATGAGGGGTATAGTTGGGAGTCCCAGGACGTGGTCTCCTTCCTTGGTCCCGGCCGCTAGCCGCGGTGGGTGGGTGGGTCGGGCGGATGAGGGTTAATTTGAATCCGCAGAGCCCCTCTCGAGCGCGTGCCGTGCACGCAACGTTCAGCCAATGGTTATCGTCCGCGTTCTCCGCGTTACTGACGCCGCTGCGTTTTGAAACTCGCGCGACAAGGAAGTCCACTCCACGGGTGCGCTTACAACCGCTGCTGCTGCTGCTGCTACTACTGCTGGCATTATTGCACGCGCGGTCATTTTGGCGCGATTAAAGATGCAACCTTGCCAACAAACGGGTGTTTTTTTTTTTAAAGTCCGAATCAGAATCTTTATCTTGGAGGAATCCGATGAGCTATGAAGCTCAAATTCACAGATGTCCAGCAGGGGCTGGGTCAGCAAGTTACAATAAATACGATGTGTACATAATCTGATAAGGCATGTATACAATCGAAATACCTGGCAGCGAGCCGTGCATACGAGTATTGTTTGCGATGCCGATTATAGGTGGTGTAGATTTAGGCAAAGATAATTAATACAAGTGTACGTGTGGGAAGAAGAAGAAAACGATCCAAATGAGATGGTAAAAATATTCTCGGACCAGGACCCCAAATCCCTGATGATGAAATTCTCTGGGGAATCATTGCACGGCTGGTTTCCAGACTGTTCGCAGGCTGACACTGTTTATGAAGCTTTGTTCTTGAGGTTGACCTTGGAATGACTTTTCAGGTACACTCGAATGACAGTCACTCCACACCGATTTTCATACACCAATGCAGTCGCGAGCTAAAAAAAGTTACAGCAGTCACTCTGCAGTGATATCATTGGACGGGACATGCGAAGGTGAAGTCTTTTTTTCTTCTCCATTAACCAAGCTCCATACTCGTACAGCACAGCCCACACACCGATGCGTAAATAAAAACAAGAGCCGTTTTAGTTTTTTTAGGTTGCGTGTTTGTGTAGGCATGGGCGAGTAACAGCAAAGCGCAAAATTGCAATCTCAAAACGCCGTAGAAATTGCAACGCGCAGTTGTCGTACGGAGGCGCGGGCAAGCGGGAAGGCAACCCGACGGAACCTGTGCCAACAATTTGCCTGACCTCTGTGATCCTATATTGAGATGCTGGCCAACGCCATGAATGTCGGTTCTGTTAGGAGTATCTGGGGACTCCCGACAGCCGTGTCTCCACTTGCCTATGCTTACAAACGGCAGTCCCAGCTGTGGTGGGGGGGGGGGGGGCGGAGTGTTTGCGATGGGAGTGCCTTGGTTGCACCGCTATGCTTAAAGCGCGGGGTCAAATGACAACTGATTTTCCGCACGCTGAAGCCAATGAATGCAAGTCGTTGGGCCCGAAAAACAATGAATCTGAATTGTCAATACAAATCGGGAGTGCTTTTATTATACAAATAAATATAAGAATCTATTTAATATATAATACGATTTAAAATGTGTATTTTAATATTCTATAGTGTATATGGTAATTTATCCACTGCTGGATGACAGCCTCCCCAGACAACAGCAGTCATGAAATTGTTTGACCATACTTCACCATGCTGGTCAGTGCGAGATGGCGGATTAGTACCAGTTCATGTAATATCACTCACCACCATAGTGAGCTGTGGGCTGTGATTGAAGCCTGGTATGCAGCATACCAGAGCAGCCCCAAACCGTGCCCCCAACTTATACTGAAATAAAAACTATTCACCAAGAACAAAGTAAAACACGTGATTATAATTGTACACGTTACCAATATGAAATGGAAAAGCTAATTCGTGCTGTGGCGTATTTGCATGCGAGGCAGTTTAACGTTCATTGGCTTCAGCAGTGTAGCGGGTGAGAGGACTTGTAAAACATATTTTTATATGTGTATAAACGAAATGTTTATTTTACAGCATGCCAGGTCGAGGCTACGTGTGCCGATGCAGCCGTTTACCGCGTCGATGCTGACCCAAATGAGATTTTGTCCAGAGCTGTATTTTTTATTCGGAACGTCAACATTTTACAGAAGTCAAAACATCAACTCATGTCACCCGGTTGTGAATAAAGCTGCTTGACAATTCACACCTGTAATAGCTCCATCGTTGGCTTGCTAAAAATGTTTCTGTACAGTTGTCTGAAAAGATGAAAATCTGTCACGTTTGTTGCTTTAGGTTTTCTGGAAATAAAATTTTGTAGTTGACTCCAGAGTTTTAATATTTTTTAAAACCATATAAAAACACCACGTTGCAATAACCTTGGTTTATTAAAAGACAAGGGGGGAGGGGGTGCTAGCTTCCCAGCTGAAGTCATTTGTATCAAAATAATTGTGTTAATCCATCGGCAAAGCTTTGCAAACGATACTTGCAGTATGTTGAAATAAAAAATGTACACGAAATTTTTCCTACAATTCCAATTGTGGGATGTGATGTCAAATCCATTTTGAAAAATTCCAAGTACCCTGTCACACCCGCAATGGCTGTGGGAGGGATTTTTCAATGGATTTGCCGAGTCAACCCAATATTAAAATTTTGTAGAAATGGAATTTTTCCAATTGAAGCCAAAACCAAATCTTAATAGTGGGGTTTTTTGTGCAATCATTGGCGACTGGGGGGGAGCTCCTTTCTCCACTTTAAACAGTTTCATCACAAGTGGCTGCCTCGATCTCTTGAGCCACCCTGACCACCTCAGAACTTTCTAGAAAAAAAAAATCCCCAGAACACTTTAAATTAACTAAATTATATTCTTGGTTCTTTCGGTAAAGTCACGTAAAGGGAAACAATATAAATTGTTTTATATTTTTATTTTATTGTTTCCCTTCGACGTGACTTTACCGAAAGAACCAAGAATACGAATCCCTGCAGTCACGAAAGCTTTAAATCAAAATTAACTAAATTGTAGAAACTCCCAATAAACCAGAAAAATAACACCGTAATTTAAAGACACAGGGCCCCCTTTCTTGCCAAACTGCGGTTCAAACAGACATGTACTGATGCACTTACCCATCAATATCGATTCTTCAGCAAACGATAGATTTAAAAAAATCACATGTAAGAACTTCATACAGGTCAACTTACAAATATGGAAATTACATATTTGATTATTCGTATGTTATGGGCTCACGTCATCATCCGTGTTACTTAACCAGTATTTAAAAGAAAATGTATCTTCAAATCACAATTTTGTTTCGACTTGCCAGGAAGGCAGGAAGCAAATTGTTACAACTTATAGACCTCTTGTCACCAAGAACTGACATGAAGGGGGTAACTGAACAGTCCGTGGCCTTAACAGGGGCAACAACAAATTGTGAACGTGACAATACATACATCCTCTTTGGTTTTATTCGGTAAAGTCACGTATGTAAAAAATAAAATATGAAACTAAATTAAATCACGTTTCGGAAGCAACACAAGCTTCCGAAACGTGATTTAATTTATTTTTTACCTACGTGACTTTACCGAATAAAACCAAAGAGTATGGATTCTTGCAGTCACGAAAACTTCAAATCAAGAATTAATATATACATTGTGAAGTATTTACTATTTCCAAAGCAAAGGAATAACGTTCATTTTTCTACCGCCGCTCGCACCACCATTCTGAAAGAGAACCTGACTGGTCACTAAATTGGCCTTCACTTTTAATGCCGTATCAACTCTGAACACTTTTTTTTTTACTTGGTTAAACACGCATGTGTATAAAATAGAGACCTCACCAGTGGCTGCAAGCCTCTTCCCCCCACTCCCCCCCAACACCGCACGCTGACACTGGTAGCACCCAGACTCACCAACGTGTGGTACTGGAAATAGCCCAAGTCTCCCAAGATTTGGGTTGGCCCACTATGGGGGGACTGATGGGGGGGGGTGGCAGGGGAGGACCGACGGGACAGTTTCCAGCGCAGCAGCGGAATCGAGAGTCTGGTCGCTACCATGGACGGCCTGTGAAGGTGCGATGTGACCATTATATAGCACCACCGTTGAGGTCTTGGTTCACTCCCCATGCACATTTACACGCAATAAGTTTGAGCGTTAACCTGAAAAATGGTTACGTGTGGAAAATCCAGAAAAATATGGATACAACACTTAAAACTGAAGACGACACTTGCCAGACCTGGCCGAGTGTGTCCACAACGAGGCAATGAAGGGGTCGCTTGCCGGGAAAAGGCATTACCCTGCTGCAACGCACCCGTTAGTTGTGATCACGTGTTATGCGGCCAGACAAGGGCATTCTTCCAAGTGGGGATTAAAGCCTTGGAAGTGGTGAACCATATGCAGCATTATTACCCTTCTAATGGACTAACATTGAAGAAGAAACAAGTGTCATCAGTCACTCAACGCCAGTCTGTCAGGGCAGACTTTTCCATCCTAGGAAAGGCAGAGGATGGGGGGGGGGGCAGGGATCATTTCACAAAAACGGGAATGGGTCCTGTACCATGCTTAGAGGCTACGATACATTTGGGAAATTTTAGAATCGTCACCGGCAACGCATTTACTGTGCTGACCAACTGTGACAACCCGGTACAGCAATAGGCATGGAGTCTCGTGGGATTTGTCTTGTCAATAAAAACAATTTTGATTTAACGTTTTTTTTATTGTTTCCCTTCTACGTGACTTTACCGAAAGAACCAAGAATAATAACAACAATGTTGTAAAGTGTTTCAAGAGCAATGATTGGCCTATGTAGCAATGTCCAGTAGTCGTGTGACTCTTCTGCAATCCGATGGCAGTTGACCATCCCAGCTGTCCATTGTGGGGTGGGGGCCAAGAACAGGATTCGTCCAGAGTTGGGCAACTACATTTCTTGCAACAGAAATGCATCGCGGCGACCGCCGCCGGTGTTGATTGCCGGCAATGACTGCCTCTAAAGTTGCCCCGGTGTATCACGGCTTCAAGGGCATGCGGAAAACAGGACAGCACTGAAAGAACTAAACAAGACAGCGTCGGGGCGCTTCTGGGCACGACAAGAGGGGACCACACTCACCCCCCACCCCCCCCCCCCCCCATCTCCTCGGTCCTGCAGCTCATTTACGATCGCGGTCCCGATCCCTGTCCCGGATCCGATCACGGTCGCGGTCGCGGTCCCTGTCGCGGTCCCAGCCTCCGCCGCGCCGGCTGCTGCTGGTGCTGGAGCTGTAGCATGCCACGCCATTCGAGCCACCTCCTGGCAGATGGGGGGGGAACACGACATTGTCAACACAGTGATTTTGTTGCCAGATCGAGCGACATTTTAGATTCCCTAAGTGACAATTTGTCGAAGCGACTAGTGGCAAATCTACATACACATTTAAACCTAATGGCGGGACCCCGGGGTCACATAAGCCCCCCGCTCTCGCATAAACATATTATAATGTAAACAAAAACTCTCATTTTCACCAATGGGTTTGAAGAATGATGGCAAGTGTTGTCTTGTTAAACTATGCCTTTAAAACTGAAAACTACTTACCTGCAGTACCTCTATTTAAATACACCATCTAAAAAATAATTTACACCCCTCTGTCAATCATCGTGTTTCTCAGTGTGGATTTGTGAACACACTTTGTATACAGTGCATAAAGTAGTACGCGTTTTCAATGCGCTGTTCATATTGTAGCAAGCATTTATACCAATGTTACTCTACAGAGTAGTGGGTTGCTGCTCCTCTTATCCGCATTGATACGAGCAGCATGTGAGGACTATGGCTTAACCGCAAAAAAAACATCTGCACAGATGCATACGGACAAGAGAAGTATTATCAAACAGGAGAAATGAATGGTACAACGCATCTCATCTGTTAAATATCTGCAGGTAATGGGATTGTCATCGACTGATCCTGGCTGCAGACATTAGTAGGTCTCCAATTTGATGACAGCAGTTTCAATGTATTATGCATACCGCTATGACAAATGAAGGACTTAAGTCGTGTAGGCAGTTTGAGCAGCTTTGGATAAGACTTGTTATGATCCTGCCCATACCCGAGCATGGAGTGCATTCACTTGTTCAGCTCTTCCGTGCATTAATCCTCGCTGCGCTTGGACGACAACAGAATGATCCGCGCCAGGTGGGTCGCGGCGTTTATGTGCGTGGTGGGACGGAATCGCCAAAAATAAATTAAGATTTTGACTTCCGTTTATTTGGGTCCCCGGGGTCCCGCCATAAGGTTCATTTCAAGAGCGTATTAAGCATCCTATTGAATAAAGTTTACTATGTTGTCGGTCAAGTAAAGTTACAGCCTTGCGATTGCTTGTTCGCACCACTTTTGGCAGATGGAAACATAACATCGCCAACTGTGAATGGGTTTAAATTTGGTCTTCGTCAAAATAACAGCGTTCAGCTAGGAAAATGGAAATAGCATGGTACACCATCCCTCTGAATTATCCCCGTTTTTCAAGGGCACGGTGTAGGTAGTGAGTGCACGCGTGCGTGTGTTTTTATGCCCTTGCGGGTTTCTGGGCTCTGCTCACCGTAGCCCCTGTGCGCCGTCGAGTTCAGAAACAGCTCCACGTAGCGGTGTTCTGCAAGAAAGCAGAATCAGGAATCTCTATGAATGCCAGATGAATCCGATGAGCTGCAAAGCGGACGGGCACAAGCGACCACATCTCACACGCGGCGATGACGGCAGTGACAGGAAATGTCGATGGTGGTGGATGTCAATTATGGTGATGTTGATGGCGCCAGTGGCGGTGATATACACGATGGTGTTGGTTATGGGGCAGTGGTGGTGGTGTATGATGGGAGCAGCTGTGATGCTAGTGATGTGTGTAGTCATGTGAATGGCTTTTATGGTAACAAAATGATGTACGCAGCGGTGTTTGGAGTAGTCACGTCAATGATTGAGGTGGTGATATTTTTTGTTGTGAGTTGCGGTAATGTTGCTGCTGAACGATGGTGACACGGGTGATGCCGGTGGTGTTGACGACAATGACAGTGATGATGATGCAGAGGCACGTTGTTGACATCGGCAGTCTCACTCATATGCGCCTTGTCCCTTGCCATGGCGCGCACTGCGTCATCGTGCGTCGCGAAGTCGACGTCCGCCTCCCCCGTGGCGCGTCCGTTCACCTCGTACTCGATGTGAACCCTCACCGGCGCCAGTGGCAAGAAGAACTGCGCCAACGGCGGCATCGCGATGGGCCGCACACACGCAACAACAACGCCACCACCGATGGTAAATTGTCAATCCCTTCCACAACAACCATTGCCCGCTTCCATCATCTTTGTAATGAAAATAACAATAGTTATCCATGGGACGATTTATATGGGTTGTGGATTGACTGTTTTCTCTCTAAAGAACCCATGACGTGTGAAACAAGGTATATCTCATGCAAATATTAAGAATAGGCTTTACCCTTTCTGGGAATAAAACACGTGTTAAGTTGTTCAAAACACAAAAAGAGATACCTTTTGCACGTTTGTTTGCATGTTTTGCCCCAAGTACGTGTGGTTTTCATCCCTTGCAAAAGGTATCTTATTTTGTGTTCGAACATTTTAACACCTGTTTTATTGCCAGAAAGGGGCAAAGCCTATTTTTATATTTTTCATCATTTTTATACTGGCAAAAAAAGGTCCCATACACGGTACATCTGGCCACATTATATCTGCAAAGAGACGTTTTAGTTTTTAGGTTTTCGTGACTTTTTTTGTAAGCATTCTGGTTTTGCTCCGTGCTGGCTGGGTTGAGATCAGCACCTCCAGGATGTCTTCCTCGGTGCTCCGGAAGGGGATGCCGCGCATGTGCACGCAGTGGCCCGTGTTGGTCTGGAAGGTGCCCGTCGAGCCGTAGCTGCTGTAGCTACGGCCGCTGAAACCTGTCGCGACGGGGGCACAAACAGTTCAAAGTAAAAAAAAAATCACGTTTAATTGATTACCCCGTGGCGCCTTCGTGGCATAGATACAAAGGCCATCCAAGGCTCTGAAGGAAAAAAAAAACGTGCGCAACTGTGTTTGCACCAGCCACCAAGAAAAATATAAAATGTTCTAAATAGGCATCTAACAACGTATCTCCTGTCCTCCACCCCAAATAAGAATAATCCATTCTTATTTGTGTGGTTTGATCCGTCTCGTTGGTTCCACTCGGCAGAATATTTTTTTCTGACCTGGAATGGGCCCTTTGAGATGACGAGGCTCTTTTAACAATACAAAGGGAGCTACAGTAAAACCTTGTATTGCGAGCATAATTCGTTCTGGAAACGTGTTTGTAATCCAAAGCACTCACATATCAAAGCACTCGTATATCAGTTGTGATCACATGACGCTTGGCAGACAAAGCGTATACGTACTACTCGTATTGCAAGACCTCGCTCGTTTATCAAATTAATATTTAAAAAATTTGCTCGTCTTGCAAAACACTCACAGACCAAGTTACTCGCAATCCAAGGTTTTACTGTATATTCTTTGGGTCTTTCACAACACAAGCGGTCGTCATCAAGAAAAATATTTTTTTCCTTTTTCCTGATGACGACCGCTTGCTTGTGTTGCGATCGAAACGTCGTAGTTTATTTTCTTTGAACCTATCTACGTGACTTTACCGAAAGACCCAAATAATATGAATGCCTGCAGTCACGAAAGCTTTAAGTCAAGATATAAAGGGAGATAATATAATTAATCAATTTCAGGACAATTACATTAATGTAAAGTGCCATAAACAAACCGTAGAATCATAAACAGGAATATGGGAATTAACACAATGAAAATTGGCATACAATTTGTATAACTGCATTATTTATGAAGGATTCCTACACAGATAATTTGATGCTTATATATATTTAAGGGCAATGAATTGCTTTGAATCGATTAAATCGACGAATCAGGTCGTACCTGGCATCGATCAAGTTTTGACACCAGAGTTTGAAGAACTATAATGACATTTGTACATATACTTTGCAGTGTTCCGACAACACGGTGGAAAGTGAAAGATGACAATAATGAGACTGATATTCGCATATGCGCTGTAAAAAAACAGGGAGATGTTGCAAACCACAGTAATGAGGATGACAAGATGAACTTTAGGATTACTTATAAAATGACAAATTAAGGGACGAGGAAGAAGTCAAGAGTGGTGGTACCCATCTCCAGAAAGGCTCAAAGAAAGCTGACTTAAGATGGCTTAGAATGTGTCGTGAGAGGAATATAACATCGCAGGGAGACAAACGGTGAACATAGAATCGGAGCGTGGAGAACGAAGGGCAGGCCGAGCAGGTGCAAGTGGTGAACCAGGACGCGGAGACTATTGGGAGAGGCTGTGGAGATGGCTCAGGGTAGGAATGAGTGCCGAAGACCAGGACAGGCAGGCAGCTACCCAAACATCATTGGGGGGTATATGGCAGGGAAGAGAAAGTGTACTCATACTCATTTCCTCGCGTGCAGCCCCCCCCCCCACAGACGTTGCTGCCCATTGTCCCAAACACAAAGCCAACAACGGCTACGGAACTCACCGCCGACCGGTCGCAGACGATCGTAGTTTCGGTCCGGCCCATATCCCCCACTGTTGCCTCCGCTGTAGCCTCCGGTGTAGTTGCCCCCGTGGACCCCGGCGCTCCCATAGGAGCCCCTCGGGCTCACGCTGGGTCGGTCGTAGGGCCCGCGCCTCAGGGCGTGCCGGCGCGCAAGCTCGTAGACGCCCCGGAAATCCCCTCGGCTACAGCGGAAAACCTCCACGTACCTGAAGGCGTTTTAATATTTTTTGTTCAAACGCATCAGCGAACGGATTTACTTGCAAATAACTCCGTTGGGAAAAGTCACGTGGCAATGCCGCCCCACCCCCCGCAACCCAACTGGCACATGAATGCTCACTTACGGGCCAGTACAGATGTTCATGTTACGCCGCACGGGGACAGATGGGGGGCTGCCCTTAGGTAGGCCACAGCAGGACATTGGAATGCTCAGATGTGATATCAAGTTACCAAAGCATTTAAGTGTCCTATAAATGCAAATTCTTATACCAAACAAAATAACTGGGCAATTTCCCGCAGCTACAAGAAACCACCGAGATCTCTTCAAGCAAGCGACCTCTGGTCCACAGAGCAGAGGTTAACCTGCCATCCGAGAGTCGTGTTCATCACGTAACAGTCACACCGATGTATTAAACTGATATTTTCAATTATCAGATTGAATTTAGCCAAATGAAGTGCAGCATCAAATAAAAAAATGTTTTTTTGGTTGCAAAAGCCCTTTTTGCTCTGGATTGTTCAACTTGTGAACAATCCTTTGATAAATTTAGCCAGTTTTCAATAATAGTAACACAACTTCAAACAATAGATTTGTTTACACCGCATCATCTTTAAGAGTTATAGTTCCCACACCCGCCCTGAACCCCCCCCCCCCCATTCGCTTTGAACCTTGGTTGGAAAGTGAACATAAAAATATATATATACGTAGGTCATCAACATTATCGAGGACACCACCACACACGTGCACAAATGAACAAGCGAATGACGACAAACTGAATGATTGACCAGCCCGTACCGGTGGCCCATCTTCTCCTTGTGCTTTCCGAGCGCAATGTCGGCCAGGCTCTGCGACACGAACTGCACAAAGGCCTCGCCCGTGCTGCGGCCCTGGTGGTCGAGGGGAATGACGATGCCGTCCGGCGAGATGTCGTACGGCGAGATGTTGTACACTGCGGAGGATCCTTCAGAGGCTGCACGCGGACGCGAGGTCGCACCCAGTGGAAGTCAAGGGTTTCTTAGCAAACTCCCAACAACTGTCGCACCTCGGATTAGTGCGGTTGGCTATGTTTCGGTGCGAAGGGAGTTCAACATACATACGTACATATATTGTGTTGAAAAGTGTTACTTTAGTAGGTTTTGTGTCAGAAAATATTTTGCGAGGAATGCATCTTAGGTTATATACATGGGACACAATGGGTAAATACATTTCGATATACGATTTTCCAATTAAGATTCCACTTTACAAGAATGCAACCCAAACGTACATTATATGGCAACTCTAGCACTAACTGGTGGTGCCAGGTGACTACGGCCAGAATTCCTCACCGGAGAAGAATTTGACGATGTCCTCTCGCGTGCACCCAAAGGGGAGTCCGCGCAGTCGCACGCAGCCCTCGAGCGACGTGTCGGGCTGGCTTGGCCCGTTGTGAGCCAGGGCCCACTCAAGCTCGCTCTTCTTCGACTTGAACACTGCACGCAACGACGTATGGGAGGGGGATATCCACACCGGCCACTTAAACAATTTTCCCCATCATGACACAGTCCATGGGAAGATAGCCCGTTGATGTCCACTGCACATTTCGTTGTTTCCACTTTGCTCTGTCTTGTGCCAATATGCTCAAGTAGTGCCACATCTTTCTGGCACTTAAGTCTTAAGTCGTCAAGCCATTTCTCTGTTCGATCTTCCTCTCTTTCCGGTTCCTTACATTTTTCCCCGAACAAAAAAAACCCCTCACCCCAGCTAATTTATGAGGTCACTGTTCGACTCGTTTTGTGTTTTTACGCACCCTCGATGTAGCGGTGGCCCATGTGCTTGCGATTCAGCTCGAGAGCACGCAGCATGTCGTCCTCTGTCTCCAGCTGAACGTACGCCTCTCCGCTCGCCCGTCCGTCCCGCGTGTTGATAAACTCCACGCCCGCCTTCCCGTTCATAAGCATGCAGCCTGGACGTGACAATAAACGCGTGTTTAATTACGTTAGTTTAAAGAAAACATTTCTTTAGAAGTTATTTTTGTGTGTAGCTTGTCCTTCACCCCGCACGTCCGATTAGCACGGTTGGCTACGTATGATGCAAAAGTAGTAATTTACATTGGTTGTCTTAATGATCATTTAGTTATGGACGAACTGTGAGAAATGGTCCTGGATGTCAAGACATTTTGTCACTTATCAAGGGAAATGCGTGTACAGCTGAAGTTAAACGCCATGACTCATGATATAGCATCACTTAAATCCAAACCTGGCGTCAATTATAATTACATTTACAGCAGCATTGTTCGCTTAAATTACAATAACATTTTTATTGCAATTAATGACACATCACAGTTACAATTGTAATTGACCCTCGGTCTTATTAACACGTTGTCCACGTTACTCTGTAAAATAAAACTTGACGTAAAGCTACTAATGGGTCTGCCTTGTGCTTGGGTGCTCGTGTGAGTGGTAGTGCCATAACAGCCACCATGGCCGCACCAGAGAAGAAATCCAAGAGTTCTTCGGCAGTGCAGGTCCACGGGAGGCCACGCACGCGAACCACGAATCCTTCGGGGTCGTCCCAGTGTGCGTCCCGAGAGTCTCGCCGGTCTCGTGAATCCTTCCTGTCTCTCGAGTCTCGCCTGTCGCGCAAGTCTCGCCTGTCGCGCGAGTCTCGCCTGTCTCTCGAGTCTCGCCTGTCCCGCAAGTCTCGCCTCTCACGCGAGTCTCTTCTGTCGCGACCATCTCGCGAATCGCGCGAATCACGCGACATGACGGCGCTTTTGTCTTCAGCTGCCGGCGATGATGCTGGTGCTGCGGTCGCTGGCCGCCCACTGTGTCGTTACTCCAAGACTCTCCCCCCTGCGGGTTGCAGCACGGGGCAGGCAAGCTTTTTTGCTGACGCGACCTTCGAGCATGAATCTCCATTCACCCAGCGTCCACCCAGCCGCAACCCCAGCCCCTTCCGAACCACCCAGGTCGCACCCATCCGGCCCCACTGCAGCCCTCCCCAGCCACCGCCAAATCCAGCCATGCCCTTTGAGGGAAGCTGCACTCCAAATGCTCTCCAGCCACGTTCACCCAACCCAAGCCACTCCCGACCACCCCCATTCCAATACATACCTTTCTCAACCAGCGCCAATGCTCTCCAGCCAGCTCCTCCCAACCTTTCACCAGCATCTCCACTCCAACCCAACCCTTCCCCCAGTGACATCACGCTCTCCGGCAACCTCCACCAAACCACCTTCATGCCGATGTCGTCCAACCACCTCCACTCAAACCCCGACCCTCCACCCAACCCAGACCTCCACCAGTGGTGCAACTATTGAGTGTGCAGGCTGTGCAACATTACCAGGGCCCACGTGCCAGAGGGGCAAGAAAGCCAAGCTATTAAGGGGGCAGAAATTGAAGAGGGGGTCCCATTTCATTCTTTGCACAGGGCCCATGCCCACCGCATGACGCCACTGACCCCTTCCCAACCACCTTCACCTCAACCACATCCCTTGGCCCACCCACATTCCCTCCCCAACCAGCTCCATCTGCCTCCACTCCCCATCTCCAAACCTTTCCAAGCACCTTCACTCCAACGCTCTGCAGCCATCTCCACCAAACCCCTCCATGCCATCTCGACTCCAGCCCCCAGCCCCGCCCAGCCACTTCCACAATCCACCCCATCCCACTCATCTCCATTGCAGGCCAGCCCACCCACTTGCCAATCCCAGCCCATCCAATGTGAATCCCTCGCCACCACCGTCGCCCTCCCACACCACCCCAACCGGCCCCACCCCCTCGCGCACCAACCCCTCTCCGGCCTTTAGACATCAAAGGCCCCCCCCCTCCGTTTCCCCCTCACCACCACCATCATCATCCCTCCCACCTCACCACTTCCCTTCCTCTAAAACTTAAAAACACACGCGCACAGACAAAAACACAAACAGCAGCATAAACATTTAAAACACGTGCAATACGATGCGCAAATAAGAGCAGCAAAAATAAAAATCCACGTCGAACCGAATGGTCTGTATAATGTGGTCAAGGCCACACGAAGCTTTAGGCACGTGCAGGCACATCGATTACAATCGATTATCGCGCTAATGATTCGTGTATATGATTAGATTATTTAACACGCAGTAGGCATTCGCGACCAATATCCATAATACACGTTTTTTGGGTTACATCGCGTAAATGTGTCGTAGAACCCGCCACCACCCGACAGACAATTATTAAGGTTTGTCACGTAAACAGAACATGAAAATTCGTTACGAGTAGACAGCACACGGTGTAATTTATATGCATTAATTAATCCCCCTCCTCCCCCCACCACGTAAGGGACTCACAAGTGACGACATATAGATCCATCCCTCTAAGAACGAAGCAGGAGGATGTATTCACAAATCTGCCTGTCGCCTGATGAAGCTAGTTGTAACTACTGGCGAAACGTCGTACTCAGATTGTAAATGTTGTGGATTTAGTCTCCAACATACCGGTGTGCTGTACTAGTAACGAATTGGCATATTTTGTTTACGCGACTAACCTTACTTAATTGTCTGTGTCGTGTGGTGGCAGGTTTAACGACACATTTAGATTTACGCGATCTAATAAAAAAAACAATTCCTGTATTACGGATGACGAGGTTCGTCCGTGCATATATACACGTTCCCGTCAATCCACTGCTGGACGAGGATCTTCGCACGCCGTGCAGGTTATTTATCCATACTTCCCCACGCAGGCAAAGTGCGGGTTTGGAGCCATACAAATACTGTACGCTTGATATTCCTGCTACACAGTCCTCTGCTGACCCACGGCGAACCTATCCGAGCACCGCCCAGTCAACATTTCAATACATTGTCATAGGCGCAGCCCCCCTTACAGGAAACCTCCAAAAAGATAGTTTAACAGGACAAGATACGGCTTTGCCTTCGATTAAAATAGCGTTACAAGTCTTCCAAATGAATGCTGGGGCCCACAGCGGACGGTACCCGACCACTGTTTTAATCGACAACGCACATTTCAAGCCATTTTGTCACATGCGCAGACCTTACACGAATCCGGAAACCACCAAAATTAACGGAGCACGTTGCGAGGGTTTTTTTTTTACTTCGATTAAAATAGCGTTCAAGTATTCCCAACGAATTCGGAAATCTCGTTCAAGCGAATGGTCAATAAAGGCGAGGAAAAAAAAGGCTTCAAAAAAACGCACGCAAACGTGTAGGCCGTGATTCTTAACTCGCTGGGCGAATTCAACTCCTCCCCCCCCCGGACGCAAAGCGAATGAAAGTACGATCTCACCCAAGACGGCCCTACGCCGTCACTACTCTCGTTGCCCAAGGGAAATGAATGCAAAAGCGACGATATTTATGTTTTTTTTTAGTGCTTTTTGCTTAAAGTTTGTGGGACGGGACGCGATAAAATGAAGGCCGCCATCTTACCTCGCTCCACCGGAAGCGACTGAGTCGGGGGGGGGATGGAGGGCACGCCCTCCCCACTCAGTCACTTCCGGTGGAGGGTGCGAGGGGGAGGGGTGGGGTGCGAGGCCCCTCCCCCCTCTGCGCTCCCCCTCGCTCACCCAGCCCCTACCCGTGAGGTTCTTAGGTTTCCCGGCACACGTGGGTGGAGGACAGAGCAACGACGTGGAACGTATTATTTGGGTCTTTCGGTGAAGTCACGTAGATAGATATGTAGATTTTGTCGTCTGATTCATCCACAACACCCAAGGTCAAGCCACTGCTGGATGATGTACTTATAAACATTTTACTTTTTTTAATAACGATTGAGAACCAAAGGGCGTGCAGGGCTGCAGTAAAAGGTTAAGAGCCACCTTAAAACAAAGCCCGACGTTTCGGGCCAATGGGTCTTTAGAGACGGGAGAGCCTCACCAAGGTCATCCAATCAGCGCGCGGGGTTGGTTACACTGCGTCTGGCCAATCAGCGCTTTCGTGGGCGTGGCCCGCGTGGGGCGCGTGCTATGTGAGACCTCGCGCCGAAACAATCGTTGAGCAGTCGGCGAACACGAGGCCGGTGTGTGAGTTATCGGTTCTGTGATCTCGGTTTCGTTTCATTCACATTATTCGTTTAAAAAAAGAGAAGTAATCAACAATTGCTTTGTTCGGTTAAATCTACAAGCTCAGTAGTGTTATATACCATGGCCACGCCGCCGAAAAGAATGTGCATCAGCCCCTCGCTGAATGACAGCTTTGAGAAGCGGGTTAAGCGCGTGTCGATCGAAGGCAACATCGGTGAGTTTCTTTTACGCCTTTTCGTCATTATCGATTAGCCATGGTCATTCCACTGCTGGATTAAGGCCTTTCAAGGCCGCTCTGCCATCTCTCCCGATGTGTGTACAACAACAATCGAACGCAACGCCAGCTGATTCGCTGAATGTGTTTGCCAGACGCGTTCCATTCCTTTGGCTGATTAAATCATCAATGATAATTACATTTCCATCTCTGCTATTGTAATAAATTGTTAACGCAGCCTGTTTAAAATTGCACGTTTCAAATGTACCTCATTGTTAACCACTGCCTTGTAATTCTTACACTCGGCCGACCTTCGGAGGTCAGGGTTCGTATATAAATATATTTTTTAAAATGTAATAATTGTTATTCTGACAGGAAGGGAAGCGATGGTGAGGGTGGCATTGGCCGTGACTGATATGATTAAAACGTCTTAATGTTTATTTTATGTATTATTTAGTTAAAAGCGAGAGTCGCCCAGTGAGGTGGCGAGCGCGGCTCGTGACGATGATTTTTGGCGCCAAACTCGAAATTTGGCGCCGGGTTTCGTTTTTTGGAACGAATTTACCGACGACAACAAAAGCAACTATGTAATAGATTTAATCAAAATTGTAACGTATTTAAACAAAGCACCGATCTGTATTCCTTGTTTACATCACCGTGTTGGTAGATGTAAACAGGATCACAATGTACGTGTTGTATTGCAACCGAAATTGGTTTGAAGTGGTGGGTGGGGGACGTGAGATTGCTTCATAATATAAACTATATAAAACAAATTAAACATGGTTATTGATCGTGTCGCATATTATTCAGTGTATGTTATAATGTATCTCAGTTCGATACTCGCTGTGGTTCATTCAGTACAAAGGAAGGAGGTGATGTGGTGGTGAGACGAGTCCCAGGGGAAGATTAAATATTTACTCGATTTCAAATAATGCAATAAATCATCGTATCCACCTTATTCTCGAACTCTTCGTAATAAATATACGGTTAGTGTGTTGTTAAATCTATCACGACTCTGTTCTTATAACAACGTCCTCCCATGGGGTGGAAACTGGGGAGATGGCACAGTACTTACACTATTTTAGTTATCGATCTATTAAATAAACCATCGGTGTAAGACGCATTAAACGTCGCGCATTCATCGACACCGCGCATCACAACACTCCGGCCAGAGGGGAGACGGATGAGGATGGGTAACTACGCGCAATGTCGATTTTTTTTGGTGTGTGTGTGTAGTCGTTTATAAACATCGCCCTGCTGATGTAAGTTTTGAACGTGGAGTGGCGGCTGTGTCTGCTTCGCTTAATCGCTCGAGGTGATGGTGGTGGTTTTTGTTTGCTTCATTGTCATCGTTTGCCGTCGGCAACGAGACTTTTGCCCGCGCCTTTTTGCCTTTGGCGCCCTTTATTCAGGGCGTGGTGGCGGCGCGGTTTTTAGTTACATTTATTTCATAGTTACATTTATTTGGTATAGCCCTGTGAGCCATTCGGCTCTTGAATCGGTTGACAAACCTTATTGGCTGTGTAGGGTGGTGGCGGGTTTAACGATACGTTTGTATTTAAGCGATGTAACCCAAAAACCTCTTATGGATATTGGTCGCGAAAGCCTAGTGTTAAACTAATAATAACGTAATGAGACTGGTCCTATAAGACGGCGTCTTAACTGGTATTAATTATGCTCGGAGTTTATTATAGAAAAATGCGTCGTGATAAATAATTATGCAAAGACCCATAGACTTACAGAGACATACTGAACTATCCTTAGATTTGTATAGAGACCCACGAACTTTAATTGTTGTCCAAAAACATACAAAGACATCCATCTGGGAGCGACAGATGAGATCGGTTTGCGTGCAAGAGCTAGATGGATTGTTACATCGCTAGACTTTGAAGGATGGTGCAGCAGTGGATAGATCTTGGCTGATGTTGATAAAAGCTAACGGCCTCCACTTCCCCTCGTGTGCGCCAGCGGCAGGGAAGTCGACATTCGTGCGGATCCTGCAGAAGGCGGAGGAGGCATGGGAGGTGGTGCCCGAGCCAATCGCACGCTGGTGCAACGTGCAGACGGACCACGATGACTCTGAGGTTTGCGCTACAACAACAACCGCCATTTGCTACTAAGTGGCGGTGATGACACTACGGAGCTTGTGCCAGGCCATGTGCACTTTGTGCTACATGCACGTACGCACATGCACGTACGCACATGCACGTACGCACATGCACGTACGCACATGCACGTACGCACATGCACGTACGCACATGCACGTACGCACATGCACGTACGCACATGCACGTACGCACATGCACGTACGCACATGCACGTACGCACATGCACGTACGCACATGCACGTACGCACATGCACGTACGCACATGCACGTACGCACATGCACGTACGCACATGCACGTACGCACATGCACGTACGCACATGCACGTACGCACATGCACGTACGCACATGCACGTACGCACATGCACGTACGCACATGCACGTACGCACATGCACGTACGCATGCTTAAAGAAAAGATCCCCCGTATAGCCTGAACAGACTGTTGGGGCAAGTGCTGTTAGCGGGCACCTATCAAGGCCGGCATGCCACGTGAGGGGCCAGCACCACGCCGGGCCGGCTTCATCTCCCCAGTGGTGATGTTTACTAGACACCGCACCAGGTACTCATTTAAGACCGAGTCGACCTAGGGGAGGTTCAGGACGGGCACAGATAATCGTCAATGGTATTGGCCGTGAGCGGCAATCTAACTTGGGTCGCCAGGTTCATAGCGCAGCGTGCTAACCGCTACGCCACTGCTCCCCACTACTCGCTCGTGTGCATATACACGCGCAAGAGCCCAATCTTACCCGAGGGCCACGCGTGTGTGACCGTCCTGTCGTTGCGTGTGCGGCCGTCTTTCCGCTGGCAGGAGCTGTCCTCCTCGCAAAAGAGCGGGGGCAACCTGCTGCAGATGATGTACGACAAGCCAAGCCGCTGGGCCTACACCTTCCAGACGTACGCCTGCCTCAGCCGTATCCGCGCCCAGCTGCGCGTGCCGCCCGCCAAGCTCGACCAGGCGGACGCGCCCGTGCAGTTCTTTGAGCGCTCTGTGTACAGCGACAGGTAAGCTTACAACCACTGCCGACTATTTATTTATTTTATTTATTTGACCAGGTAAGGCCCACAGTGCTTGCATAGCTTTTTTTTTCAGAAGCGACTGGCGATTGCAAAATGATAGCTGAACGAAGTGGCTTATCGCGTCGAAATGTTAAAGCAGCCAAATACTCTGAACGCATGTTGGTTCTAATTGTGGAGGGGGGAAATCCGAGGACCCCGGAGAAAAATCTCTTGATCACAGGGAGAACATGCCAACTCCAAACATACAGCAGGCGTTAGGGGTCGCTGCTGGTGCTGCTTGACAGGTCTGCCCCTCCTGATAGATGCTGTATTAAAGCTAGGTTCATAGCTGCGCGACCAAATTGTTCTTAAAACCTCGCGACTTTATCATCGCCTGCGACAGCTTTGTCCGCATCTGGGCGAATAGTTACGCAACGTGGATGTGGCTCTAAGTGTCTGGCCCCACCTACGCCGGGATCTCGACAACTATTCCTGGTTTGCAAATGTGCGTGCAATGAAATACCTCGCTACAAATGGCTAATAAAATCACTTGAATATAGAGTGTGTCTCTACTGCTAAGTGCTGGGTTGCACACCTGATTGCAGAGACGTCCACGTGTATAAGCGATATAGTTGCATGCAACCAAGCTGTGCAACTGATCGGTCAGGTGTGCATCCACGTTTAGGTCACGTTTTTGTGAGGAAATTTCGGGGGTGTAATGAGCTAATACCTTATTTCCACTGGCCACACCCGAGCAGTGCCGAGCCGGCCCAAAGCGGCTCAGGATGGCCCCAGGTTTTCCCCACTACAGAAACCAAGCTATGCTGCTGATGTGACACAACGAACAAGTCCAGAAAGATAAAGATTGTTGGGGTGGCGTGATGCTGCGTTCGCATGGTATGCTGACGCGATTGTCACTTTCGATGTTCGAGTTGTAGTGACTGACGTCATTCTCCCCTGGCTGTGCTTGCGGCCCCAGCCAGATTCATATGTCTTGGAAGCTGGCGTAGCATGGTTCGATTCCAGCTTGGCACATCAAATAGCCAGTGGAAAACTACCCGTACCGTGAGGGTCCTGCACTGACTTTGGCTCAAATTTGTCAGTGGAAAAAGGATATCGGAGACCATTACATTCTTATCGTTCACTGGACCTTTAATTTTGCTCCACCCATTGCTCCAACACAATTTAAATACATTCAAGCGGTTCTTTGATTGCTCCTTGTGTCATCTCGCTGTATTATTTTGTGCTTTTCTGATCGACGTGTGGTGCGAGTGTCGAGGACCGCGCTTGCTTTAACCCCGGGCTGCTGTGCTGCCCGTGTTTGTTCGCAGGTACGTGTTTGCGTCCAACCTCTTTGAAGCGGGCTGCATCAACGAGACGGAGTGGGCCATCTACCAGGACTGGCACGGCTGGCTGCTCGGCGAGTTCGGTCCCAAGATCGACCTCGACGCAATCATCTACCTGCGTGCGACGCCCGAGGTTATCCAGAGCGCCAGTAGTTGATGCGCACGTCCATGTTTTTCTGTCGATCCGTTGGTGGACGAGGGGCCTCGCCGCACCCGGTTGCTGCCCACTGGGGTTCTTTAAACATCACGTCACCGGGACCGGTCGGTGCAATGTAGGTGACGGTGACGGAGCATCGACGTTGGGTGTGTACAAGCACGGTGCAACGATGGGTTTTGCTGCACTGCTCTTTGTTGCTCACCACGTAGACCCGCAACCTATAGCAATCTGTGCATGGTGGTGGTAGTCCATTGAAGCACTATCCAGAATCGACTGCTTAGCTTCTGAAATTGACGAAGTTAGGCGGATTGTTAATTTCTTTTTAGTTTCTTTGTTAATGTCCATGTTTCAGATCCAATTCAGAGGAGGCGATGTACACATTTAGCAAAAACAGAGTAAAATAATGCAAAAGAGATACTTGGCTATACGGACAGAGCTAATGCAGCTACTAAAACGTGGCTCCATACTGTGCATGTGTCTGCACTGCAGGCCACGTGTTCTCGGCAGCTCTGGAGGCTGCACAGTTTTTGCCAGGGTTTTGAAAAGTTAATATAAAAAAAAACCTTTCGAACTTTGCTAACGTTTAAGCACTCCAAACGATTGACTCGTTTAAAGTGCTCACCTCTCGATAGCTGTGTTTAAACGTACCACATGCAAGTTTGACGGCGGCGCGGGCTGTTTTGCAGCGCTGCATGGAACGGCTGCACGTCCGTGGCCGTTCAGAGGAGCAGGACATCGAGCTGGAGTACCTGCAGAAGCTGCACGACAAGCACGAGAGCTGGCTGCACGACCGTGACATGCCGTGAGTGAGCACAGCGCACGTGCCCCGAGTGTGCGCGCAGACGCAACGATAATAATACATTTATAAAGTTGCCCTTAAACAATCATTCTCAGGGCGCTGCACACACTTAATACTTTACAAAGCCACACCACCCTGTAATTGTCCTACGCCAAGCTGAATAGCCGCTTGCAAACAGCGCTTACCTGCAGTCTCTGCGTATCGAAGTGTAAGGTATTTGTGTGTGCTACAGGGTGCGGGGAGCGGCAATGTACCAGTTAGCACTCTGCGCTACGATCCCAGCAACCAGAGTACGCTTCTCGCTCGCGGCCAATGCCAATGGCGTTTATCTAAACTAGTCATTGGGCTCCGCCCCTAAGTCGAGTAAACCTCAAATGAGTACCTGGTGCAGTGTAAAAAATATATCGCCATTGGGGAGACAAAGGCAGTCAGGCGTGGTGCTGGCCACCCACCCCTTTGGTATAGTGCTGGCCTTCATAGGTGCTTGCTAACAGCACTTGCCCGAACAGTCTGTTAATACGTTATACGGGGGATCTTTGTGCTGCAGGGTGGACTTCGACTGCCTCAAGACTATGCCCATCCTTGTCCTCGACGTGGGAGAAGACTTCAAGACGAATCGCACCAAGCAGGAAGATCTCATTGACCAGGTTGGTCACTTTAGTGCATGCGTTGAAAATGATGGCAAACAAGTGAAGACTCTCGACTTTTTAAAGCTATTCACATACTTTTATGTAAGTGTATTATCGGCCCTTTTTCCCTTAAAAACGATAGTCCCATATAAGTGTTAACACATTTTTGAAGCACCCTGTATATTACCGTTACTGGGTGGATTAAAGAACCATATTTTTCTTCGATTCTTTTTAAGTTCTTATATTTAAACTACGAGCCCTTCTGAAACATCCATCGTATTCAGGAACGACACCAACACCTATGCTGAACGGCGGCAGGTGGGGAGGGGTTAAACTGCCCACGACTTAATCTCATGTACTAGTCACATGCAAAGCGAGGCATATCGCTTTGCACATTATTTCTACAGAGAAAGCCACACACATGTAAGAGGGTAATGCTCCAGAGGACCACAAAGAAATTCGGTCCCTTTGTGCTGCCCTAATCTGGCTGCCTCGCAACCCAAACTTAGTAACTTTGTGATTTCCTGAACAGTCTCTTAGATCCAAGTATTAACCAAGTTTAACCTTGCCGAGCTTCCAAAATCTTGGCGAAACTGGGCATGTTCAGGATTCTTTGTGGTCAGCCTGAATCCTGAATGCAAAACCCCTCCTCGACTATGTAGCTCAAATAATTACATTTTTGTAGCTTAGGTTAAACTAGGTTGCCCTGTGGGTTACACTTTTTTCTTACTGCAGCGAGCGGAAACCATGCTTAAAAAACACACGCAACAACGTGCACTCCAATGTCAGGGAATATCATTTAATTTTGTACGATTGGCTTACGCGTACTAAGATTTGAGCACTGTAATTCCGGCGCGTGTACAAATAAAACTAACGTAAAACAGGGTAATAGCTGTTAAATTAACTTCCAATTCTCTCCCCCCTTATTTTCGCGTAACAGGTGAAATCGTTCCTGAACGACATCTGACCACAACGCAGCTGCTGGAAGGTTCATCTGGAAAGGCCGCTATGTGGGCACACACGTGCTGCTGCCTCTTAAGTCTTGAATTTCAAATATTGTCAATTTAAATATTTAATAGTACTCAACATGTGGGGTTTTTCGATACATCATTTGTGCATGCGTTTGGCCAAATTATTGTGGTCCATTGCAATTCAAGGTACAAAGTTGACACCTAAAATGAAACGCTTTTTATTTCCCTTTTGGTCGAGATGTTTGAATGAACTGCCCGAAAGTGGGCCTTGAAAGGTGCAACCTGTTATTTTAAATGTAAAAAAAAATCTTTTATCGTATATTTTTTATCAAATAAACAAATATAACTTTACACAATGGAAGGCTGAGTTTCTGCTTTGTTTTAAGACAGCTTGTGATTGAATCTTGTTGGCTCCATGTAATTAAACTGACTTGTGCAATGAACTAAAACAATCCAGTGACCTGTCAACTAAAATATGCACAGCAAATTAAGGTTTTAAAAAGACAAAGCATACAAACCTATCATGCATCCATTTGACTTAACAGATTAATGTGTTCATGCGAAAAAAACTCAATTGTTCTGCCAAACAATTCCAAGCTTCAACAGATAATTTCAGAATATTTATAGTGGAGAAATGCAATGAGCGTTCAAGCTCTTTCACAGATGTCCAGTAGGGGTGGGTAAGAATGAGTCCTGGTGACCAATGGCCATCCACCACTTCATGTTTACCAAATGTACTTTTTCAAATACAAACTACATTATTTGCCACACCTGTCTTACTGCTAAATAACATTCCACTAGATGTTCGAAGTACGAATTAAGAGGCGTGTCTATGTTCTGTGGGCCTTAACTGTTTTCAGGTATCTTAGGTGTGTAAATTTTTCTCACATGTGAAGAGCGCCAATTGAAACACTTGCGCGTGTTGTGACCGTGGTTCATTTTGCTTCGGCGATTTACATCACATGCGGCATATTGGACTGCAAAAACTGCAGCATTGCAGAAACGCTGCCGTAATCCGCATGCACATTGGCTTTATAGTTGAAACGCTCAATGCAGGGAATGGCAATTTCCTGCAAAGTAAATTAATTTCCCTTGTGCCGAGATCTTTTGCTTTAATAGTGGTCCACTTGAGCTTGTGAACTGGACCCTGTCTGCTCTGACCCTTCCTATAAAGTGAATGCTTATCCTCTACTTGTGTCCTTGAAATAATATGGGTGGATATACTGTCCTGCATATAAGGAACTTTAGAGGACATCCTTAATATTGGGTAGGGGGAAAAAAATCACTCCCAAAGCTCATACATTGAACACAGTGCAAAGTAATGCCACTATTCTAACTAATTTCCACGCTGCAAGGAAACATCACATGCTGGGCAAGACTAAAACTTTTTTTTTTACTTTACCAGGTAAGGTCCACAGCTCTTGAGGCGACCTGGCCACCATCAATCGCACAAGGCAGTGGCTTAATGTAAAAATGTATAGCAGCCAAATATTAAACTTTCGTGACTGCAGGGAACTCCAAACACAGGCGTCGGGATTGAACCCACGACCTGCATACCAGGCAAGGTAACATCTTGCCACCGTAGAGAAGCTCTTATATAATGCTGCACACCTACAGATTAAGGAATATTTTTTACAAAATAAAAATTACTTGATACCTCATTATACACTGCATCGTTGATCACGAAAAACCACAATCTGTAAATGGGTGAATTTTGGAACATGGAAATTAGATTTCCATATATTTGACATCGTCGCTTGGGTTATCCAGGAAAGTCTTAAGGTGCCCCGAGTTGAAGGAAGAGCGACCAAGTTAATAAAATAGATGTAGGAGCACCCCATTTCTGAAACTGCCATAGAATTTCAGGGACACATTGAATGGTTAGGTATGTAAAGTTTCCAGGGGTTGAATTTCAATTCAAGAATATTTTTTTCACCTTTGTGGTGCATGTAAAAAAACTTGTGGCTATACAGTTTACATTGACCAACCGCACAACACACGAGTTTTCACAACCTGATTCGGGAAAAAAAAACCCATTGATTCTTATACAATGAAATGCATGCATCACGAGCGATAAGAATCAACCACTCGCAAATGAAACAAAGTTCAACCCAAATTAGACTTGATTCTTGCACAATTCAGTGCATTGATCATGAACATTAAGAATCGACGGGTCATTGTTTTGATATGAACGTTACAGTAGAAATGTATGAGGAAATTCAAACGGTCAATTTTGCAATTTATCAATCTTACTTTTCTGTGGTGTGCAGGGCAAATCCAATTGCACTACACAGCTTACACTTATCCTGCAGCCTGCACCGACCAGTGTGATGACGTATGGTTAAATAACCCCCCACAAACCACGTGGCATGGGGAGGACCTCACTCAGTAGTCGGTAGATAAAAGGGCAGTGCACATACATTTGTACAATTTACATTTGATAACGAGTAAAACAAGACGAGACATCCTCGCGATACTGCCCAGTGCAAATCATTCCTCCCCTAAATTAAATTCCAGTACCTGAGGAAGTGTACAACTTAAGTGTCAATGACCACACATTGCATCATTTCTTCACAGCCCACCATAATTACCACTACTCCCTCCACCAAACTCACTTTATTGAATACAGAACAAGAGAGTCAGCAGAATCTATTATCTCGAGGCAACACTTGTCATAAATTAATTTGTGAGACCAAAGTTATTGTTTTAGAATTATTTAAAACTGGTGGGCCAAATGTAGAAGCTCGTGCTGATCAAGTTTCACCACCTCAAATGGAAGCGACAAGTGAAATATTTGGACTGGTCTGCGGACTAACGCTTGGTTTTCACGACTCCTTGGGAAGGATTTGCGGCTCGGTTTGTGAGCCGGGCTAGCAGCCTCAACAGGCCGCAAATACAAAGCTTCCACGGACCGCCGACTCGAGACTCGACTCAAGCTGAAAAACGACTTGTTGATTAATACAAGTGGCGTCTCCATGACTTTCCGAGTTACTTGAGTTGTTTGGCAGGTCCTTCCCAGAAGTACTTGAAAATAAAAGGTCACAGGACCATGGTTGCTGAAATAATGAAACGTTCCTGCCTCCTGCAACGCACAAGAGTTGTTTTTGTTGATGTATTTCCACTCGGGGCCCAAATTCAGGCCAGCTCAATGAAGTGAAATTGGCCCAAAGATAATTCGGACTCCGGCCCAAAATCGAAGCCAAATCTGAAGTTGAAACGTGGTACAAGTGGGGGATCAGTTCTGGGATAGCTTGCCGTACACGTTTTCTCTCGGTCGTGATGTCATGTGGCCTACAGGGAAACGGGAGGAGTGGTCATGGTGTTGCTTGCTTAGTTCAACTTCGAGGCTGCGTAAAAAAAACAGACGAAAATTAAAAAAAAATAAGACGAGCTTAGCGTAGCATCATCTAACCGAAACATTTTTACGATTATTTCCCTTTGATCTCGGAGGGTATGTAGGGGGTGGTGCCGAGTGCACGATGTCATAGGGCTCGGATTGGAGACATCAGTCAGAACCGGGCCAAGCTGCCAATCCTGAAATGCCCCTGGGCCATTCCTGGGCCACTGAGACGCCACTCACCAATGGCCGGGAAAACAGAACTCGCTGTGGTACCCAGCAAGCGTGTGTGTGCATGCAATCAATCGTATTTGAATATTTGAAAACTAAATACTTGAGGAAAAATTCACAAAAATTAAGCAACTGATGACATTTACTAAGCTGCCGTTTGCAAGTCCACATTAAGTAATTAAATTAAAATCGCATTGTGTGAATGTGGGGTGAAATGCGACATAATTAAATGGTTTTACTGATATTGCTTTGATCTCTTCGGTTTTTAACACCTTCGCTGGGCGGTTTCACACGACGCGCGATGCACATCCAATAAGTACCTTTTGCAATTTGTACCCGTAATGACAGCGAGATCGCGCGGGCTTGGAATAGCCTTCATCCAGCAGTGCATCGATCATGGATTTCTGACGGTGACTGACAGCAAAGCCACAAGAGATTCCAATGGCTTGGGAAGCCCTTCATCCGGCAGCGGATTGATCATGAATGATGGCGATGATTGACAGTGAAGCCATAAGAAGGTCGAACGTGGGACACCCTGAGTGCATGAGCCTCACCCCTGAGTTTGACCCCGACACAATCAGCGCGTTGCTTTGTTCCTTGCCCATAACCCTGCTGGAAACATCGTCACACTCAGTGTCACACAAACGATCATTCAAACAAGTCATCCGAGATTCACGAGCACAATAATTCGCATTTTATAGGGCGCTCAAATGCCTTGGCATCACAAAGCACCTCACATCTACCATCTCGACCGGTGGTAGCTTTCACGTATGCGGCGCAAGGTGAACGCAGCACCGGCCTGCAATTGGGTGTCGTCTGTCAGTAAGCGGACATGGGGGATGTTGCCACGTGGTGGTTTTTCCACATTCAGTAATTTGCAGGTATTTTTATTTTTCAAATGACAAAAAAAAAACAATATTTGTCAAATTTGAAAATTTACCAAGATGCGACTTACTGGCAAGAATGGACCACAAAACATGTTTGTGCAAAGCCTAACACTTTCAATGAAAAAGTAAAAGAACTCGGTTTTTTAATTCGTCAAAATGCACGAGTATACCGGCACACTGAGCAATGCAACGATTTCCAAAACACAATTCTTCTCTTTGCGAGCCACTAATCAGCGTTACGTGCTGCGATGTACGCGTTGTTCTACAGAGCCAGTGGGGCGGAGCGGCGGGCGCCGTGGTCAGCGCCGCTGCGCTACCAACCCGGCGATCAGAGTTCGATTCCCCTAGCCACGGCAAGCATTAGTTGCGAGAATATTTATTTATACTGGATGAAGCATGGTCGAATAACCCCCATGAATGACACTGGGGGAGGCCCTCATGCAGTCGTGGTTTGAAAAAGGGGCTCTAAATTCTTTACAGCACCGGCCGACCTGATTAGGACCGTCTGTGATTTGATGGAATCCACCATATGCAACTTATTTCAACTCGACTTAATTTTCTCCATCTTTCGTGCATAAAACAATAACTTAAAAGAACCTATACATGCCTATCCTGTTCGTAAACAGGATATGTTGTTTCAGACGGCTACAAAGTCAGTAGAGGGCAGTGCAGCCACTGCCATTTTCCTACCGTACCTTTATACCTTTAAACCTTCCCTGCCTTCGCCAACCCGTAATAACCCAAGTGTGCTGAAGTATGGTCAATCAACTACCAAGATGACTCGCACAGTATGGGTGGGGGGGGGGCTTATCTAGCAACGGGTTGATAAAAGGGCTGTACTTGTACATCTTATTTATCTGTTCTACGACATTTTCCATGTATTGAATCGAATAAACAACACTTGGTTGAACCATCATGTGAATTTGGCAACCCGGCCTCCTACATAGCCATAAATTACGAAATTCGACATTGGGTCCAAATGTATATTCAGACATAGCTGTACTCTGTGTACAGAACGGTGATTGTTATGATGCATTCCGGGCTGTGCGAGAATGGTGACAAGAGGCGGCTGATTTTGCGATGCAGCAAACGGCATCAAAACGCAAGAGCAGATGGCAATTGTGGTCGCACACGCGGTACGATTTGCAGTGGCAGATCAACCCCACGCAAGAGACACGAAGCAGCAAATTGGGGTTCTCGGCAAGTCACAAAAACAGCAGCGACGTTCGAATCATTTGAGGGCCGTGCGGCAATCTCAAGAGCGCACAGCTGCGATGGACGGTAAGGCATAGAGATAATTTGTTCGAACAAATGCACTGGACAGAGATTGAAAAGGTGTTCACTTCAGGTTGCCGTGATATCGTTCTTTGGCTCTACGATATTACATTTTTCCGGATGTGAAAATTATCACGATGTGGAGTTTTGCAAAACGGTGGAGTTATATTTCGCAAATTTTATCGTCCTGCTTTTGTGCTTTGATGTACGCCAAGTACCATTTCACGACAACCCTTAGTCATCACCTGAAGCAGCGAGTTCAACATTCTAGTGGAAACGATCGCCGTGTATATGACCAATACAAGTGAAGTAGGCGACAATGCAAATATTTTTTTTTTAAATGTATCACTTCAGAACTTTTTCTTCAGAAAGATAACTACAATCATCATGGAGTCGCTGAGCATTGGGTTGGGCTGAATTCTTGGAATGTAAAAAAATTCTAGAAATTACCACCATTTGTTTTTAATATCAACAAAATCTCTTCCCATTATCTCACTTTGTATTGGCCATATAAATAGGTACCACTAACGCGACGCCACTTCAAGTGATTCTGACAAGTGAAATATACAGCACAGGACCACTGACTAATTTAAGGCAGGGTACATCATGGAAGCCTTTGAACAGAATGCTCGGAATGGACTTAAATCTCAGTGTCGTCAGATCTCAGAAGCCAAGCAACCTTGAGCCTGGATGGTGCTTCGATGGGTAACCACCGTTGCATAAAAACAACAAAGTGTTGTGGGCTGCTGCAGGGCTACGTGGCGACGCAAAATCCAGTTGTGCTGAACTATTATTCTCCGTTTACGTTCTCTCCACCTTCGCCAGTCCCGCACCGACCAGCATGGTGAAGTGTGGCCAAACAACCCGCAATACAACCCGTGCAGCGTCAGGCGGGGCAGGGGAGGGGGGGGGGGAAGAAGCCCTCATCCAGCAGTGGATTGACAAAAAGGCGGCCGGCCGTTTCACGCGGGTTACGCTTTCGGAACGGACGGCCGGGCGAGGGCTCTCGCTCGTACCCAAATCGTACCAAACGACGCGTACGGGGGGGGCGCACGCCGTAGTAGCACGCCGTAGTAGCACGCCGTTGTAACACTGTTGTAACACGAACATGCCGTGCGGGCCTCCCCGGGCCGTTCTGTCGCGTAGTTATTTTTTATATTTTTTTTTAGCGATGGTGGTTGGCGGCCGGCTCTCAGTTGAGGTGCAGCACCTGACGCATGAACTCGTAGGTGGTGAAGGCGACCGCTTGCGAGGGCACGCAGCGCACGTAGTTGAGCGAGAGGCCGCGGTAGAGGCCGCGCCGCACGCCGTACTGCTTGTACACGTTGGTCAGAGTCTGCCACATGGAGCTACGGAGGGCAGCGGTGGGGAGGGAGGGGGGCAGAGACCGGGGGATGGAGCGGAAGGTGACTCCAGGTCAGTAGCTACAGTAAAAACCCGGCAAGATGGAATTATCCTTTCCGGTTCCGGTGACGTACGTGTGCATCATCAAAACTAAAATAAAATCACTTTTATCGGTACCGATTCTCCCACAAGGCCATGCAGGAGGGCGTGTGGCAAAGTTTGGCGCCAGCTGTCAAGAGTGCGATCGGGTCACTACGGCTCTCTGCAGCGAGTGCAATGTCTTTGCAAGCAACGGCGTTACGCCTCTCTTAATAAAATGAACGATGTGCCGCTTGCTCATTCCGAGATTTATCGGTGAACGGGACACCCACCCTGCGACTTGCAGACGTCTCGAAATGGGAAAGGGTTAGAACAGGGGTAGCCCTGTTCCGGCAAGCTGTAATGTCAGGATAGCCACCATATAAATAAAAAAAAGTTTAACACAAACAACAGCAGCCCCCTTGCACTCTACCGTACGTGGCGCGCACATTTGCGTGTCGGGTGATACAAAAAAAAACGTCGATCGACTCGTGCAGCGGGCTCACAAAATGGGTTGTGCGCGTTCGTTAGCAGCGCGACCGCCGTTACACTCGCGACGCGATTCAGGAGGGGAGGAGGCGCCGCTCACCCAAAGTTCTCCGAGTTGGGCAGGATGCCCGCGAGCTGCATCCGCCTGCGTGCCACGTCCAGCGGGTACCTGCCAACGACCGCCGCACGACCGTCGTCACAAAAGAGAGCGCGGATCGCCGCACCCCAAACGCGCAGCCCCCAGCTCGCGGCGATGCCTCCTGGCTCCGGTTCGGGGAGGCTACCAGACCTTGCTCCGGGTTTTCCAGTCTCAGGCGATGGCAGCATGCGGGTGGGTTCTTTCTCGATGCGAGTCTGGGTCTGTCTATACGTTTACATGTCTCTATGTGAGTCTATGTGTCTCTATAAGTGTATGTATGTATGTTGAACTTTGTGAGGCTGTGTCTCTATGCGAGTCTATGGGTCTCTCTTATAAGTTTACGTATCTATGTTGAACTTTGTGAGGCCAAGTCTCTATGCGAATCTATGGGTCTCTTTACGTTTACATGCCTCTATGTGAGTCTACGTGCCTCTCTATAAGTTTATGTACGTTGAGCTTCTGTCACACTGTGTGTAGCCAACTGTGCTCATCGGAGGTGCAGTGGAAGGACAACCAACAAAGTTTACACGTCCTGACGAGCATCTACGGGTCTCTACGCGAGCCTATGGGTCTCCACACGGGACAAGACCCAGGCAGGCTCCCTGGCTGTAACGAATCCTCCGCGACGCGACGCTCGCGGCGGCCGCTCGGCTCACGAGATGGTCTGTGCGATGGCGCCCGCCGTGCCGCCGAAGAGCAGGTTGATGGGCGTGCGCAGCACAAGCACGTCGGGGTTGTCGGCCGACGGGCGTCCGAGCAGCGCGGGCGCCCGGGTGAGCCCCACGCTCTTCAGCGTGCTGAACGTGAAGAACGAGAAGCCTGCACGCGGGGAGGAAGGCGGGCGCGAGGTCGAATGGGTCGACGTGCGGTTAGGGGAAGGCGTTTACAGGGCTGAACTATGAACTGAAACTATTTTTTATTCTACCAGGTAAAGCCCACTGACCTATTATATAGCTCTTCTTCAGAAGCGACCTGGCCACAAATGATAGCTCAACAAAGTGGCTTATCACGTGGAAATTGATAGCAGCCAAATACTCAAATGTGGAGGGAAAAACCGGAGGACCCGGAGAAAAATCCACGTGACCACGGGGACAGAGAACATGCAAACTCCAAATGTACAGGCGTCAGGGTCGGAATCGTACCCACGGCCTCCTGTATACCAGGCGAGGTAGTTAACATCTCGCCACATCAAGATGCTGTGAGCGCGGACAAAGCCCCGTTTGAAGCCGGCACATCTCACCGACGCTTTCCACCCCTCTGGCGGATCCCGCAGCTGCCACATAGGAGACACGCTGTGGCCTCCCGGTTCTGCCATCGACAGTCTCCCACCATCTGCTCTTGGTCTTCCCCCCTTGGTAGCTGAACCTTGGTAGCTGAACCTTGGTAGCGTTATCCCAAAATAATGCGAAAAACCGGCGTGCCTGCCGACCGAGTTGTATAGAGACCCACGCAGTGACGGAAGCAACCACGTATGGTGCTGAAAATCAGAAAAAAACACGGCGCGATTGCCAGGCCGAAAATGTTCCGCCCCCCACCTCTGCACCTAGGACCCGATGAGTTTGGCCAAGATGGTAGCAGTGATCGTTGGTGGACCGCACGAAATACGTGACGAGCTATTGTGGTGGATTGAGTATAATATTAAAAACAAAGCAGATATAACAAAAAAAATATCCAGGTAAAGAATAACAGAAACAACATTGAGTTCCATCAGTCTATCGGCCACCTGGACTAAAGCCCCTCCGACCCGCACGACACGAGGAGGCCCTCATCCAGCAGCGGGTTAACAAAAGATCTGTACACGTACACCCATAATGGATGTATTATGTATGCACGCTGCATGTGTGTGTGTTATTGGGGTCACCACGGCGCATGTGCCAGGCCAGGTGCACTTTGAAACCACGTGAAATGTCGTAAGGCTCACTGACAGGAGGTCACGGGACAGATCCAGGTGCCATGGGTTGACTGACTGAGAGGAGCAGATGCACCATCTGTGCCTCCGACTGTGCCAACTTGCTGCATTTTAGCTGCCCGGCACTCCGCTTGTTGTTGTGAGCGTCGCTCCTCTGCCCTCCATTGTTGTTGGAGGGCGACTGCCTCCAACTGACCAGTAGCGTCCTTCACGAGCCTCTTCCACTTAGTGGCGAATGGCGGGTGTTGTTGTTGTTATTATTGGGGTGCATTCTCCTTGAAACTGCAGGCATAATTCTCTCCCGGAGGGAACTGTGTACTGCCATGACACGGACAGGTGTGCGTGTGGGGACTCCTCACCGGCGTAAGGAGCCATGCCGATGATGGTTGGCACCAGTCCATGGTAAAACCCTCGGAAGCCACCCTCCTGCGCACAAAGACAAAGATCCCGGCCCCCACCCCGGTATAGCCTCGGTTAACAGACTTCACGGAACCTATAAAGGTCAGCGCGGGACGTGAAGGGGTGTTGTGGTGAGCACCACGCTCGGCCACCTTTGTCTCCCCAGTACTGACACGCTGCACAAGCTACTTATTTAAGGCTGAGTTGGCGTAGGCATGGCCCAGGAGCAGTTTGGATAATCGCAACCGATGTTAGCAGTGGCTGTACAAACTCATACAGGGTTGGAGGGGGGGGGGGGCGGCGGCCTTCATCCAACAGTGGATTGATCACGCACCTTCTTATAGATGAGGCTGAACGCATGTAGAATACCCCGGTAGCCATGATCTCCCTTCACCTGGTACGCGAGCCGGGCCCTGACCATGTCGAGGGGGTACGTGAAGATTACCGCTGTGATGCCTGGTGCACACGGAGACAGATACCTAGAGTCGTACACACAGACTCACAATAACGCCCGCCATTCGCCACTAAGTGGCGGTGACGTCACCGCTGGCACGCACGTAAGAGTCACGCAGACTCGCGCACAGCAATATATAGTGTCAGATGCACTGAGACTCGCGCGCACAGACTCACACAGAAGACATATAGAGTCATACACACAAACTCAATCACACCAATACATAGTGTAAGATACACTGAGACACACACACATAGTCACACACACAGTCGCACATGCAGACTCACGTATATCAGTCAGACAAAGAGACTCCACAGCCATGGCCAGACACTGAACAAGTCGTCGGGTTCGTAGCGCGGTGCGTTGACCACAACCCCACCCACACAAGTGCAGTCAGTGTAGTGAAGGTAAGTACTGCCCACCCGGCAGCTTTCACAAACTAGTAAATTCAAACTTGTTGCAACAGAGATATATTGAAGATTATACTGATGAGGGCCTGTGGTCAATAGCAAAAATGGGGTGGCAGCTAAGGGAGTGAGTAGCTCGTGCACCGCGCTACAAAATCCAGAAACCCGAGTGACGATTCCCGACCGAGTCTATCATCAGTTCGAGCTTATTTGGTTAAGCCCGGAGAGAACTCAAGCGAGCAGGACGGTCTCAATCGCGTACTGAGTGACCCGGCTGTGAAGAGCGATAACCGAAAAGTGGTCCTGGCCACGCGACCTTCCACCAACCCGCACCGACCGGCGTGGCGGAGCTTGCGGTCAAAACGACCCCCACGACCGTAACGGCGTGGGGGAGGCCTTCGTTTAGCGGAAGACCGACCAGCGGTCTGTAAATGCTGTTGCCAAGTTTACTCCGCCGTGTGCGCTATGCAGAGGTGCGAAGCGTGCATCGCTGGTTTCCGTACGAGGGTCTTACCAGCCATGGAGCCAGCCAGCAGCCTGTGCACATGGCCCGTAATGCCCATTTGCTTGCTCAGAACCTGCCGGCGATACATACAGCCTTAACAGACTTTTGGGGCAAGTTTCAGTTAGCGGGCACCTATGAAGGCGGGCGCAGCGCACGAGGAGGTGGGTGGCCAGAACCATGCCCGGCCGCCTTCATCTCCCCAGTGGCGATGTTTAACACATCACACTCGGCACTCATTTGAGGCCCAGTGTGATGTTTAACACATCGCACTCGGCACTCATTTGAGGCCGAGTTGGCTTAGGGGAGGCCTAAGATTGGTTCGGATTTACAGCGATACACACGCGTACGAGCACACACACAGAGACACAGCATCATTATTAGGGAACACTGCGCAACATTTTACCAGGGGCAGGCTGGAACCTACAGCCCACAGGGCCAAATAAGGCCCGCGACTTAACTCCGTACGACCCATGGCCACACGAGGCCTGCTGCTGAGAAAACGGCCGACAAAAAAACATTCAGCTCTCTCCGAAAAGTTTTCCAGATGTACCGCGCGGCGTTTTTAGCGCGACGATCAAACGTCGAGCGAAACGTCGGGACACCGTACCAAACACCACACGAGCTTCGCTTCGGTGTTGGGACGATCGTGCCCCAGGACACGTGGCACAACGAGAGGGCACGAGAGAGGGCGGTTACGTGGCGCAACCGCAAAAAAAAAACACACAAACTCGTCACGTTAATTTGTTATTGCAGGTGCGCTAATTGGGTTCTGGAGGAGAACATTCACGATGCATTGTCCACCAAAGGTAAATGAGGAATGTTCTAATTCGGCCCTCAATAAGGAAAGGTTTCCCCACTCCCCCCAGCTTACTAATGATATAAAACTCATGAAGCAAAACAGTCGCATTAGGCACTTAATGATGCTTTGTAAGTGATGCCTCTGGAGAGACTCTTTATCTTAGCTCGAAGCTCTTAAGACCTAATTGATCTGTGTCCTCAGTTGAACGTCCATCGCTCGTTGGTATCAGTCTATCGGCCCCCGGGTTTTCAACGAGGATGTCAATGGTGGCTACGGGGGCTGTGCTATGCAGCAAAATCCACTGTTGTACTGTGCTTCCGTGCTCCCCGTCTCCACCAACCTGCACTGACCCGTGGGGTAAAGTGCCGTCACGCAACCCCCTATGACCCACGCGGCAAGGTCGGGGTGGAGGGACTAAAAAAAAGGGCTGCGCGTGTACAACATTTCTCATGGCCTTGAGTGGGACACATGGGCTCGTCAATCCACCTGTCCAGAACTGTGAGTGGTGTCCCCCCCCCACCCACCCACCCACCCCCCGTAAGAGTGGCGGGTTTTCTCAAGGCACTCGAGTTTACTCCCGCAAACAAAGAAAAGAGGTGCCCAAACATCGCAAGGCAGAACTCTCCTCAAAGAATCCTGCAGCTGTTAGGGAGGGAGCTGAATGAACTGGTGGTGCAGATGGCCAGGGGATACGGGGGCAGCAGCAGATGAGTAGCGACCTCCCACCGAAACAGAGGTCGACCCCCCCCAGGGTTTCAAGAAAGGTGGAAAAACTTGACCGTCAGTTTTTGCCGCACACACGTATGTATGTTGAACTTCTTTCGCAGCGTACGTAATCCAACCGTGCTTATCGCAGGTGCGGGGGGAAGAACAATAAACTAAACACAAAAAGCAGTACTAAAAAAAAATAGTTTTCAATCTAGATTGAAAAGTGCGCAGCTCCAGAGGCTTCCTAATGTCGGAAGAAAGAGCGCTCCAACGATAAACCTAAATGTCCCTGCGTGCGCGCGTGTCCTTGCGTCTGTCGTAACGGACCGCACAGTGATCGACAAGCTCTGCTGCCGGTGCCTTGCGAGGGTTGCCGCTGCTCGGAGCCAACCAGTTCAACCGTGACCGAAATTTTACTGGATTCCACCATCCATTCCGTAACCTTTTGGAGTCAATTCCGAAAACAATCATCGAGAAAATGTCACCGCATTCTTCAATAACACTGCCGAAAAAAGAAAACGTATGTATTTTTTGTTTTCCTTTTAAGGCCAACACGTCATTCACTAGTGTGGTGAGGTTTTCGTTTTGCCAAAATCACCCGATGATGCTGGATGTAATTACCAGCGAAACGTCACAGTCAAAATGTAAACATTGTGGATTTACTCTCCAAAACACCGGTGGGCTGCAGTAGTAACTAATTGGCACATTGTGTCTGGTGGTGGCGGGTTAACGACACATTTACACTAACGCGATCCAACCCAAAAAACCTTGATGATGAGCTTGTTTTGTTATCTGTGCTTTGCGCACCGCTGCCAGCGCAGCAGCAGCAGCAGCATCACCACATTATTTGTTTTACCACAAACATTCACAAACGTAACAGCACCAGATTAAACAATAAAGCCCTCGGTCGCTCACCCTCTTGTATTTTTCGAAGGCGGTGAACTGAATGGCCCCATAAGGGAAAATCCGGACCATCATGGCTCCATTACCCTTGTAGAGGCCGAGGAATCCCTCCTTCCTGGGAATCGCCACCAGTGTAGAGAACACACCTAGCACACGCACACACACCGCACGCCATGTCAATTCGCCCGTCCGTCATCGGCGCTCGAGTCGCTCGTGTGTGCCTCATGAATGGCGAGAAGGTTCATCCTCAATTATCCGCGGGCGGATTCTCCCAGTGGCTGATCACCTCGTGCTGATTTTGGCATCTTTTCTGTTTGTGCGAGTCGCTGGTCAGTTACCAGAGCGGTTTCTGTACTACTGTTAAATGTAACTGAGGATAAACCCATTTTGGAAAACATTTACGAAATCCATGCATATGCATTATATTACTATCACAATCCACCATGACGACAAGTATTGATTTTGTAAAACTGTTAGCGGCACTTAAAAAAAGTTACGGAAGCCAATTCCTCCATTAATTAATCAATAGACATTCCACTCGCACATGTAACTTAATATGGAAAGCAAATATGAACCCTGAACTGGCTCGTCGCACGACTGCATTAATGTATGAACCTGCACTCGGGATGATGTGAGGTGTGTATGGTGTGTGTGGCTTGTGTGGAGTGTGTGGTGTGTATCTGTGTGGGGAGAGGTAGTGCAGTGTTTTGCACACTGTGCTATGAACCCAGCGAACAGAGTTAAATTCCCAGCCACTGATACCATCAACGATAATTCAATTCTGAATCTGTCCTGAATTTGTCCTTGGTCTACTTAGCATTAAAGGAGTGCCCCGTGCGGTGGTGCTGAACATCAACAGTGGGGAGACAAAGACGGCCAGGTCAGCCACACCATCTGCTGCATTGTGTGAGCCTGTCAGGGTGCTTGCTCATGGCACCTGTGTCTCTACGGTCTCTGGATAATACACGCGGTGTTGTTGTTGCTGTTGCCGCTGTGGTGCGAGTCTTCTCTGCGCGTACCGAGGTGCTTGTAGTGGGGGTTATAGGCCTGCAGGAGAATCTTCACGCGATCCAGGGGAGCGATGGTGGTCTTGGCACAGCACCCGGCGATGCCTATTGGGGGTCACAGTCAAAAACAGACCAACTTGGTCAATGCACGCACAACAACTCACATGCCCACCAACCTTCGCAAGGTGCTGCTGCGTTACAGGAATGATGTTGGCCAATTATACACGAGTGGCCAACACATCCCAATGCTGAAAAATTTTACCGTAAATTACAGTACCTCATTGGAATTACACAGAGCAACATCGCCTTCTGAAAAACGTCCTGAGACTCAAGCGAGGCTTTCCGGGGTAAATAAGCAGAATAAATAATACATTTATAATAAATTCATAATAATAAACTTCGTAAAAAATAACTTACATCCCTTTGACAATGAATGGAAAAAAGGGGTTCACCATGCCGTGTCGGACTCAAGGGTTGGTTCATGATACGTCTCCATGATGGCCCATGTGGGTCGGTGGATGCGGGGCAAAGCAAGACAGGAATTTCGGGGTGCCGTCGAATTCAGAGCGCAGTGTGCTATCCACATGCCACTATGATAACATTCAACAATATTCAACCTCACCACATCGTTGTAACAACACATGGTAGAAGTACACCGCACTGAAGCACGGTAATCCGTGCCATGCCACACCGAAAACACATTGTACCACACTGAAACAACCACATGACACCGAACTGCAGTAACACCACGCCACAACAAAAATTGTACCCCACGCCACATCGTGCCACACAGTACCAAGCCACACCACATTATGCCACACCACGCCACATCGTACCCCATGCGACCACGCCACGCCACATCATGCCACACGGCACCTCGCCACATCGTGCCACACAGCACCAAGCCGCACCACATCATGCCACACCACGCCACACCGTGCCAGACAGCACCACGCCCACACCACACCACATCGTGCCAAAACAGCACCACGCCGCACCACGCCCCACCGCCAAACCACACCGCACCGAACCCACGGTAACAACCACGCCGAGCTCCCACCTCCGGCCAGGAAGTTGCGCATCCACCGCGAGGAGTTGGTGTGCTGTGGGGCTCCCCGGTCCAGGCGCGGTGCCGGCCGCGTGGGGGCCACGCCGTCTACCGGGGCCACGGGGGTGGCGTGCCGCTCGGCCATGCGGTCACCGTTTGCAGGGTCCACAACGAGAGGCGAGCGCACGGGGGGTGTGGGGTGAGAAATGGGGGGGGGGGGGGGGGGGGGCGCAAGTGCGCGGCCACTGGGAAGAGACAGAGAGTGAGGCAAGAGCAGTAGCCAAAGAGTTAGCGTCGCAATGAGCAGCTTCTTATGATGCTGAAATCAAGATGTCGATGATTTAATGATGAAAATCCGTGAATGAGTATTGAGGCTGCTGCTTGTGATGGAAAGCAGGAGGTAGATGTTGCTGCTACTGATGATGATGTTAACTGCCTCGCCCAATATACAGGTGGGCGTGGATTCGATGCCAACTCCGGTGCCTGTACATTTGGAATTTGAGCGTCTCTCTCCCCGTGGCCGCATAGATTTTTCTCCGGGTCCTCTGCTTTTTATTTCAATATTTATAAACATGCCTCAAATCAAGAATAAACATGCCTTTAGAGTATTTGGCTGCTCCAAATGATAAGCTATCATCTGTTGAGCTATCATTCGTGGCCAGGTCGCTTCTGAAAAAGAGCTACATCGCTCTCAGCGGGTCTTACCTTGGTGAAATAAAAATAGATACTGTAGTTAAATAGTTAAGTTAGATGCTGCTCATATTCTTAGCTCTTTCGGTAAAGTCACGTTGAAGGGAAACAATAAAATAATAAAATATATATAAAACAATAAAAATTCTCACGTTTCGACCATAACACCTGATGACGACCGTTTGTGTTGTAGTCGAAACGTCGTGAGAATTTTTTTATTATTTTATTATTTTATTGTTCCCCTTCAACGTGACTACCGAAAGAGCTAAGAATATGAATTGCTGCAGTCACGAAAGCTTTAAATCAAAATTTAGATGCTGTTCCTTGCTGATAAGGATGACGCTGCTAATCCCGACGGAGTTATTCATTCAGCAAATAATAGACAATGACTCATTGTGATAACGATGGTGCCTCGACTGGTCATGATGATGACATTGAGATCATGTTCATGACTGGACAAGGATGTTGAACAGCAGCGGAGAATGATGATGATGATGTTGCCTAGGCTCAGGAATACGATGCTAGAATGCAGATGCTTCCGATGAGCAGCAAATGATGAGATTATTCTGATTATTGAACATTGGTGGACAGATGATGATGATACTGATGGCAGCGGTGGACATGCTGCTGCTGATGGTGATGATTATGCTGCTGATTCTGCTTTTACTGATGGTGATGATTATGCTGCTGATTCTGCTTTTACTGATTCTGCTGCTGATGGTGATGATTCTGCTGCTGGTGATTCTGCTGCTGATGATTCTGCTACTGATGGTGATGATTCTGCTGCTGGTGATTCTGCTTGTGCTGATTCTGCTGATGAATCTGCTGCTGATTTTACTGCTGCTGATTCTGCTGCTGATGATGATTCTGCTGCGGCTGATGATGATGACCACGCTTACCTGATCTCTCAAAACGTGGTTGACGATGGGTAATGATGAACTCAAATCCACCACCACCACCACCACCTTCGCCTCTTCAGCAACAAAGCCTCTCCAAGATCCTTCGATCAAACAGCGAGTGCCCGATACGTCGGAGTGTACCGCCACATTAATTGTAATCAAGGCAAAAACATTACTGTTGTTCTAATATAAATAATACGATGTATATATTCAAAAGTTATCCTATACTGTATCCGTTTAGGCCGAAGGATCGAGCCCGCGTTAAGAAAAAGTACAGTCCCGTCTGTATAATAATCGTAACCATCAATTACGATTATCTCTTTAGAATAACGTTATTTAAAAAAAATAACAATTAAATTGTACACCGAGGAACCCCAATAACAATAGCCTGAGGTCATAACGTGTTCAAATAATCGCTTAAATACGATATAAATTAGGGCCTTGCGTTAATCGGGGTTCAAGTGCAGTGCTAGCTCCAAGCCGCGTCCAACGCCCGCTCGCAACCAAGCGATTAAACCTGCCGATTATTATTATTGTTGTTGTTAGATGTCCACGATGTCGTCGTTGTTATTATTATTGTTGTTGTTAACGCCGCCGTGCTGGCTTCTGCTTCGGGGCTGCAAGGCGCTCACGTAAACCCCGAGCAGCACGCTGCTGCGTGTACGACGAAAGGTCACGGGGAAGCCGGACGTTGCATTTGGTAGACTCGATAAGACCCCCCCCCCCGCCTCGTGCTGCGTGTGAGCACTAGGAAATGCAATCGTTTTACTTATTGCAATTGTGTGATAAATAATAATGCATAGCTATTATCAGCTATCAACCCATACGGTTTAACATCGTATTCTTGGACAGGGGAATTGATTTTTCAGGGACCATACGGCGCTACAGCCGTTTTAATACGGGCACATTTAAAATATATATTTATATATAATATATAATATTTTTTTTTGTGTTAGGGACCGTCCATAAATGACGTCACGCGATTTTGGACGATTTTACCCCCCCCTAGTCACAAAAAGTAGGACCCCCCCCTCCAATATGACGTCACAAAGCTCTGCCCCCCCCCAAAAAAAAATATATAAAACGTGCTTCAAATCGCTTTAAACTATTGTCATTGTAGTGCGTATTTAATGTGGCGCTGCGCTCTGATGTTGTAGGAGAAAACATTTATTTAAAAAGTCAAATTAATTAAGTAGAACGTGTTGTCTATATTTAAAGTTGTGCATTTTTATGTGACGTCACATTTCTCACCCCCCCCCCTCGTCACACATCGTCACAAATGTCTGACTCCCCCTCCCCCTAGGTGCGTGACGTCATTTATGGACGACCCCTTATTTGTGTTTCTCCCTTGTGATGGGACTTTGTAGTATGTATCTGTGTCTCCGATTAGCACGGTTGGCTACGTGCGAAAGTTCAACAAACATCCATCCATCTGAGAATAAGGGTTTCCCCTTTTATCTGGCAACAGAACAGCTGCGTTAAGATGCGAAAACACCAAACTGCAATAAAAACACATACTCTGATTATATCTGATAATATATTCATTGTCAAAGGGCGTCCTCTGGTCGAACACCGTTTGAGACGAGGCTCAAAAGAAAGCTGTCTCTGGTGTGGACCAATCAGTTTCAAAGACAATGCATCTTATTATCACAGTATGATTTTTGGTTTGCATTCTGACCACAAGTATTGTGGTTAATGCAGACACGATTCCTTGTAAAAAGGTTTCAGTTTGGTGTTTTAACATCTTGACACAGCTGTTTTGTTGCCAGAAAAAAGGGGGAAATCCTCTTATCATATTTTGGTACTGGCAAAGGAGGTCCCATGATACATCTCTAGGGGGTCTCTCTGTATCCACTATGAGCCTATGGGCTTACTGGAGACATCACAGCGGGTATCTATCTTGGCTTGAGCACCGGAATGTGAAATTGACGTTGATCCCCTGCATCTGGAACAGCCGTGCGGGTTGACGAATACGCTCCGTAGTTTGGATTGCATTTGCTACAGTCCCACCACGGTGCCTTGCGTCTTTTAATTCCCCATTCACGAAGGAGCTATGGTGCAATGTCGGCCTGCTGGTGATGTTCTGATGCCGTTGATGGTTCCAACAGCAGTGTCTTCGAGGAGGAGGAAGAATGTCATAGCCAGCAGGTGCGGCGATGTTTGGGTGTCGAATGAGGTGTTTATTCTGGACGTACAGCGTTGTTCGTGAGTGTCTGGCATTGTGCGTTGTGCTTACAGTTTTCGATTTACCAATGAACTCTGTTACCTTAAGAATATATTTATATTCTGAAATCCATTTCAATTCGGCTGGATTGTAAGGTCACTATCAGTAGGGAGCATAACCACATGCAGAACATTACTTTGTGAACAAGTCAACAGTGGTTATAATAGAGATTCTAGCCTTCAAAATGGGAATGTGGAATTTCCACCACTGGCTGAAGGCCATCAATGCAGGCAAGTGCAACCACACTGAGCAGGGCGATACTCCAGAACGAACTTATTGCGTGAACAAGTGATTGAAATACCGATTCGATTTCTTTTCTCGGCACAGGGTATAACATGTACAGCCTTTTTGTCAATCCACTGCTGGATGAGGGACACCCAAACACACGGTGTGGGTCATGATAATTATTCATACTGCACCAATCATAATAGTGGTGGTCAGTGTGGGTTGAAGGCAGGTAGCATAGCAATGTGTGAAAAAATAAGAATAGGTTTAACCCTTTCTGGCAATAAAACAGGTGTTAAGATGTTCAAACACCAAATATAAACCTTTTGCAAGGAATCAATTTTACTGCATTATTCACACAGTACTTGTGGTAAACATGCAAACAAATATGCTCTGCTAATTAATATATGATTCATTGTCTTTGAACCCGATTGGCCTACACCAGACAGCCTTCTTTAGGGCCTAGTCTCACCAGTGTCAGACCAGAGAACGCCAAAAAGCGAACAGTATAAAGACAATGCACTTATAGCTCGGGGTGAGCAGCTACAAAATGGGACCTTTTTTGCCAGCATGAAAGTATGAAAAACTAAGAATCGGGTTTACCCTTTCTGGCAATGAAACAGTTGTTAAGAAGTTCAAACACCAGATAGAAACCTTTTTTGCAAGGAATCTTAGATGCTGGTAAAAGGTCCCATTGTGTAGCATAGCAGTGAGTCGCAGTACAACAATGGATTGTGCTGCAATGCCCCACAGTTGCCTATGACAACCTGGCACGCATTGTGGTCAAACATCCAAGCGTTTTCCAGGCTCAACCCATGCTTAGCTTCCGAAATCTGACGAGATCGGGCGCTTTGGTCACAGCCTGTGACCAAGTAGGGTATATACCATGTGTAGTGACACAGCGCCGACTGCTGTCCAGCAGCAGAAATTGCGGTGGACAGTTAGCGCACATGCCGTTGAGCATATACACGGGTGTGCCGGTAGGGCGGAGGAACTGGGACAAGGGTCACGGAAGACCTCATCTGGAAGTCCCTGGAACCCGCAAGTGGGTTCGAGAAGGGAGGCGCTGCCTCGCTCTGCCCGAGTAGGATAAAAGCAGCGGAGAGTTCTCCGCTGCTTTTATCCATCTCGGCCTTGCTGTCGTTTTCGCCGGCTTCGTCGCTGCCGTCTTCACGAGACCATTGCGCGGCCGGATAGTTGTTGGCTGTCTTGGTCCACGCCGTCAGTGTAACACGGTCGGGGTTGCGTCTAGGCTAGGCTAGACGACTAGGGAGTGCATAAGGACGAACCTGTTGAAGTTGGAAGATGTGTGAGATCTGCATAAAGAAGGTTCCTCCTGCAACTACCTCGTGTCCTACACTACATCTGGTGTCAGAACTGGGGTGTTCCAAAGTGACCAAGAAGAGGAACCCACCCATAGTGTCATCGGAAGGACGAGGACGGCGGGACGGTCATCCCTCCAACAGCCCCGGGATCCCGGTTATGAAGCCTGTTGGCTGCGGAGCAGCGGGAGAGCCTCCGCGGAACAGCGCGACAGCCGCTATGCATCAGCGGGAGGGCGGCTACGCATCAGCGGGAGAGCGGCTACGCATCTGCGGGAAAGTGGCTACGCATCAGCGCGACAGCCACAATGCATCAGCGGGAGAGCGGCTACACATCTGCGGGAGAGCGGCTGCTGATCGACGGGAGAGTGGCGCGATTTTTCCAGTCGCGCGCCGACCACGTAGCATTGCGGAGAACCGCCGTGTCAAGGGGGGCACAGGATGTCGCGGGAGGCGCGCCGCACTCAGCGGCGCGGAGAGGAGTCATGGAGAGACCCCACCTGGAGCTTTTGTCCGAGCGGGAGCGGAGGAGCCCAGACCGGAGACCGTGCATATGGTGGGCACCATTTGGCCCCTGGAAGATCTACCGTGGCCAGCGGACGCCATTTTGAGGCGAGTGCGGGAACGCGCGGGAAGGGCACCGATGTCGGCGGCGCTGCAAGGGACCATTTTTGGCCTGCCACAAGATGCCCGCACAAGGCTCCTCCAGAGAGAGCGAAGGGAGGCCGAGATGCCCTACGCTTTCCGAGAGGCGCTGCTGGCGCTGGGACGGGAGGCATACCCGCACTTGGGTGAGGGGGCGCTCAACATCCTGGTGGCGGAAAGGCTGAGGACGCTGGCGCAGGAGTTGAAGATTGCCCTGCCCTCCGCCACCGGCGCAGAGATCTCGTCCTGAACGGTGGCCCGAAATATTAAAGTCTACGAAGACCACCAGCATTGGCCAAAGGTGAAGGCTGGGCAATGGTGGATGGAGGACATGATGGCTGTGTTGGGTGGCCAGAGGACGCGCGGGAGGGTGCGGGTAGATTGGCGGCCGGGGTGGCTACCTCTGTCCTGGGAACCCACGGCCAAGTGTTTCATGTGTGGCCAGTCAGGCCACATCGCTATAGAATGCCGGGGTGTCAGAGGGGCACCGGCAGTGCCGCCAATGACCTCCGACCTGCCGGCAACGTCTTTCCAAGCCCCACCGGACCCGGGTCTCTTGGGGCCTTCCGAGAACGCCATGTGCGAGGTGTCGGGGACCGGATCCGGACAGGTGCGCAAGAAAATTCAGGGAGGGGCCATGTCCTTTAGGCCGTTATTTTTTCTTCTTCCTCCTCCCTATTCCTTGGAGTCCCAGGGGTGCAAGGCCCTGCAAAGGCAGGGGTGACCGGTGTTAAGGACCGGATCACGCGAGCTAAGTTCCGGTAAAAGCGGACTCTCCCTTGCACAATGGGATTCCAGGGAAAGGGGGTGTTAGGCGTAAAGGCCTGTGGAAGGGGTTGTTGGGTATGTTGTCGGTTCACGGGGAGCGCCGCGTTGTACTCTGCTGTCGGTTCACGGGGTGCGCCGCGTTGTGCGGTGTGCTGTCGGTTCGCGGGGGGCATCGCGTTGTGCTGTCGGTTCGCAGGGGGCACCGCGTTGTGTTGTGCTGCGGTTCGCGGGGGGCACCGCATTGTGTTGTGCTGTCAGTTTTCGAGCGGCGTCGCATTGTGCCGTTGGTTTGCGAAGGGGTACCGTGGTTGTGTTGCGGCAGTTTATTTATATCTTCCTTTTGTGTTCGGTGTTAGGAGTGTTCCTCGAGTTTAGGGGTTATGCATGTCCACCGGTTGCGGTTGCTGTATTAGCAGCCGGGACGGCTGTTTTTTAACAGGGGGGGGGGGGGGGGGGGGGGGGGGGGGAGTGATTTAGTGACATAGCGCCGACTGCCGTCCAGCAATTGCAACTACGGTGGACAGTTAGTGCACACGCC